AACATCTAGTGTTTTTTCGGGAAAGGCCCGTAGATATATTACGGTCATACATCTTTCCCACCATCTAAAAAAGGTCAATATAGGTCGAGAAGTTATTCTAGATAGGACTAATGATGAAAAATTGATTACTTTTACTCTAGATGACTACTACTATACTATTCAACTGTTGTGACATACGAAATTGCTAATCTGTTCGGAAGTTCTTCAGTTTGTAATATGTGAAGTTGAAATTTAAATATGAAATCTATATAGGCATAAATTTACTTGGTTCAAAACTTCAATTCCAGGGTTTTTTATGTATCTCACGATTCTCAGGATTTACAAATATTCTCTTATATTGCACGTGATGGTGCGTCAAACACATTTAAGTGCAACGTGTTCAAATCTTCCAAAAAGGTTCATTTTACCTTTTTTTTCTGTTTTCTACTTCTGTGGATTTCAGGTATCTTTATTAAATTTTTGCAGAGACATAAGTTGATTTTGCATGTTTAACTTAGAGTGTGCCATTTAGAATGAAATAGATCTACTGCTCTCAATCGATAATAAACTATCGTATATCTTATTGTACATGGTAGAAATACTTCAATAGTTGCTAATAAAATTCGCCGTAGCATTAAATTTTAATTTTTTTGCCAGCGAATTACAAGAGCTGCTTGTGCAGCTTGTTAAACATTATCTGACTGCTGTTTAAAATTAAGGCAATTGTGCAAAAGATCGGACTTTCACGAATCTTATAAGAAAGTAAAAATCTTTTTCAATTGGAATAGATAATTTAGTAACAACTATTTTTTTTCCTTTTGATTTCTTAAATATCATTATAAAAGTTTAAATGTATCTCTTTATTGACAATTTTTTCGGAATTGAGTTGAATAGCATGATGGATTCATGGAACCAGCTGAGACATATTTCAATTTAAATTTCTTTTCCATCCTCTTCTTTGTTTTCTGAGGCTCAACACGAGAAATATCAAAATTATTCTAAATATGAGTTAATGGATAAAAATTTGGAATAAGTGAGTAGTTTTTTAGATAAATAATGCATGATTAAGTAAGCTTAAACATGGGTGAAAGAAAATGTTGTGGGATGATATTCTTAGAAAACTATCCTAAACTGAAATTTATATCGTTTCAAAATAATTTGATACATTAGATTTGAAAATAAAAGCTTTCCGTTTTTTTACTCCTACAATTTAGTTCTAATTGTTTCGAAAAAAGGCGCGTATGAAAACGGAAATAAAATTTAGATGAAACAAAAAAGCAATTATTCAAAAATTAAAAATAATCACCGCAAGACTATTTTTTCATCACATAAATTTATTTACTTCAATAAAGTTCAAAAAGTTGATTGACGTATAGTTGATTGATACAGCATCAAAAAAAACATGTCACTTATTTTCCTCCTCGACATCATCTGCCTCATCAAAAACTCTTTCATCATTTCCCATCTATCAGTTCTCGAAGCATAATTCCCGCAGGGTTATCGGTAATTCTCTAATTTATATTTCGTGAATAAGGATAGTAAACATTTTGTTGAACTTCTATTGGCTTGTATTTACTTATTGAAAGCAGAAAAAGTCCCAATAGAAGACTATGAGATTATCATTTCTGACGAATTGTAGAAAGTCCATTTTGGAAAAAATAAAAAATGTGTTCGGAATAAAAAATCCTTTTTACGGAAATGGTTTACAAAGAATCGTAAACTATTTTCTTGTTATTTTATTTTTACTATTTTTCTGCATATTTCTTCAATGTTTTCGAAATTGATCATTTCAGAAATTTTTGAGTTGAAGCTAATATTATCAAAAACTTGCAAAATTCTTCAGTATAATGCTTGTTTTGCAATCAATAAAATATGAGTTTATGAAGTCATGTTATGCATTTATTCATTATTATGCAAAATTATTATTGTTAATACTTTGTCGCAAAGACTATACAGAAAACCCTTCCAGCATTTGAAAGGAATTATCAAACTTGGACTATTTAGTGATGTCAATAGCTCTGTCAAGTTGTTTCTAAGATTATTAGCTGAAGAAGCAATAATAGGTTGAAGATTATTTTCGTAATGTCTGTTTCATTTACTCATTCATCTTGCAATGTTACCCAATACGAACAAAAATTTCATAGTAAAATGATTGTTTTCAACATTTTACACTTAAAAATTCTAAAATGGCTTGAAATGAAGCACCAGTTCTATTTAATTTAAATTTCAACAATTACTAATCTTATCAATCATTTCTCAGTACTGTTAATTGTTTTCTTTAATTTTTCTCATTGGTTGAAATTTTAAATATCCTAAATTATTTTATCTTACTAATATTATCATACGGATTAGTCAGGTTTCTTAGTGATATCACCACCTTTCATTTTCCGTCTATCTTATCCAGCTGTTGTCAATTCCGATCTTTGAAATGACGATGGAAATATTTAAAATGAAATCTGATAAATCTCCTTCGCTTTTTTCTCTTACAATACATAGTAGTAGTGAACAAAAAATAAGCCCGGATATTTTATAAAAAAAGTTATGAATTATGTCAAAAGTTGATAATCACAATATACATTTCAACTTGAAAAACATTTTTTTTAATTAATTTTTGAGCTACTTCATTAAACAATTTTAGGACTTTCATCATATTTCAATATTGCAATATATTTTTATTTCGAATGATAACTATGCTTTAATAATTATCAAGAGGAGGAGTTAATATATTTTTATCATTCTTTGACTCCTTCAATATTTACGATATCTCTGTGAGAGCGGTGGAAGCTGAAAGCTTCTGAACATTGAACGTATGCATGGACGTGCTTTTTTACCCCTAAAATTTGTTATTAATTCTATCTTATCTTTTCCTTTCTGCCACTTTTGCGTCACTTAATTACATTTGTATTATTTGATAAATTAGTTAATTGCTAATTAATGTATTGGAAATGATACCTGCTTCTTAGCATTTTTCCATATTAGCTTTTTAGTAAGATGGTATTTTGTTCCTTTAATGGTTTGTAGCAACTTTTCATTTGAAATCAATAGATCATTTTGAATTATATTGACTAAAATTTCATCTTTGGGATGTGTTTTGGTGAAATTGTAAATGAAGGAAAAAATTTTAAAGATAAGCAGAAAGTTTTTGCAATTGATAATTGGAATGATATTAACCGACCATTTTTTTCAGTTTTTCTGATCAGTAACAATTTAAGCGAATATTTTTTTTATTATCTGAAAATGTTAAATTGCTGAAAATTTTTTCTAAAATTCTGAACTACCGTATTTATTTGATCGAAGAGTTTAAAATCTGCACCGATACGGAGTATCTCGATCAATGGTTAGAAAACCATCGTTTCGTCAAATATTATGCTTATATTTGTTTCATTCATCATTGTTATTATCAGCATCATCACTACCATCACCATTATCACAAGAATAATGACGGTATTCATTAATATAGCCATTATTATTTTTTAGTTATTACTTAGTTGACGACGATTATCATTCTAATCATCGTCATAACCTTCATCACTTTTGTTATTATGATCCTAATTAGCTATAGCTATATAGAAAGTCATTTGTCATTCTCACATTATCGTTAATAGTCTGTTCTCTCATAATAGCAATCATATAATCATCCAGTCGTATTATAACTGCCACAATTATGTTGCCAAAATAATTATCGCGATTACCGCTGCACAATTAATGATCATCGATATTATTAGTGTTATTGTTCTAACTATCGCGGATGTCGCGTTGTCATTACGTTGTCATTTGTCATTCGTTATTACCTATTTCACATTATAGCCATTATGATCATCATCAATGTAACAAACTTAAATCAAAATATTGTCCTTTTATCACATTATCACTTATTATATTTGTTATTGTATCTTTAAGTAACTGTAAGTAATCTTAAAATTAAAATATAAATAAAAATTTATTTGATTCGATATACGTTTGAAATGAATAAGACGTGAGATGCCACCCCGAGTAATAACAGCAGTAAAAGTTGCTTTCGCTAATTTTAACCAAAGCATTATTAATAAAACTGTTTCAAAATTTGCTAAGTTTTTTCATTGCAGCTGCAATTTCCACCTCACTCCATCATTTTCCGCGGATTTTAATCTCTGTGTGTGTGTGAATATCTCGATTTTCTTCTCTATCTTTCTTGAGGCTACTACTGCTAGCTGCAGTTGTTGCAGCTTCGTTTGCTTGACAAACTTTCCTCAATCAAAGTCTTAGATATCAGGAAATTGCAGCTTTTTTCTTCCTGTCTCTTTCTTTCTCTTTTTCTCTCTGTGATACAAAAAGGATGAGGAGAAAGATGATGGTTACATAGAACTTTGGTTCGCTTGGTAGTTTAAGTGAGTCGGATTCGAGGATGTTATCTCTGAAGTGCTTCACTTCTCAACAGCTGCCCCTTTCCGAATCATCGTCATTATCGTCTTCTGCTTGAGTTGGAGTTGGAGATAGGAAAAGATAAGGACGAATCACATAACTTTTCTCAATGTATGATATATTTAAATGGTTGCAGCTGCCATTCCGACATATTTCTGCATTATTGACCTGAAGAAAAATTATTTTGCTGATAAAACTTGTTGCAGTATTTGCGATTGCTTTTAACTAATCATTTATTTTTGTTGATGGATTTCTTGGATTCTTCATAGATCTCTCTCGCTGTCTCTACTTTTTTCCACTGTCGCAAATTAAATGTCGAAATTAAATTGATACAAAAGGTTTAAGTGTATGAGCAAAAGCCTCAATTATTCTTCTAATATCCCTGCCAAAATTTGAATTTAATCGCTATCCTGAACATTGGATTTGCTATAACTCCTCTGGAGTATTTACGTCTACGCTGTTTACAATCTACCTGCTATAATCATTTATAGCGCTCTTTTCTTTATTATACATGTGCCGAACAATCGTTCATTCGCCAGTTATCATCACTATCTACTTTATCACTATCATCATTATCATCATCATCATTAACAACAGCGACAAGATAACTGCGATACGAAATGTTACGATTTTCGGATACAAAAAAGGACGACGACAACGCTCTTTCCGAAGAACAGCGATTTTACTATTTGCGGTTGATGGCAAAGCCATCAAGCGGCAAGAATGAGCCAATAAAAACAAAATTTGTCCGCTGGTCACTACCAGGTCCCCAAGGAGAAAATCTTGAAACTAATCATGATCTCGAGGTATGTCACAACGTTTCTATTCATCTCACGCGAAGATTCATTATTTTTAAATATTACGTGAATATTTATCATCACAATATGTAATGTATTTTAAGAGTACACAGTAACCTATAACAAGGAAGTGATTCTAACTGTTCACTTATTTTGATGGAATTGTAAATTCAGAAATTTTCACATGACATGCTTCGAATTTCCAAAATATTGAATCTCGTTTAATTTACGACACAATGTGCTTTGAAACTTTTAAAGATTTAACTTTCAAAGTCTTCATTCTCTGTTATACATGTTGTAATTGTAGTATATCGAAAAGAAGATAAATTAAAGTTTATTGTTCTTAAAATTTTATCAACCAGTTATTAACTACTAATGGAATATCACTGAACCTTTTAACTATTACCATTTTTGAATGGTAACGTACGTGGTTTGGAGCTCTTCATAATTTATTGGAATTAGTTAAATTATGAATATTTCAAAAGATTTTTTGTATAAATGATCCAGTTTCGATTAAAATATAGCAACCTAAATTATTAGATTATATTTAAATTGAAATGATGTACAGCTCTGTTGCATGCCACGGGCCTTTCATGTCTTCTTTCAGTTAAATACAATTTTCTCCTCTTCCGATATAGTACATTTCCCACGTACAGCGTTGTTAACTACGTTCATGGAAATCCACAATACTAATTTTTTAGCGTCATATTATAATCTATCCCTCTGGACTTGTTGATTGAAAATGATTTGAAGCATTTCATTATTTTTTAATATTTATGATTTATAAGTATTGCATTTTCTTTGGGTAGTTAATAACTAATTGATCCGCCTTTCGTGACGTCTACTGCTTTAAACTTTTATTTATATTTTCAAAATTATTTGATAGTTTTTATCGATAAGGTTAATAATATATTCTGTCGTTTCTCATTCAATATGAGCATTTAATGTTATCACCATTCATATTATCAAAATATTCAAATATTATATAGGAAAAAACATCTCTGACTGATAGGTTAAAATAAAACTAAATTAAGCAATTTTCTTCCTAAGGTTTCAAATGTATGAGAAAAATATAAAGTTCTAGTATATCTTAGTTTCCAGATATTATTATTTCATTTTTGAATTTATTTCTGTTTTGCTAATTCTTTGCTAAAAATGACGTCAATGATGGGAAAGATAGAGGGGAAAAGAAGATGAAGAATTAGGCATATAATTTTCTATAAAATAAAATAGTCTATGAAATAAAATATTGTTTATTATTTATCTCAAAGGTTAAATCATAACATTATAATATATTTCGTTGCAGTATTTTCTAAAAAACAGTTGTAGTTTTTCTTTTATTTTTCCTTTTCGTTTTCCAACTTTCAAAGGCATAAGAAGGTGTTCCACTCTTGAAAAATCTCAACCACTCCCCACTTTCTCTTCTCACCTATTAGTTGATTATTTTATTAAGCATCATATTTCTTTTTTAAAATATACGACCTGTGTGTGTTTGTATCTATGTATGTTTTATATACATATGTATGTGTGTGTTTGTTTGTTTGTTTGTTTGTTGAGACATGTTTTCCTTAGTAAACAAAAATATTAAAATTTCAGCTATTTGAACAGCTAAGTAAATATGTTAAAAACTTACGCTGCTATGTCTGTTATGTTTATCCCTTATGATTAGGAAGTGTGATATTTTTTGTTTTTTTCGCAATACAGCTGCTTGAAGGGCAAAGAAATAAAACTTTATTTCGCCAAGAAACAATAGCGTTAATTCTTATGGAAAATTACCGGGTAATTTTAAATGATATATCAATTTGAATTGAATTGCCTATTTATTACATTGATTTGTATGCATACTGCATTCCATGTATCTCTTTTGATCGGTTTTTTTGTGATCCAAAAATTTTGTACATTTTGAAAACAGAAACAATACTTAGGGATGAGAATAGAAGGATGTGAAAATTTGCTTTGAAACAATATTTAGCATTCATTTTATAATCGTGTTGTAGGACAAGTTTTGCAATATTTTAGCGGTATATATTTTAAGTATTTTGTCTAGTCCTCTATCGGTGATTAGCTTTTTCGCATATAGCGGTTACGTTGAGTTTCTGAACCAAAAACGTGAAAGTTAAAAGACAAGAAAAAATTTATACTTTAGAAGCATATGCTCATCGCTTTGATGCTGAAATGAATTCAGTATTATCATCGATGGAATATAATTCCTTTCATTCGTTTTAGAAATACCCAGAAAAATTTTTTTTCCATATTTTATACCATTCTTCTAATTGTAATTATCACCGTTATTAAATAAATTCAGAAGTTTCAAGTGTCTTTCACTTTTCTTTCTTTGAAAGAAAAAAATTCAATTAATTTCAATAAAAATTTTTAATAGGAGATATTTTCAGAGTCAAGCAATGCGTGTCGTGCGAACAATCGGGCAAGCATTTGAGGTATGCCATAAGGTAGCACAAGAGCAGATGCAAGAGAAGTACCAAGAAGATTCAGAATGTAGTTCTAATGTAAGGGTTAAAAGTAAGTTTTTCTTTTGCTTTTTCTGATTGAAAGCCATTATTGCAAATAGAATATTAAAATTCAACAATGAGAAAATTTAGATTTTTTGTGAGCAAATTTGATCGTTGGCGACAGATTTGCTTTTTTCACTTAAGATTACATGTTTCTTCAATTAGCTCACATTATTGGATAAATTAATTTGCTGCATGCAATACTAACTAATTAAATTTACTTTCATTGTCTTCATTTTGCATTATTTTTTTGCCTTTAGTAGTTTGTTAAGAGTTATCACAACCAAATGTGGCAAATGCTGCATTTTTATTTTGATTTTAACTACAAGAATTTAAATCTTTCATGATCTAAAGTTGAATAATAAACTAAAATATCATTGAATCATTGCAGAAACAAATTTTTTTTGCAAAACTTTTTGACATTCAAGGAAGTGTTGTTATGCTTGCAAACTATAAATAATAAATTTAATGAAAGAATAGCTTAAAAACTCTTTCCAAAAATTATACTAATTAATTAATTATTATGTGAATTAATATCATAATTTCTATCCTGATATTAGAAGAGCTCATTAATTAAACATCTTTTCTCCCTTTGTTTTTTTCTGAAATTTTGCAAAATTTCGCTGCAAATCAATTTTTTGTATTCATTATTTTATTTACGGTCATTCATAAATCATTACAGTAAAGTTTCTAAATGAGTATTCCTTGCACGTAATTCATCTGTTAATCACAACTTAGTTATTTAAAGGTATCAACGAAACATATTGGTTTTTTCTACATCACTAGAGAAAAAAATTTTTCTATGATGAAATTTCCGACTATCTATCCGTCCATTTTATAATATCTTTTCAGGGACAATTTTTATATATTTTTTTAAATATTTATAAATTATCAAATTCAATGGCAATGTTTAATTTTATTCCTTTCCTTTTTTTTTAATATTTTTAATTGTGATGCCATTAAGATATATTGTCAGATAATAGTTGTTGAATAAACAACGGATTATATTATAACACTAACTAATACTATAGTTAGAATTATCGCAGCAGATATTTGAAGAATCATTTTGGTTGATTATATTCCAAATCGTTCATCTCGTTGATCACTTATATCTCTGATAAAATTCATTGATAAATAACAATGTCTTTTTTTTACACAAGTATGCCAAAATGAGACGGACTTTTTTAATTTAAATAAAGTTAGGAGTAACTGTAATTCATTGTGCTTTGATAAATTATGCTATAATTTTTCCTGAGGCTATAAAAAGCGCATATTACTCAATCTTAAATTCAGGTCATAAATCCGTATTTTTGTTTAATTCATTCCTGCTGATTTGCACACTATTTCATACAAAGTTTTTGCAAATTGACTGAAATGCTATTTGATCGGTTTCAGCTTACACCACTACTAATTCCTATCTCAATCGGTGAGATACAGATTCTCGTTAACTGAAAATAACGATCAGTTTCATATCCGGCATATGCGCATTCCTGTTTACTTTTGCAGATGCTTACTTCATTTTTTACGAACTCTTCCTTCTCACTAATCCAACATGGGTGTTAATATGTTTGGGATTAGAAATAGATGGCACACATTAGAGATGTCTCATCGAATTTCAATTTAATGCTATCTTTGCTCTTTTTGATGAAAGTTCAATCACTGCTGTCATTTTCAAGAATCAGTTTACGGAAAACGTTGTCCTCAATAATTTGTAACATTTCGAATATATACGTTATATCATTTTACCTTCCCATTCTTCAAATCTGTTTTAATCCAATTATCACGAATAGATCCAATCCAGAAATTTCATCTTCATTTGCATCAATCCTGGGCGGAATGCTTTATATGTTCATATCACTGCGATCATTTTATTTTTTTTTTTAATATTATCATTATTTTCTATTTGATAGCGTAAAAATATTAATACTTCTACACGAAAACAAATATGTTGCAATAATATCGTTTATTTTCCTTTTGTCAAAAGAAATTTCGTGGTTTCGATATCTCTCTAAAATCAGAATCTGAATTATTGGATGAAAAGACTTTTTTTATATCATTCAAAGTATCCGCAATTTCACGTTGCCAAATTTTCCAATAAACTATCCACCCAAAAATTTGTTGTAAAGAAACCAATACCCAACCTAAAGAGTCGAAATCCTCCAAAAAACAGAAAGATTGGAGCGATTCAGGATTTAATTTGCTGAGAGAATCCACAGGATTCTCTCAAAAAGTTGAATTCGTTTTCAATCGGGAATTCCAATATTGATGCAAGAGATACTAAATCACATCAAACGGTTTCACGAACAAAGGCGGGAACGTCAGATTCTTTTACATCAGTGATAGAAAGGATAACTGGCAGGTAAGTAAAGAATCCGAAGTTTTTTTCAAGAGTTCAGTGCATCCTACTTTGTTTAAACATTCAATCCCTATGACATCATATGCATAATACATATATATTTTCTCAACGGACTATCAATAATTAATTTTACTCTCTTTTTGAGAGGATTCATTGGTCGAAATAAATTAATTGGTAATGGAAATGGATATACTTAATCTTTCTAACAAATCTCATCCGCCGGAATATCTTTCATCGCAGTTATTTGAATTTAACAATTGCTTCTTGTATACGTTCGCTAATTTTTCTTATCACACTTTATTTTTTCCTTCTCTCTTCCCTTTTTCTCACACAATTTGTTGTTTTTATTCTAACGTGATTTATTAAATTCTAAGTTATTTTGAGATAGAGAAAAATAATAAATCGTTTTTTAATTCTTTGAAGCTTTGATTTTTGCTCTCTTAGCTTTGATGATAGTACTGCAGAATTCTCTAGCAATCTCCGGAAGGTCTTTGTAAATATTGAATAAATTTTAAAGGTTTCAAAGAATTGATTGAAGTAAAAAGTAACTGAAGATTTTTGGGATATATGCAAGACGAAATACTGCCATTTTAATTTATTGATTTATTAAATATTAAATGTTTTTATAATAATTGGAATTTACAGTGTAATTTGAAGACATTAGTAAATTTAACATCTTTTGATGAAATTTACAGAAATATTTAAGCTTCAAATGAAAAATTAAGCTAAATTATAATAATTTTAGACATAAGCAACAGCAGCAGCAGAACAAACTTTTATGAAAAATCATTCTTATTGTAAGCAAAAAAATTCCAAATTTAGTGAAACATGATTTTTGAGAGCAAATGAAAGAAATGATTTTAATAATATCAGGAATAATGTGATATGAATTGCAGATTCACTCACAAGCACTGAAGGTGATCACGGTGAAATGGAGGAGAAGTTAGCAAAAGTAAGTGAAGATTCATGTAGTCTATCATCAACGGATGGTCCACCACCGGTTACTGCACCTGCTTACCTCCAAAAGCGTCATCATTCCACAGTATTGTTATTACTATTGTAGATTATTATGTAATTATTAATGGTAAGCAACGGAATTCGATTACTGCTTATTTGACAGTAAACAATATCACATAACCATAACACAATTGTTAAAATAATGTGTTAAGTAATTTGAGTAATGAATAAATAAATTGCAGTTTGTGCAACAAAAATCTTTCGATGCGATTCTAAATCCATCGGCTGCGTTGGAAGCGGCAGCTTTGGCTACTACCGCTGCGGCCAAAGATTATGCTCAAGCAAGCACTTCCAGCGAGCCACGAAAATTCTCAGTCAGTCAAACGAATCCAATACAACAGTGTGCATCAACTTCCGGAAATCCAGCAAACACTGCCAGGTTGTCATTCGCTGATATGTTTTTGTAACTTTGCTGTTTTTCACACTTACCAACAAATTTCTTCTCCTGCAAAGGATTAATTATTAAAATTGAAATAGAAATAGGAAGTAGAACAGTTTGGCTACGGTAATTTTTCCGTCTTTATTTTTCTCTTTTCGTATTCCTCAAATTTGCTTCGTTTGATCGGTACATTTTAATTTTATTTAGTTGAATCGTTGTGTATTGCAGTGATCCGTTGCCTTTCGTATCCGGCTCCTCAACTTTGTCACACTCAACGACGTGGGCACCACAGACAACCACTGGTCAGTTCCAATCAGTGCCGACACTCGATCAACGTGGTTTGCCGACCATGCATTATTATCCTGTTTGTTCTGTTTCCCCTACTGACTTTTTTAGTGTTTTTAACAATTTTGTTTAGAAACTTTTGAAATTCTTTTAAAAGATTTAGTGTTTTTAACTTTTTATTTGGAAACTTGTGAAATTCTTTTAAAGTCAGAAATTTGAAACCAAAATTGAATTGATGATATGCTAAATTATACTAGCACCTATCTTCTACAAAAGAGAAAACAATTTGTTTGTTCCTAAAAGTCTGATGCAATCAGTAAAAATTTGATCATAGATTGTCCCTTATATTTCAAAAATATTCTCTAACAGTATGAAATTTTTTCCTTGTAGATGCCAGTGATGTGTCCATCAGTATCAATGCCGTACGGACTCAGCTCGCCGTATTTATTATCGCCTTATTCAACCCTGCCGTTACCGGGGAAAATCTCCGAACAGCAAGCCTCTTCTACTACCAATCCGAACATTCCTGGAAGTCCTCTTGAAGGACAAGATCTCACCAGCTATCAGCTCAATTTATCATTAGATCAGGTATATTTCCTAATTCATCTTTAATGGATTGTTACAAGTTAAATAGCAAGAATTAATAGCAATCAGTTTTCTGGTGCAAATATATTATTTAATCGAAATCAGATCAATTTATTCTTTTTTTCCGGTAATTGGGGGATTTTTTGGGTTGGATAGTTTCTCAAGTAATCTAACCACTATAGCATCTTATCAGATTATTTGTGTACAAATTAAATTTTGTTGTGTTAAATAAGCCTATCTTATGTTTTTATATCATGCCTAAAATTATTCGTTAATAAATTTACAGTACAATCAACATTTGATACGTTCGCAATTGGATCAAGCTCAACAAACCGTCCAGGTGGCAAGCTACCAGGTGCAATTATTAAGAGATCAGTTGACAAGTGAAACAACTGCTCGAATAGAAGCTCAAGTTTGTATTATTTATTTTTCTTTCATATTTTAATCAAAGTTACCTAGGAGAAACTCAAATCTGTTATGACTGTTTTATTGTTTTGATTCAATTAATTGATTGAAATTCTCCGCCGTTTCGATAGACTAAAAATTTTTTTCTGAATTAAACTACCGTCAAGCATTCATCGTTTTCTGTGGTGTTTGCCGAAACATCTCAAACTGAATCCTCCTTTCCGAAGTCTTCAGTTTCTTCTCTAACCTTTAAACAGTTCGACACCAGTCTATCTACTAATTAGGCAATTATTTGGTTGGCTTGTCGTTGAAATTAAACTTTAGGAGGTGCTGCATTTGAATTATATTGAATCATATGAATGCGTATGTCACAGTTTGCCGCAAAAAAAATGCTTTTTGATGACGAAGCTTAATGTAATGATTGAACTTGCTGATTTATAGAAAATAAACCTCTATTTTCTCGGAAATGGTTACTTTAGTGTGATTTGAATCGTTTTTGAATAGCTTCAAAAGATTTAAATGAAAGCAATATTCACTGCAATGCGATTTGTTATTATTTTCATAAGTGTTTCTTTCTTCTCAATATAATATTATATAATTTGAGATATAAATATCATATCACACTTCAGTCTCGAACACATCAGCTGTTAAATGCTAATCGTGAATTGTTAGAACAAGTGCAAGCCCTCGTCCTAAGGCTTCAATCACTCGAAACGAAACTTGCCGAGGAAATTCAAGAACAAATCACTCAGCCGGTGCAATTTTTTTTCCGCTTCTTATTGTTTGTCAAAAAATAAAAAACTGGTGAAGCATTCTATCTTCTTATTGTATAGATCTTTAGGTAATTTAATTTTCGAGATAATGTGAATTCATTGAATTTTGATCCGCTGCAATTTTTTCAAGTTCGGTTCTATTCAGTTCAAGTTTAAATTTCAGTCAACATCAAAGGGACAATCAGAATCCTCAACCTCACCAACTAAGTCTATGGAATCAAGGCGAACACAACAACTGACCACTTCATTGCACGAACAATTTAAGAGTGAAGCAAAAGTTCCTGGACCACCACCAGTTGATCCTTCAAAGCCATATCAGGTCGCAGTGACTTTTACTTTTTTCCAATGGAATTTAGATTTGATGATGGGAATTTTTTAATTTGACTTCTTTTTTGAAATTAAATTTTTTTAATTATTAACTTTTTTAGTTGCAATCGTTGGCAGACATACGCGCAGGTTCGTTGCCACCTCAGGGAATTCAGTCGAAGACCACTTTTTCAACAAAAAATACGCGTATGGCAGACGATTTCGAAGCCCGAACTGAACCAGAAAGCGGAGCGGAGGTATTATGATCCAAGTTTTCATAATTTTCAAAATTATTATGTCATCGAAGCAGTCAGAATTTCAGTTATTCAGTTGCAATGATAGTATTTATTCGCGTTAGGCACGTTTAATTATCGGGAATGATCAGCCTGTTGACCAAGATGTTAATATTTCATGCTGTCAATAATTACTCTATCTAGCGACCTATGTCTTTTTGATTTACCTATAATATGTTTTATGCCTGTTTCAACTCCGTTTGAATGAATTTCACGGTTTTGTTTCCACAATTCTGAGTCAATTTCACATTGACCGATGCTCTTTCCTTGTTGAATTCACATATTTGCAGTCTTCCTGTGAATTAGTGAACCCATCATTAGTATCATTTCATATTTCATTGAGTTCTCCTCTTGGAAAATGTCGCAGTGGAATTTTTGATGAAAAAGTTTCTAATAACAGATATATTTTTACAAACTTTCAGGATACGACAGATTATAGTTCCTCAGACCAATATGAGAAAATACCATTCCCAATAATTCAACCAAAACGATTGGTATCTGTGCCTGAACCGCATTTAGATGTATTGGTGTCCAACCCGCAGGTGAATAAGTTTCTAACAATGGTTGATTGATGTCTTAAAGCGTATCTTAGCCGATACACTCTAAGACAAAGCATTTAAAAAACACAGAATGAAGTGTGCATTTTCCTTCTTAAAGCATCACTCTTTTTAAATGAGAGGAATTATGAGAATTCTATTATCATATAAGATTCTAGCTGTAAGCGAAAAATGCTTGAAATGTTTCTGCTCACTACAAATTGATAAAATTTAATCTTATCGAAATAAGTTTTCCTATAAATTTAATTCAGTTCATCATTCTCTGCAGGTATTACCAAATTTGTCGTCATTTTTCTCTGCCCAGCCATCATCCTCTGAGAGCTATGTTCCCAATTTTTTGGCTTATCCAACACGAAGTCAAAATACCGAAATAAGCAAGGTTAATGAATAACTCTTTCTTTGGCAGGCAAATTTTATTGTCAGCGTTCATATGTATATTTATTAACAATCATTCACGACACATGAATCAGTAAATTTTTGATTCCTTTATAATTGTTATATTCGTAATACGATTTTCTAACATTCTAATTGCCTTTATAAGAACATGTCATAGCATGTATCAAAATCAGTATCTAAAACATTTTTTGGGTCATATAAACATCTGTTGTATCCGATGATTGTGATTATATTTTGTAGTGTGATGAGGAACAACCAAATCCTTCATCGTTTTCTCGCCGTATGAAAGAACGATCAGGAGTTTTGAAAGGTGGAACACTGTTCAAACGAATGTCCTTCAATCCAAAACTTTGGAAAGATGTGGAAACAGTTGGTAGTACAATTGCGGAAAATATCGATACAAGCCAGAACACATCAAGGAAGGCCTATGAGTTCGGTTTTGATCAATATCATTGAAATAATTCTGTGTTAAGCATAACAAAAGTGAAATATTATATAGTGCGTCTTTTAATTAAAACATAATTATAACAAAACGAATAGCTTATTTAAATCAAATGAGCTATTAACTACGTTTATCCCGTTCTTATGGATCTAATATTAATTCTTGGTCTTGAATGAGTAACTAACAATCAATTGGCCATCTACCGAACAGTGAGAATTATCATTTTAATACGCATAGTCAAATTATTGCAGAAAACAGAAAGGAATGTCAAAAGATGAACATGTTGAAAATAAAAAGAAAAAATCTGATCGGCTTCAAACAACAGTTTCAGTGGAACGAAGGACATCGGTTAGGGAGGAACGATTAGACACGTATATTTTTCACTGTTTACAAATATTTTTTAGCAGTTATACAATTTTTCTATATCTTTATTATTTACATTACTCTTTAAAGTTAAAAAAAAATTTTTACAAATTTTTTGAGTTAAAAATATAAAAATAATACTGGTAAATTTAGGGAAGAAGTGTAAGTGCAAAATAAAATGAATTCGTTAAGACGAAAATCCCTGTTTTCCAGCGAAACATTACAAATGGAACCTGCTTCATTACATTTGTCAACATCCATGTATCCGCCGAGACGGATGGGAGCATCGATTGCAAGCAAAGCACGCTTACCCAACGTAATGATTAATACATATAAATGATTCGTCAACCACTTCAAACAATTACGGGTCGTTGAATTTATTTGAAAATCGAGTGTTAGCTAATTTATAAGTCATTGAAATTATCAAAAAATCGTCTTACGTTATAATAAAACCATGTCTTACTCTAACGTTGTAATAAAATGATGTTTTACTCCAACGTTATAATAACTACTCTTTGATAGTAATTAGATGCCGATGTCTTTTATATCTAGCCAAGAATATCGACAGAGTGCTTAAAATGAACTGATTGTCCTTACTGACTTCTAAATATTGTGTACTTCTCAGTGATTGAAAAATCTTATATCACAATAAATTATCAACCAGTCTGCTATCGTTGAATCTCATTATTAAAATTATGATTAGATAACAATAAATTGTTAAATATGGATCGCAGAAAGTAGAATGATGAAGCAAATTTACAGTACGAATTACTAGAAATAGTAAAAAACTTCAAAATCTAAAATTCGTAGTTTAATTTAAACTCTAACTGTTCGTCGGAACTTACTTTTTAATTCTGTGAATTTATAACTAAATTTATGACCAAGTTGAAGTGGCTGATTTATTTGTTTGAATCAATACGAAGTCATTTTGATAGTTTTTTTAATGTTATTGCTTAAATGATTGAAATCAAAATGGTAAGAAATAATCGTAAAAGAAGGTTATTTCAGAGGGTTTCATTGGATATCGAGAAAGAGGTACCCACTTTTGCGCAGCAACAACAACCCACTACACTCATCGGTAATGGACCTATTTCATTGCCATCATCTGGTCGACAATTGGCAAACCATATCGGAGCTTTAGATGAGAAAGAAAAATTACGAAAAACCAATAATAGCGGACCGAGTCAGATACTGATACTTCAGGAAGCACTGAAGCATGGCTTGGCTAGCACTAAAGAACAATTAATTCAAACCAATGAAAGATTGGATGGAATGCGAGGGTTCGTTTTTAAAATTAGTGGGATCCATCTGGCATTTCTCGTAAGATAGATTTTCATGGGAAGTAATTTCGGTAACAGATTCGTAATTCTTGACTTGCAGAAGTAGGAATTTCAATCAGATTGAGTAAATAGATCTATTGGTTCACCTAAATGTTTTTTCTAATAAAAAAGGTGTATTTTTAGTAGCTGTAAGATCGAGTTTGTAGTTAACAACAATAGTGAAAAGAAAAATTTTTTAGTTCTTTACGATACACAGAATCAGAAAAGAAAAAATTGGGTGATCCGATGGTATTGGCGAAGCTCACTAAGCTACCGACCTTTATGTCTACAGTAGCTGATTCCTCAGAAGAGACACATGAAGCACCGATAATTTCTGGAGCATCATCGAAATCAACGAATGGTTCGGGCAATGTTGTAAGACAGAATATTGAAGCCCAAAAAAGTGATACTGGGGTCTTATAAAGGGTTATTATTTAGTGGACATAAGAAATTGATTATTGCTTTATACAAAAGATTTACTTCCATTCATTCCATTTTTGATGTTGTCAATTCCTTAAAGCTTGAAAAAAAACCACTGCTAAGTGTTATTCTTTTCCTACTATTTCATGATGTCACTGAAGATTGAAATAACTTCAAAATTTCTCATTATTCCTCTTGTATAAAAGTTAACTGCAGGAAACATTAAATGATGGAAATTGCTGTTGATGAACTCCTCACCTTAACAAGTTCCAATGAAGGCTAATTTTTTTCTGATTTTGTAGATAGTGCTTTCACAATTTGTACATGACAGGTATGTTTAAGACGGTGGATGATATCTTTTAGAAAATAATGTTTGAATAAATTCATTAATATTTGGTTGAATTTAATTAATTGTAATGATGGAAAGCTATCTCACAATGAGGCAAACAATACACGCGGTGTTCTATAAATAGACAATGTTTTAAAATTGTTGCGTCGTCTTTCTCAGTTTTTCTCTTTTATTATTATTATTGTTAATTTACACATAAAATTTCTCATTCATTGTAAACATGAAAATATTTGTAAATTTTTAATGCTTATGTAATACTTATGAATTGTAAACTGTCATTTGAGCGATTGTGATAGCTTGACAGGGCACAATCGGTGATCAGTGAATTTATTACTTTATTAACTTTTCATTTATTATTTTAATTTTGGTTTAGCAATTCATTTCAATTCTTTGATGAAAAAGTGATTATGAGTGTGAGAGCAATTCTCTTCGGATAGTTTGAAAATATTGGATTTGTTTGTTTGTTTGTTTTTCTTTTTCTGGTATATGAAAGATCAATTTAAATGATGAAAATGAAAAGAATTTCATTACTCGCAGTATTACTACAACACAAGCGAAGATATCCTTTCTGTTCTTCCATGTATATGATAAGTGTACAATGATTCAGGTAACTGTTATTACTATCTTAATTAGTTTTCCAGTAATTAGCTTGTTTTAATTTTCTTTATGTTCTTTTTTTCTCTTTTTATTTAATTTCTGCTGAAATTTTAGCCTTTTTAATCTGAGTTTTTCGATTTTTCCCTCTGATAATTCAGAAGAAAAATAATGAAAGATAGAAATTTCGTTATCTTTCATTTTTTCTCTTTACGAAAACGAAAAGGATTCTGTACCACATCAATTAGTACAGAGATTTTCATCATCTGATACTTATAAATGATGAAAGAAATCTTTCAACTAGAAAAAATTATTTGAAAAAAGAAGAAACAAATGGCGATCTTACCGTTAACGTTAAAGTGATTTCTACCAATCAATCAATGCTTGCTATGACGCATAATATCGAATAACTTTAATTCATGGATTTTGCTAAGCATTTCGCTAATTCTTCAGAGCTTTCAAACTTTATAATATAAAAGCATAGAATGAAATATCTTTTTATTTTGATTTCTCATCATTTCATCAAAAAAGATCAAAACGTAGTGAAGAAAATAAAAAATTTAATTTCAACATCCAATTGATTTTAAATAAAGAAAAAGAGTTGATTATTTCCTAACTTAAATTTTCTATTTTATCATTTTAAAGTGTTCGTAAAATTATTAATTAGTAAATTAATAGATTTATTAATCAAAAATTAGTAAACTTTTTTAGAGCTAAATTTTAATCAATTCGATCAATGAAATTAGTTGGTTGTTATTCAGAAATTAATTAAACTACCTGAACGATTTCTATATTACAATTATTTCAATAATTCTAGCAGTACTGTGACTAATTTTACGTTTTCTATGTAGGATAGCAATTGAAGTTGATTAATTAATTTAGTGATAATTCTAATTTAGTGATAATTCTGCATTTTAACTTATCACATAGTTTATAATGCTATCTGTGTACCTTTTTTTTCAAAAAAAAAAATTTTAAACGAAAATTTGCATATAAATGAAAATATTCATTCATACACGTCAGAATGATTTGGAATGATTCGCTGATTTGATAAGAGATAACTTTTTTGTAATTGCGATAATTTTCGTGATAATTTGTAAAAAATTTCAGTATCCGTTATGATAACATTAAATAGCCAAGAATGAAAATGAATGATAAGGCGCATACGGCAACACCATGGATTGCAATGAATGCATTGGTCCAATCTTCTTGATAATTACTTGTTGTGGATGATTTATCATTTTCATTCAGTGATATGCAATTATCTGTTGAATTAAACACGCAAATACATCTATTGATAAGCTCGGATGTCCTAAAAATTTCAGATAAAATGAACGAATCATTTCGAAATGAACATTTTTTTAAATTCATCTCTATGATAGATAATATATGAAGTGAATTATATTAAAATTATTTGCAGTACTTCTGAATGATTGAATTAAAGCATATTATTGTGTTTTAACGAAATGTAGAGGTGGAAGCTAAAACGCTGATACTTTTACATCGCTGTAATAATTATTTTCGACTATTACATCATTTGATTAATTAATTAACTTTGTTATTTGAAGTTATGAAATCTTTAAAATTTGAAAATAAACCTTATAAGCCAATTCCATGGTGGAAGATTTCGACGAATTTTACAACACATCCATAAAGTAATGGATATTGATATACTGAACATATTTATTATTGTAGCAAATTCCAAAAATCGTACTGAAAAAGATTTCATTCTATGTTATTTTGTTAATGATATTTGATAAAAAGAGAATCTTTTGATCCTTTCATCATTTTTCTAAAAATATTTTTATTATTTCAAAACAGAAAAATAAAAATAATAAATGATATGAAATTTATTTTAATTTTTCAAAATGCATACATATAGTTGGTGTTGAAGCTGAGGAGCCAAGATGTGGTGAGATAAGTGTGGAAAAGAGCTGAAGTGTTGAGAATTGAAGGAAGAGTACAAACATCTTTGCAAATATTTGCAAATGAATTTGTCCAAGCAAAGGTGTTAAAAGGAAGAGAATCGATATAATCGTATTGGGTAACGATAATTCAATATATAAAGATTTTGTGGAGCGTTTCAAATTCAAGCAAAAACCAAGCTGAAATTGTCCAAAATAAATTTCAAGCACATAAATTGAATTTTGACAGTGTCATAATTCTCAAAACATTTCAAATTTTAATTTTAGTCAAATGATGCGCATAATGAGATTCAGTGAAATGATTTTAAAGGCTTGCATCTATTAATTATTAATTAGCACCTGTGGAAACTGTGAATCTGGCATTATTTGAACAGTTGGTGTGCTACCAGAAATGTACCAGCCATTGTCACGGAAATATTTCGCATCTGTGAAAACTGGTCGACCTGACGCTACAAATTCTATTCCACCCTGAAATGCACATTTTATTGAGATACCTTGCTAATTATAATTGTGCACTTATGTTTTAAAATTTTCATTCCTATAATTTATATTAGTACATATGGAAAAAAAATTTTTATCCCATTAAATTTTTGGGATTATAAGTTTCATTCATTTTATATCGAAAATGAAATTATAATTTAGATTTTAGTTAAATGAAACGATTTCATTAAATATATTGGAATTGACTGCAACTATTTTAACTTCAACTTTTTTCTGAATTGAACCTGATTAATATGTGGTTCGATCTGGTAACAACATTTGTACATATCATTTGGAAAATTTTTGAAATCCGAATCATCACAAAATGTCCGAAGCGAAAAATTGATGATAGCACGAATGGTACCATTACTATTTATCGATACACGCCGTATTTCCATCAGATCACCATTACGAAGTGCTGTATCAAATCTAAAGAAATGTTGCATTCGTGAAATTTTGAATGAATTATTTTGTATTTTAGGCAATCTATTACATATGCTTATGTAGCGAATTGTTTGAATTAATTTTATTACGTTTGTGCAGTTAGCATTGGCACCCAGACGTGACTAACGGAATTGATTTCTAGCTTTTTCAATTTCCATTGTTCTTCGCTCCAGCTAAGCCGATTGTCATCCCAAAACACAGTGATATAACCATTAATATTTAACTCTCTCAAGAATTCGTTCTGAAATAATTGGAATTCTGAATTAAATTTGATCAATTCTATTAATATTATAAAAATTAAATATTCAAATATATATATAAAAATAACCGCTGTATAATTTTTCTATATTTTTTCCGTGCTCAATTTATATGAATCAAAAAATTTTCTGTCCGATTTATCCGAATTTCTGTAATCATAAACCGGTTGCAGTGAACTAAATATAAATTATGAACCGGTTTCGATGAATTAATAAGCATAAATGATTGCTATCAAATTTTTATTGCACATCCTTACTACAAAAAAGATTCTGCAAAAAATATAAAGTATTTTAAAATCTATCATCAATTGCACTTCCAATTTTCAAATATTTCTATATAATTTTATGTTTGCAAAATTTGTGCCAGTTTTTCTGCAACTTTTGCGAAATGCAAATTGCAATTTTTTTCGAAGCTGTAAATCAATTAATAAATTTCTGATTGTTTTTGATTGAGGAATTTACATAAATCTATGTAAATTGAGAAAGAGAAATTATGGTTTTGTATTTTGTTTAATTTTTTTTAATTAATCAATAATTGGTTAATTTCTTTCGGCACCACTTACCATAACAAAATGCTGCAGTGTTATCTGCTGAAAAAATATTCGAACTCGTGATCCTTTTAAATCGGTAGTTTCCGGTGGAAAAATAGCAAGTGCATGAATTACGTTGAAATGTTGCGTTTTTCGTTGAGCTTCCGCAGCCAAATAATAATATAAGCATTGTTCGAGTATTTCGAATTGATGTCGATTTAATGTTTCAATATCTGAAATAAACGTAAGTAAGTTCTTTAGTATTCAAGTACTATGCAGCAATATTTTAAAATAAAATTTTAGGATTGGCACAAAAAACACTTATTCCTTTCTTTCATAAATTCTTTTCAATGTTTCAAATTTCTGACCTTTTCCTTCTAAAAAAGAAAATTTGATGGCAAATAAATTTAATTGGTTAAAATTTTTATTATTACTATATGCTATAAAATTTGAAATTAAACTTTACCGGATATATTCTTTAGATATTCGCATTTATTTAAACTGAATAAACTGGGAATTGGACCTAAAACTCGGAGATTTTGTTGCTCTTCTCCAGCAGGTGAATTATCACATTCTACGGTCGGTACTAATAGTACCATAAACAAAAATATTAGCATCGTTGTGCCTTATATCTGAAAATTGTATTTGAAAAGTATAATTTGGCAGGGGAATTTTCAAACAAACGTCAAAATTTTACGATTGTCCTTTCCATTTTACGATTGATCTCTCTTTAAATGTCAAATAATAAAAACTTTTAATGATTTAATCACTGTCGATTTAATATTTATTAATTTTTGAAGCGAATTCATCCAGAAAGTTTTATTAAAAAGTTGCTAATATTATAAGCGATAGAAGTAAGCAAATCTTCTTTTATTTCTAGTAGGTTTAATAAAATGTATAAAATCATCTCAATAATCAATATGGTAATTTCTATTGTCTAGAAAACAATTCATGAACTTTAACCTTAATGAACGACAAATTAATCACAGAGTTCAGTGAATTAATTAAATTCCGGAATTAATAACAGGCGTTATGTTGATAAGGAAATTGCGATTGAAACTAATTTTTTTATTGAAAATATTCAACTGTATAGATTAATTTGATAATGCGAATTGAAAAACTATTTGAAATGACTCATAGAAATCAATAAAATATTTTCAACTATTTGAAGATTCTCCTAAATTTTATTCCTAATTTCCTTTTCCGCCTGAAATATCAATACTATATAATTTTAATTACTTTTCACGGCAATTTTGATAATGATTTAATCCATTTTCTCTGAATAGACTTTTATTCGAACATAACTTTTACTTCTAATATAATTTTCTCACTTTTTAAATTTTCGTTAACAATTTCATTATGATTTATCAAAGGCTTACTTACTTCCAATAGAAACTCTTCATTTTAAACACATTGCATAACAACTGAAAATATTATAAACCTTAGCAACAAAAGCACAACAAAAAATTTAGTTAACAGTAACTCAGAGTGAGAAATAAAATGCAAATTTCATTATGTGATATATGTGATAACGAAGAATCTGAAAAGATGGATGCTTTTTCAATATTAGATATCGATAATGGAAAATTCATTCACCACTTCAAATGATGAAAAAGGAAGACCCTTCTGATAAACCTGAATTGTCTGTTTATGCATCAACTAGCATATCATGGATATAAGAATTACCTGTTTCACTATGAAAAGCTTGTTTTTCAATGTTATGCACATCCGTAACATCCGACAGGAAAATGATTATTTTTCATTCCTGCTTTTTTACCAATATCAACAAATATGTTATTTACAATTGAATTAAATGAATCGAATTGAATTTCATTTTGTTTCATCGAATTAAATTATACTGAAGTGAATTAAAATGAATTAAGAACAAAGAATTAAGATTGAGTAAACAAATAAACAGAATTACAGAATGGATGAAAACAAATAAAGAAATAATTTGATTATTTCTTAAAGTTCAATAAATTTTTTAGAGATAGAAATATAAAAGAACTCAGTAAACAAAGCTTCTCAAATTTGCAAATTCTGAGTGAATCCAAATTTCATAATAATTTATTAAATGAAATAATAAATATGAAAAATATAAAATTACATTTTATGATTATGTGAAATTTATTGGAAAGAATAATCGAATAATTAAAATTAATATTAGAGAATTTTTAATGAAAGCAATTAATTATTGTATTATTTTATGAAAGAGAAATGTTTTTATTATTTAGTGCTTTTTTTTATTATCCTTTCTATCTAAAAATTAGGAAAATAAGGATATTCAAAGATGCTATGATTTTACTCTTTCAAAATCAGACCATAATCATTTTAGATTTATTGCAACAACTCTTAGTTACAGTAGCATCCTTCATCCTTCATTATTCATTAGTTACAGTACCATCCTTCATTATTCACTATTCATTTTTTTCTATTTGTGATAACAGTGTTATCAATTACATTTCACAATTACATCAAAGAATTATACTGCTAAAATATCAAAAAAGATATTTAAATTTTACATTTATCAAAAAGTTTTGAATACTGATAGTTACAAACAGAAAAATAAAAGTGTGATAAAGAGTGATAGGAACGATTATCTGTTGCTGCATTTACGAACTTAAATATCTTCCAATATTGTCATTTTTTAAGCTTCATAATTTCTTAACTGATATGTACAACTCGATATTTCCAAAAGAATTTAGAGCAATTATTTTATATTGTTGTAATAAGCGTTGCTAATGACTGAACTGATTCCATAATATAATTAATTATCAGAGGGGATTGTTTGCATTGTAAACATTAAGTTTGTATACTGTAAGAAGTGATAAGTGAAATCTTTAATATTCCAAACATTTATTTTTCTAAAATTTTAAAGTTTATAATACTTTGCATTATAAGCACGAAACTAAAGACAAAATCGATATGCTTGTATCATTAATTTAATTTCCGGATTTTAATTTCACCTATATTGTATGCATAATTAAAAACAATCATAATGATAGTTTACCAATGATATCAATGATGAATATAATTTTTAAACTTTTTAATTACACTAAGAGCAACAGCAAATAGAAATTGGAATAAATTGGCGATGTGAAGAAAGATGAATGATTTGTATAAAACGAACCATAGCACACTGCAAATGCGATCATTTGTAAAATGTCGTCAATGATGTTTCGAATTTAAAGCATTGCATTGAGGGAAATTGAATTGAAGTAGAGGAATATTCAATTTTCAAATCGCACGCTTATTACATTCAAAACCGGTTTAATTTTTTGAATGATTAAATTAAATCAGCTAATTTAAAAGACATATCAGACAAGTTTGTGGTGATTCTCTTTGCCTACCTTCTTTTCTCATCCTCTCCTTTTTATTATCATTCCTTTTATCTCTTCTATTTTAAAAGATTTCATTTGATTTTGCAAAAACCTGAAATGCATTTACTTAATGTATTGCATCTTTCTATCCATATCAGAAAACAAGTTCACAATTTATTGTGGTTTTAGCAATTCATCTCATAACAGATAAAAATTATTGCAATGTGCACTTTGTTAAATAACAATCAATTAAAATTTCAATTTCTGCTGAATAATTATTTAAAATATTCCTGCATAATATGATCGGAATATTTCCCAACAGATAATTTTACTTTTTTCCAAAGATCAATGCTATAATTTTTCGGATATGTTCTCTGAAGAAAAAAATCTTTTATATATATGATTGGAACACTGAATGTATTTACATTAATGACAATTATTAAATTGATTTAAAATGGTTGAAGGAATTTCTACGAAATGAACTAAAGATGAATTTTAAATGATGCATTTTCCGCATTCAGTAATGGACTTCCGTTGATGATGATTGAGCGCAAATTGTTATTGACTAAAATTTTTATTAATAAATTAAAATTTATAGATATCTGGGTGAAAAAATCAGGAAAATAAAATTAGTTGTACAAATACTGGTTCAGTAAATCTCGGTATTAAATAAGTGGAATCGGTTTGTCCCATTTCAATTGCATTCTCATAAAAAAACAGCCCTTGGGCCAAGTTAAGGTAAACAATAAACAAAAGCTTAAAAAGAGATATTTAAATGAAATTTGCATAGTTTTGGTGTTATCCTAGAATTTTTTCCTAATAAGCTATTAATGTATTTCAGCAAAGACTTTCTTCTCTCCGCTAACACATACTCTATCTCGTGTAACGTGCACATCATAAATATAAGTAGCGCATAACATCACACCTGAATGCATATCTATGATAGCGTGAAAAAATAAGATATTCTTTTAATATGTTAAAGATAAAAAGAAGCGGTGATTGTATGCTATACCATAATTGCCATACAAGCTGCCATTTATCCGTATGATTTGACCCTAACTTGAACCATAACTGTTTTACTTTTTCTCTTTCTGCTCAGTAAAATAAATATAATTGCACACCAATCAACTTAATTTATTGGAAAAAATTTTACGAAATTTTCTCAATGTTATTTAAGTTTCAATAGTATTGTTGGTGTACGTGTTCCCACTGGACATATCACATAATATACGTGATATTTCCAGAAAAAAATTCCGGAACTTTTTCTTTTACAGCGGAATGCAACACATAGAATACATTCATAGAAATTGTACGTCTCATTGAAATTTGACATATATTTAGATGTTACTCTCCTGGAATTCAATAGATTTCAACACTGAATACTATTCGGTGATAGAAATTGAAATGAAGCGCATATGAATTGGAGTAGATGAGAAAACAAAACTGATATTTATGATATGATCATCATACTTCAGTGTGCTAAAATTGTTGTAATGATAATGGCGATGCATAATGAATGATCATAATAATACGATGATGGAAGATGAGAAATGATAGATGATAAGCGTGATGGATGTTGACAAGTGACAGATATTAATTGTACGTAATAAAAAATGAAATAATGATGATGGTGAGATTGAAACCAACAGGATTGAAAAAGCAATATTTTTATAATACGCAAAATATCATCAATAAAATCATTAATCTTTTGAATACAACATATTGGTGACATTTAGTATGCTTCAGTTTCCTATCTCAATTAATCCGATCGCAATTATTGCGGAAATATTCGGAAATCAATGGGGCGAATTTATATGTTAAAACAAAATGATAAAGCATATCAGTGCGAAGCGACCAATAAGATTAAGTGTGTGAAGTGGAAGAAATTTATTTGATAGCAAATTTTATATGAAATGATTGATTACGATAAGCTTGAAAGCTATATTGTATTTTATATTATGTGCTAATAAAATTATCTGTGAAGAAATCTGGTTCAATTTTCAATTATTAATTGTTTTTTTCGTTTGTACTGAGATATCAAAGGAGAATGATAATTGAAACTTTTATTAAAAGCTTTCCAAATAATTATATGAAACTAATTTCAAATTTGAAATGATATTTTTATTTTATTGAATAAACCATTTAAATGCAATAATAATCAGTCATTATCATTTCAATATACACTTCAATATATAACCGTTTAATTCTCTAATTAAAATAAAACAAAAAAATAAAAATAAAAACAAAGAAAAAACAAAAAAGGAAATACGGGAAAAACAATAAAAATATGCAATTATCAATTATATCTTTGAAAGCATAACAAATTCATTTTTCATTTAAAAATTATATTTTCTAAGGATTGAAAAGAAGAGAAATTATGAATGAATATAATGAGTGATCAATAATCAGCACTTAATAATCAATAATCAGTTATCGATTTTTTTCCTTATGCAATAATCAGTAATTAATGTGAAGAAAACTAACTTTCCGTCGAAAGTTAAGACTTTGATTATATTAATTAAGTGAAAATCTTTTGTTGTATTTTATTGAAATGTAAACATATTAGTCGAAAAAATCTTTTCTTTCAATTTGAATTGAATGCTTTCCAATTCTGTCTTTAAGCAAATTTTTGAGAGTTAAATCAATCATTCAATTTGATAATACGAATTGAATAGTTTTAATAGAAATTTTTAGTAATTCATTAAAGGTTTTGAACAAACAAATAAAAAGAATAAAATTGAATGGAAAAAATATTAATTTCAGAAATTATAAAACTTTTTACTAAATTAAGAGCTTAGAATGAAATATGCATTTGATTGATAACAATTTGATTATTTCGAAGTTCGAGAATGTTTTTTCCGCTTGCACTTTCAGTAATATCATAAAACATCAATTATCAAATGTTAATTTAATATGATATTGATATATCAAAAATTATCAACCAAACGATTCACGGGATTATTCATAAATGATTTGATACCTCATAATTTTGATCCAATCCTGAATTCTTTTTTTTGAATAGAGCGTCGGATTACAAACTTTTCTGATACGGACTCACGTCCATTATAAGATTAAAAAATTGGCAAATTCGATTTGATCAATAAAAGTATTTTACTGTCTAATTATATCTGGCCAATTAATTAAGTGAGATAAAAATAAATGAAGAGGCCTTGCAACTAACTAATAGGCTTTTTAAATGATTCAGTGATTTCTATGTTACTGCTTGAGTTGACTTGAGTTCCTAACTTTTTAGTTGAAGAAATCGTTTTTATTATTTAAAAAAAAGAAGTGCTAAAAATATTTATAATACAATGAAAAATATCGTTTACAATCGCTTGTAGAAAATTCAATCAAATTTAATCAAAAATCCAATTGTCACATTCATTAATAGAAAATTGAAATATTAATTTTGAATCAATGAAGTTTTTAATAATTGTTTCAATGTTTCAAATAACGAATCTTACTAATATTACTGGATTCATACCGTACCAGATTTCATAGATGACTCATTGCATACGAGAATGCATACGAAAAATCCATAAATCGCATTTATTATGAAAAAAAACTTCATTATCATAATTATCAATCAGTATGATCATCACTCTAACTCTTGGCACTCTCTCCTTATTCATCCATTATCGCAACATCACACATCCATCGTTATATAATATCTTCCTCGATATTATTATCATTATAAAAGCAAAAAAATATAAATTTTTCTGCTAATTGCTTATGGTTATCGCTGTTTGCCGAAAGATACAAATTTTAGCAGTTGTTAAATATATGTTTGCAATTACTTATGTATTACTTCAAACAAACATTATTAGGATGTGATAGATGATTTTGATGACCATTAAAAATAGAAGGTAAGGTAAAATGCTTTTGCATTTTGATCTTCTCCTTGGGCATCTTCTTAACCAATGTATCAGGTTGCAACTTTTTTCGTTGTAATTTCTTATTCAGTACATCCGAAACCTGAAAAATTCGGGAATTTTTGCAATCAAACAAAATGTCTTGTGAAGGAAGCGCTATTGACGGATGAAAATAATTGGAATAACTTGAAATTTTACATTTAAATGACAGATGAAACATTTCTAATTTCTCAGCTGCAACAGTTCAGTGTTGGTAACAGGTAGGGAAGTTCTAATTTGTCTTATAAGTCTATTACTTACCATCAACAATGCGGTAAATTTTTAATCAAAGCGAGAAATATCGAATTCTCTTTTGAAGTGGTAATATCATTTATGGAAACAAAAGAGAGAAAGATAGATGGAAATTCAAATTTAAGTTTTGCATTCCAAAAAATAAATAAATAAGAACGAAATCCCGGTTTTTTGGAATTAATTTTTATGTATATATAAATAATTGTAAATGATAATGAAAATGATTAAAATTTAAATTTGATGAAAATTTACCGGATCATATAACAAATTATGTTCCAGCCAATCAATTTTATCCTTCTTCATTTCACCATTACGACTTTTGCTAATGCTTTTACCACATATCCTTAACATATTGCTTCATCATATCAAATATCAAAAACAAATTGATATAATTTAAATCGCATTTCTTTTATCTAACATACAAATATAATATAATCTTACAAAAGTATAGAAATAATAAATATTGAAAATGAAAAAGAAAAGACCTTAAATGAGGTAAAGTATGTGCCCATAGACGACATTCAGCTTCAACTTCATCATCGGACATTGGTTCGCCCTCATAAATTGACCTCTCCGCTCGTATCAAAAAGTGTTCCTTTGTTTTCGCTTCATTAAAGAAACGATAATTTTGCATGATAATCGATCTTTGATGATGATTCTTTCGTTGTTTCAGTTCATTTCTACAATTGATCGAAATATTTGATGGATGATACATGGATGACGTGTTATGTTGAAGAGAAATTATTGGAAACATTGCTATGGAAACACATTATGATAGCGTGCAACATAGAGGTAATACACACCAATGATTGGTTATAATCCTTTAACAGCAATCATTATCATTATCAAAAAAATTTTATCAATTAATTATCAATGGTACGCTGCAATTATTCATTCATTGTTTATCAGAGAAAAAAAAATGAATTGAATTTAAGAAGCTTAAATGAATTCAATATTGTTATTTTTTTTATAAGCTAATTTTTATAAGCTTTGTCAATTTATTGATAAATTTAAAATTTTTAAAATAAATATTTTAACATTTTAATAAATTGCAAGAATTTTTCGAATCAAATTCATTTTGTTACATTGAAATAATTTTCTAACAGAAAGAGTTGGATTGTTTTTCCTGTTACTATAATAGATTTAAATCGATAGTTGTTTGAGCTTGTGGCAGTAAACATAATCGTGAGATGATTGTTTGAGGTCAAGAGGGATAATAGAGTGGTCTGTGTAGCCATAGTGAGATGATGGATATAACACGAAATATAACGCGAGCTGTTTGAGGTCAAGAGAGATAATAGAGTAGTGGTCCCGGTAGCCATAATTGACCTCACTGCTCCTTAATTATACTATCATTTCTTTCTAGAACACTCTATGGCTGCTTTCATTTTAACGGTATTGTTTTTCTTCTTTTCACTTTAAGAAATATTTCTGCATTTATTTAATTTAACTATAATTAATTTTTAAAAATAAATTCAATAAAGTCCTTTAAAATTGCCAACTTTAACATTATTATATTATTTGAAATGGAATATTTCAAAACCAAAAATATTTTTATACATCGAGCAATTAGTAGTGACAGTTTATATAAATCTCAAAATTAGTTATGAATTTCGAAAATTATGAATCACAAATTTATTAAAAAAAGAAATTTCAAAAAATTTATTCACATTGATCCAATTTTTATTTATAACTTATCAAATAATTATTTTTTGATATTTGAAACTTTTTGTTCCACTAATTAAATCTTATCACTATTTATCACAGGTTTTGCTACTTTCAACATTTCATATCACACAGCAATGTTTACCAAAACCAAATATAATCGAAAATAAATTTCCATTCGAGGTGCAAGCAACGAAATTGATAAATTTTCATGGTAAGTTAAACCAAACAATTTTCTTTTTTCGACACTAATTGGTGGAAGTTTAGTAAAATTATAAATTATTGCTTAAAATATCTCTCATTTAAATAAAATTTTAGCAAATATTAACAATGTAAATATACTTTAATTAATTTAAAATTATTGATAAAGTTTTACAGAGAACATGTTGAAAAAATTTATGAATATCACTGAGGGAGAGGGAAGTGGTAAGATAGAAAATGTTGCAAATGATGCTTATCATGTCAGCAATACAACGATTGTGCCAAAAACTAATAAAGCTGTGATAAAGATCGAAAAAGTTAGTTAGATATAATATTTGAATGGATCATTAAAAGACTGCTGCAATTACATTATAAGTTTTAATAACTTCGATGATTAATTAATGGGAAGATATTTCTATCTCTTTATGATACTGTATCATATCCGATAATTTACAGGAGAATCAAAAATTTATTGCATTGCATAGATTATATTAATTCAATAATGATATGATATATTATAGAAATGTCAGATAACGAACGAATGTGATGAATTATGGAAGCGTTTCTTCGGGCAGTGTATATGTCAATGAATATGCGATTAAAGTTTCAAATCAACACTTCTATTAATTTTTAATTTGTTAAAATTAAATCGCATAATATATCGTCATTATTGAGCCATTAATTGAATTCATTTTAATTTTTGTGAAATTTATTGATTTGCTAATTTTAAGTTGAGAGAATAATTAGTAATACTGTCAAGTTTATTGTATTGCAGCAAGTTTTAATATCACTAATTTCTTGTAGTATTTACGTATACGTATTTATGCAATGAAAAGAAATTTAAGACAATTTTACTTTAAAGTTTTACATTGTTGATGGATCATTCACTATCTGATGAACACTTTTTCTAAAATTTTGTTAACTTATTAATTATCGCCTTATTATTGCTATTTTAATTATGCGAATTTATATATAATTTAGAGGATACTAATAATTCACCTATTGTTTAATATTTGAAAACATACCTTATCTAATCTATAAATGATTATTTTATTTTGCTTTTATTCTTATTTGAAAAACTTTCGTAATTGGAATTCATCGAATGGCAATAGAAGAAAGGTAAACTAGTGATCAGAGAAAGTTCAAGAACTATTGTGACCCTTGAAGATAAACTATGAGGTGCATTTTAAAATGGAAAAAAACAACAATGAGTTAAATAAACAAAATGAATTTATCGATTAATCAAAGTTATTGCAATTTTTAAACGTATAATTGCTAATTACTTTCTGTTTAAATATTTCGACATACTGACGCGTTAGAGCAACTCCTGAAATTTGAATTAATTGATAAGAAGAGAACAAAAATTAATTTCTTTGAAAGTAGTTTGATAGCATCTCTGAAAGCTTTAATTTCGTCATAGAGAGAATTAAAAAAATCGAAATTAAAGAAAACAAACTTTGTTTCTTAGATTCCCAAAGGATTTTAACACCATCAACGTCATATTTTAGATAATTGGACGGTGTTGTTTCTAGGATCAGTGGTACCAACATTAATATCAATCGTTCCATAAATGATTTTTCTTCTGATTTATTATATTCTATACCAGCTATTGCATCTGTATAACCAATACCCTTTAATTTTTCCATTAATTTATATTTTACGAATTTAAATGTATCAAAAAAAAACTTATCTTAAAATATTTAAATTTTCTTAAACAAATTTTATAGAAATTTCATTACTTTTTCATTGAAACAAAATTCAGACGAAATTATTCCTTTGATTATATAAAATTTGAACTAACTTTCATATAATTTTCAAGCGTTATTGGAAGAGCATATGGCGGTGGAAAGGAAGTTTGTATTGATTTTGTCATTTGTCCTTTATTCGTCCCTTCTAAACTTATAAATTTCAATATAATATTTCTTTTCGATAAAATTATATTCGAAAATTCCTTAACTTTATTCACAGTAAATACTTACTTTTTTCAGCGCATTTTTTCATCTTTATTTTTACAAAACAATCATTACCTATAATTAGAAGTGAAAAATTAATTAAGCATTGATTAGCAACTGTTTATGTTACATTTTATCCAATTCCTATCATCGTATTTCAATTGTAATAAAATGTATTTGAAACATTTGCTTCCTTTTTTTAAATATTTATTATTATTATTATTATCACAACTGACTGATTTTCATATTATCAAAGATTTCATTATATAATTATTCAATTTAAACTGTCATATAATATCTGTCATTATCAGAATTAAACTTTTGCAAAATTTGATTACCGTAAAAAAATTACCGAAAATCATTTTTAATATCGCATTGTGGATAATGCAATCGTTGGCATGGATTCGTATTTTTTTGCGAGAATTACAAGCCAAAGTTCCGAAATTACTTGAAACTTCGATGTAAGGCATGTATTTTTTCGAGCATAAGCAACTTAATTTATAACTGATAATTTCATCCGGTTCTATAATTTCGGTAAATTTACGCCATGTGTGAAATGCATCGAAAATTAATTTGATTTGCATAATAAATGAATACAAGCAAACAAATAAATAAATAGATAAGGAACATTTCTAAGAAATTAGGAAATCTAAAAATTGGAATGTGTAAAAAATAGAATTTGAGTCGGGAAATTCTGAAGAAGCTGGAAATTAAAATCTAACGAGAAGCTGTTTTTAATATTTTTTTTCCTGCATATTATTTCTGCTAATCAACTCAACACATCATTAGCACAAAACAATAAATACAAACATTCTTCACAGTAACCTTTCTGTAAGAATACAATACGACTTGGGCCAACAGCCGAAAACGGTTTCCAAGTTGTTGCTTGCACACTATAATCAGCATCGTAAAGTATTATATCTGTAATAGAGTAGAAGGTTTTTCTTTTACAGATTAAAAAATATGAATTAAAACAATCAGCTAAGGTTTAATTAATAAAGCAAAGAATGAGTGAATTTCAGAAACGAATGCTTGGAAGGAAATATTTAAAGGAAGTAATCGATAATTAAATAAGTTTAATATGTAATTCAAAAAACAAAGGTTATAGAGCAAACGAAATCAAAGAACAGAAATATTACAAGCTGCAAGGAAAAAGAACTATTTATTTAATTATTCTTCACAACAATAAACTTCTATAAGCTCCAGCTGAAACTTTTAAATTCACTTAAATGACCCTGCATACTATTAGGTCAGAAGTTTTTTGTTGAATAATTCAAAAACGACAACAAAATTTTCATTTGTTAATTAAATTTTAACAGTTTTTCGGGGGATTTTAATATTTATTATATCTAATAAATTAACTTGCAAACTTTAAATTTAAATTAAAATTAACTTTAGACAGTTTAATTTTGTTTCAGATTTAAAAGACTAACTTTCTTTAGTTATTTCAATGACGAAATTTCCGTTCCAATGCTTTTGGTCTATTTTTTGATGAGTATAAACAATTAGCAACGATGAATTTTGTTTCCCAAATTGATCTGTCATTTCATTGAATAACACCAAATCTTCTTCTCGACTATTTAGCTAATGATACTGAATTATTATCTGAAATTTATACAAATACAACTACGCTTTTTTTTAAAGTTATGCGTATATTTTCTAATGAATATTTTTAAATTCCTCGGATTAAAATTAACTTTTAAGTTATGTGCACAGAAAGTATTAATGAAATCTTATTATTGTAAAGAATTTTGAAAACTTTGAGATGAATTATATATGTTCAAACGATATTATTGTCTAATTATATCTTCCTAAAATCCTAAAATTTCTTTAAATATACAAATATAAATTATAATTCCATAGAAGTATAAAGATAAGAAAGGTTGAAAACGAACGGAAATAATGCAATATACCGAACAGTAAAAGTAAATTAAGGAAAATGATAATACTATATTGTATAATGTCGTTTAATAAGAATGTTTCATTTATTTAAATATTTGAACGAAAGCTTTCCTGTACTAATACTTTAGAGATAAATGTGAAATTTACAAACAAAAAGAGTTATATTATATAATATCAGAGCAATTGCCATGTTAGAGATAGATTGATAAGATTGATGAAATCGAACAACTGAATGATAAAAAGGGAATGCTGAAAAATTGATGAAATGGAAATAATTTATGAACCAAAATGAATAAGTTGCTAATTATGTAGATGAACTAACAAGAGAACATACTATTCATGAAAGCATATCAATTCTCTTTGTTAATTCATCGGAGTAGGAATGATATTCATATCAATCAACAACAGAAATTGTATTCATATCAGTCATCAGAGCAGGAATGATTATAAGTTATCAAATTTTGAATGATCATTTGATTGTGCTAGAGCCAAAATATATATTTATGGAAGAGATTTTGAATTCGCTTTAATTTCGGTATTTAATGGAGTTGTTCTTGAGAATCAGTAGTAGAAATTGTAATCTTACCGCATCGAAAATTTCTCTTTTAATTCTTTTTTTATAGTTTCTTGCATTTATAATTAATAGCAATATTAACACAAATGTATTTCTCTGATATTTTTCTAACATACTATCGGAAACCAAAAATGATAACAATATGTCAGCATATCATAGTTGAACAAATGGTAAATGAAATTTCAACAAATTTTTAAAATTTTCATTGTGTCACTACGAATGAAGATGGCGACAGCAACCGTAGCGTGCATATAGGCGCCAATTTGACAATGGATGATATCCTTCGATGAAGTTTGAACGACGGATCATTTGATGTGCAATGTTTATTTTTTCATTTTGTTTGGGTTTTCGTTTTTCGAATAGCTTTTTAGGTTTAACTGTTTGAATTTGTTCAAATATTTAAAACAATCTCTAAAAATTAAAATTTGATCGAAAAGATTTGGCAAAATATTGTGTGAAATTCGGGAAAATTGACTTTGAAATCATTTACTGTTTCACATTGACTGTCCGTAGATATCGAACAGTTTGTCAAAAAAAGATTTCCAATATAGGCTTTAATTTCATACATTCCATTTGTTATATGTTATGTTGCATGTGATAAGATGTAAAGCATGATTTGGAGATGAAAAAAAGTGTACGAAATTGGCCGAATTATCGCATTAAGAAGTTAGAAATGGGCGATTTTGTTTTTGTATTCTATGAATGACAACATAAATTTCCAATTTATTTATTTGCTTTGTTTCATTGTCATACCGTAAAGAAATCGTTATAAATGTGAACTTGAAGTTGAAATTAATTTCGTTTCAGGAGCAGTTAAACTGTAAATCAATGCATCGAAAGAAAGACTTTCAAAAAGTGCTACTTTCGCAGCCACATGGGAAAAATGCTAGTACCGCAGAGAACGGTATGCATCGTAAATTAATTTTTTTAATGTCAAATAGTGCTGATTGACAAAATTTAAAATCTGTGAAATTATTTCATTCTTTATCCTCAACTGGATGCAAGCACGGTAAAAATCTGTGCATATCTTGATGGATTTTGAAAGAAAATGAAATCAATGCAAGTGTCAAAGTTTAGGGAGAGCAACCTAACAGCCAAGATTTACTTTTTTTGCAGCAGCAGTTAAACGTAATGCTGGACGTATGGATACGGAAAGTGATGAAGATTTACGAGCGCAAGTTCGTAATGACGTTAATGAAGAGGTGATTATTTCTATTGTATTTCAGGTGAATTGAGGCTGAGATATCCCCAGTGTATAATGTTGTGGAAGTATTGATGAATAACGATAGATTCCAAGCAATATGGTAGCATTGTGAACGCCAAATTTTAGGGCAGAGAACTTAAAATTTTTATACCAGAGTGTTCTTGAGAATTACCATTATTAAATGATTGAGTATCAAAAAGATAGGTATTTTTGTTTCAGAATTTGTTGAATATGGAAATTCCTCCGATGCCCGAACCCATAATGAGCGCAGATGGAAGTGGGCAACGGCTTATGATAACTAGCATTGATGTTGAAAATTTCAAGTCTTATTATGGTAAACATGTTCTGGGTCCTTTCCATCAGGTGAATTTGAATTTTTTGTTTTTATTTGTGCTTGATTTACAAAGCGATTAAATACGACATAGCTCGATTATTAAACTCACTACCGGATATCACTTTTTTGGGTTTGCTAATCGGGGAATTAGAAACTCTAACAAATATAGTACGAATAAATTCGAATAAATTAAATGAGTTGATTTAACTTGAATTTGCGAAGTTTCCGGAATATAGAATTTACGCTTCTCTCATATTTTCGATATACTGATTTTTTTTCAGAATTTTTCGGCCATAATTGGTCCTAACGGCAGCGGAAAAAGCAATGTAATTGATTCTTTGCTCTTTGTCTTTGGTTATCGTGCATCAAAAATTCGTTCCAAAAAAATAAGCGTTTTGATTCATTCCTCAGCTGGTCGGGAAAACATATCAAGTTGTACTGTCGGTGTTAATTTCCAGAAAATTATTGATTTGGTAAGAATATTAATCGGTATAATAAATAAATGGAAAGATAATTTTCGCTGTCTACACATTTGTACCACAAAAATAATTTTTTGGTTTAATAAGATAGCTTGTTCATTACTATGTCAAATGATTTTACTGTTTCATCTAATCTGTAGTTTTTGCGAAGAAAATTTCATTTTAAATGTTCAAATGTTCAAAACGATTTTGTATAATGTTCAAAACTAATAGTAACCGTTCAATGAAGCGCTGACTTTTGTTTATGAAATATTCGAAGACTTCTTTTTAGCCTGATGGAAGCTATGACGTTGTGCCATCCAGCCTGTTTACCGTCAGTCGAACTGCATTTCGTGATAACTCTTCAAAATATACTTATAACGGTAAAACGATGCAATTCAAAGATATTGCTGTATTGTTGCGAGGCGTAGGAATTGATCTTATTCATAATCGTTTCCTCATTCTGCAGGTATTACAATGCATTCTTGCATATTCCCAATATTAATTTTCATACCGCTCATAATTCTAGATCTTGTTGATTATATTAGCATTTTTATAAGGTGACATGATTCGTTTAGGGTGAAGTCGAACAAATTGCTTTGATGAAACCGAAAGCTTTAAGTGAAAATGATGATGGCATGTTGGAATATTTGGAAGATATCATTGGTTCAAGCAGGCTCAAAGTCAGTTTTTTAATTTTAATATCTTGTCTTATTATTATGGTGATGAAACAAAACAAACCAGCAAATCATAATAGTGCTACTATTATATTTTACTAGTTTGTTTCGTTTCATTATCTTTTGTTTTTTGTTCAAATAATTACTATATATTTATATATATTATATATATATTTTTCTCTTTAAGTTGATAACATTATATTTTATAGAATAAAGTGATTTCTGATTTTAAGATTCCAATTGAAACAATTCAGCGGAAAATTGATCAGTTGCAAGAAGAGCGTTCTGCGCAGTTGAACCGCACGAAATTTGCAGAAAAGGAAAAAAATGATGCTGAAGGACCGATGAAAAGTCTTATTGCAGATCTTCGTGTTGATAATGGTATCGCACTGACGAAGAATCGTTTGCTGCAAGCTGATCGGTAAATTTTGCATTTTTTGATCCAAGTGTAAAAATATGCGTATGACATGCAAAATTGCAAAATCTCGTGTTGTATTCATTTCAAATTGAGATTCTGGAATTGGAAAGTATAATTCTCGTGATCATTTTTAGATGTAAGGCTAAATCGGAACTGAGGGAAGATGAGGAGAAAAAAGAGGAGTTTGAGAAGGATCTGGAGGACATAAAAAAACGACAGGAAGAAGTCTTAGCTTTGCAGAAGAACAGGAAAGATGAACAGAAGCAACTGCAGAGGTAACAATTTATTTGAATATTATAAAATAATGCAAAATTGTTTGCTGTATATCCTGCCAGCGCTTTTTTGGTGTAATACGAAAGATTCTGGTGGCTTGCACGAAATCTTACGGCACCGTTTTTTATTTTTTTATCATTTTTTTCTTCAGATCCTTTGAGAAAGCACAGGAAGAATATGAAAAGACGAAGCATCAACTTAATGAACTGGGACAAGCGGAACAAAAGCGGAAAGCTGAGTTGCTTCGTCTCAGTGACAGGAAGAAGAAATTGACTGATGACATCACGAACGAAGAGAAGAAGGTTTCTTGTATTGTCAACTGGATAATTTAGAATTAAATTTTTGATTTGGATCAAATCAAGCATATACTGTAAGCTCCCACCTGGAAAGTGCAAGCGATACTGATTCGTATGATTATTGATCATAAGTTTTTTTGTTGTTGCGCGGGAAAAGAGTTTTTAGACGTCATTGCAGAAGTACAGCGGAGCAAGCATCGCAGGGCTGCATGTAAGTGAAAAATCTTCCCCTCATTTTGACCAGTGCATACTAAATATTCGATTCACCAACTTCCCAATCTGTGGATCAACTAAGGGGAAAATTTAGCACCTATTATTGTATTCATGTTCGGAAGGTGGTTGTGACATAGAAAATGTGCATGCGCTACTCCATCGTTTTTCTCCTATAAAAAGCTTGGGAATAAGAAACTTGTTGCATCGAACTATTGGACGTTCCTGATGTTCATGTTCTAATAAACCATTAAGTAAAACGGTTCATTTGAATTTTTATGATTGGAATGCTTGCATTAAATGCTTTTGGACTTTATAAATCCGTTTCAGATATCTGAATTGAAACAGGTACCAACAAAAGCGAAAAGCAAACTGGAGGAATATCGTGAAATATTAAATGGAATTGATGATGTGATTGCTCAAAAGCAAGTCGAAGTAACGTTTTGATTGTTGATGGTTATGCTTCCTTCACGTTCTTTTAAGCTTACAATTATTATTAAAATCATATTGTAGGTCGACACCCATTTAAAAGAACTACAAGAGCAAACTATAAAGTTTCAAAGTCCGAAAAAGGCACTGGAGGAACAAGTCGGGGAACTTACTGCTAAAGAAGATGAGGCAAGCAGCAAGGTTAGTTTCTTTATTTTTCACTCATCTCTTTCGGAAACGTTAGCAGCATTCATAAACTGTTGTCTGAAGACTTGAAAAGATATGGTGACAAGGATGAAATTTGTGAGCTTTGAGAAGCACGTTTAGGAAAACTTTTTTCAATGCTATTGATAAATAATATAAAGTATTGAATTGTCAGTTAACGCTGGCTCAAGAAGCACTTCAACTTATGCGTAGAGAAGAGGAAGTGGCGAAGAAAAAACTTTCGGAAATTCAGACATCTCTCAATGATGTAAAAACTCTCTTGGAGTCCAAAATAAAGTTTGTCAACTTTTATAATCAGAACAAAATAAAATGATTATGCATGAAAAGTGGTGCATCTAATAACTGATGTTTTATTCTCGTAAATATGTGTGGTATTAGGTGTTGCAAAAAAGAGTCTTTACTTAAGTTCAATTTTTTGACCAAAAATTTTGGTCTTGGAAAGGTGCTGTAATTTATATGCTAACAAGAAAATGAAATTTGCGATTGATAGACTTTCTTTGTTTAATACTAGTCTGCAGGTGGTTTCCGTACTAAATATTTTCAGCGATCTGAATAAGGTAAAGCAAGCAATTCCAAATGTCGACAAAGAGCTTCATAATGCGAGATTAGAAATGGCAGACAAACGGAAGGAAGAAGCAGAATGCGCTGAAAATGTTCGTTTCCTATTTATTCAATGAAATTCCAGAATTATAAAAGCAATAATATATGCATGTGAATTAGATGGAAATTTTTGCTTGGAAACTTTTTTTGTCATCTCACTGGAAATTCCAAACATAATTCCACTTTTCATACTGGAGTCCGACTTTTATCTTAATCAGTAAGCGGTTTGCTTGTCTCACTTAATTGCGCGTTATTCGTTTTTTTTTTTTTCATCTAAAATGATTTGTTTTTGTCACAGGAGAATTTTAGTTTCAAACTTGATTCTGACGAAACTTTTATTTCCTCAGGTTCGCCAATGTATGGCAAAGTTCGAGAAAAAACGGCGAGTGGTGGAAGCGTTTCAAAGCCAAAGCAATGTATTGAGACGTTTGATGGCTGAGAAATCATCTGGGAACATACCGGGGATATATGGTCGTCTCGTATGTTTTTCGTTATGAGTCGGTCTTAAGATTAGATTGTCTTTAATGAATTTGGTTCGAGCAATCTGGTGCAAGTTATGCTTAACCAGATTCGGGGATAATATTCATGTGAATTCGGAGTTTAACCAAATTTTTTGAATTTAAATCGAAGATTAAATTCAGTGTTTCTTAAATGTTTCTACATTGTGTGTTTTTGCAGGGTGATCTCGGTGCAATTGATGAAAAGTATGATGTTGCTATTTCGACAACATGTCGAGCGTTGGATTATATAGTGGTTGATAATGTTGATACTGCTCAAATGTGCGTGGAATTTCTGAGGTGCGAGAATTTGGGCATTGCCTCCTTCTTGGTACTCGATAAGCAGGATAAACTCCGTCCGTATATGGCAAAGCTAAGCTCTACGTATGTTGATCGAGAAATATATGAACATAAAAATTTTATTGAAATTCTGGTATTGAAGTAAACCACAATCATTTTTTTGTTAATAGTTTTTTTTGAAATCATTTACTTATAGACCTGAAAATGCACCTCGATTGTTTGATTTAATTCGTGTAGCAGATCCAGCAGTACTACCCGCATTCTATTTTGCCTTGCGTGATACTTTGATAGCAGATGATATTACGACTGCAACACGTATTGGCATTGGTGGCTCGAGACGTTACCGAGTGGTTACACTGAAAGGTGAAGTAATTGAAACAAGCGGTTCTATGACAGGTGGTGGAAGATCTGAACGAAGGTGCTCACGTTTATCTTGCAAATTGATTTAATAATTGAAATTTTATGGGTATGTTGAATATATTATGTATTTGTAGAGGTAGGATTGGTCAAAGTATCAAAATTGACACTTCGAAAGAATCATCTGAAGAGGTTGTTGAGTTACAGAATCTACTGACAGAAGAGCAGAATCGGCTGAATAATTTGCGTAGTGTTATTCATCAGGTTTATATTTTTGTTATTTAGATCTTTTTAAATGAAGCTACCATCACATTTTTTAAATTTTAAATCATAATTGATTTTATTCATGATTAAATTGCAGTTCGATTCTCGCATAATATCGCTTCAAGCTGATTACGATAGACTGAAGAAAAATGAGCAAAATTTATCAAATGACATTGAACCTCTTGAAAGAAAAGTAGCTGATCTTGAGCATAGATTGGAGGAACAAACAGCCAGAGTTAAAAGCGTTCTTGTGGATGAGAAAGACATACAACATAAAAAGGCTGAAGTTGCTGAACTTGCTAAAGGTTTAATAGTTTTATGACAAATTGAAATTTTTCAAGAAGTTGAAAATTTAATCCTTTATTATGTGAGTAAAAGTAGCATAAGCCTTTCTTTCCAGCCCGTGATAGAGCAGCAGAAGCGGCTGATGAAGCACGTGGAAAAGTAGATGAAATAAATACTAAGATTCAGGAGGTTTATAATCGAATTGTTGGTCCTTATCAAAAAGAGCTTGACGAAGTTCGAGCAAGGTAAGTTCATTTTATCCTGTATAATTCACGTCTGTATCTTAACAGACACTATTCATTTCTTTTTTCATGGTTTTTCGTTTTTGGAGAAAAGGATTCTCTAAATTAAAAATTATTTTAGGAAAGAAAACGCATCGAAAGGAGCAACAAAAGAGCAGAGTGTTCTCAATAATGCTCAGCGAAATATGAATAAAGCATTGAGCAGGTTTGATAAATTTTGAGATATGGCAACAAAATATTGTGTTATTCAATAAATTGATAAGAAATTAAATTTTAACGATATCAGGAAAAATGATCTTGAAAGTGATCAGCGTGAAACTGATGAAGCAATCAAGAAACTTGAATTAACTGAGGATACTCATGAAGCGGATATTAATCGGCTAACAAAAGAAAAAATACAACAAGAGGTAACTTCATTCACTCTCTCAAGAATATTTGGCGATTATTGCTGTAATATAAGTTTGGAAGGAAATGAAAACAAGTTAGCAGAGCTTTAACTGATGACAAGTTTATTGTTTTCTTTGGTCCAATTTTAACGAAAAAAATGTCTCTTCTGTTCAATATATTGTTGCTTTAACCTATCCTTTCCTTTTTAATAGATCTCTTCAATATTGACTCATTGGAGATGTGCCATATCTCACTGTTATAAAGTTGATCATATCTTAGATACATGATTTTTGCAGAAATTGATGAAAGAAGCTGAAGTTAAAGTGAAGGAGGCATTCAACAAAAATTCTGAATTGGATGCTGAAGAAGTTGGGCTTAAGAAGAAATGTGCTGATTTGACACGTTCTCTTCTCGAACGATTGAGATTTCTGGAGCATAAACAAGGGAAACTAACCATGATTGAGAGCAAGGTAAGCTTAATTTACTGTTAGAAGTTTTTTAAAATCATCAATAACCATATTTGCAAATAAACCACATTAAAAAGTGGAAAAGATTTTGAGAAAATCAAAAATTGGTGCTGTTCCTTGTTTAAGGTATTCCAAGCGCAAGAGTCCGTTAGCAATAACATATAAAGATTCCTGATCATAAAACTAAGAATGTCTTGTACTTCTTTTACTCCACTATAAGATATCGGTTCTTGCAAAGAATAGTAAGACATTTTGTTATTTGGCAGATGTTATTTACTATGACTAACTCAGATATAATTTAATACATCGATGTTACAGATCAAAACACTGCATTTGTCCTATGTGAAATGTTTGGATCGTTTACCGGAGTCACTTCAATCGAGCGAGGAAGAAGATGACGACTATGCATTACAGGAAGCTCTGAGAGTTGAGCACCAATTTTTCAAAAAATTGAAGGTGATTTTCTTTTTCGAAATTTCGAAATATTGTGAACTGAGTTAATTTTGATCTGATATCAAATAGTGCTACCTTTTTTTTTTCAGAATGGTGAGATTACTATCGAAGCTGATAAGGACGGTATCGTACGCTACAAAAATGTGCCTGAATATTCTGAAGAAGAAATCAAAAATTTCAATCTGCAGGACATGAAGTACTGTTTAGCATTCTCGATTGCTTCATTGTGTTTCATTTGAGACAATTATTAGTTTTTTGGGGCAGTCAAGTCTTTCAAAATTTTACAGATTTACATTAGCAAATTTGGAAAAGCGGAAGGCTGGTAAAATGCTGAACACAAATGGTTTGTTGGAGTATGTCACAAAGGTATGGAATATAATTTGTCTATGCTAGGATTATTGACTATCATTAGGTTATGTTTATTTTGAATTCGAGTAGAACTAGATGAAAATTTATTACGTTTCGTATATTTTTAATTGTCAATTTTACGGTGAGAAGGTGACATCATTTCCTTTTTTTCGAAAAACTTTTAGCTGGAGCGTTATGACCGTGAAGTTGAAGCTTTATCCGATATATCAACGAAACGTGATAAACATCGTCAATTTTGCGAGCACTTAAAGAAGCAACGGATGAATGAATTCATGGACGGTTTCACACGGATTGGTTTAGCATTAAAAGAAATGTATCAGATGATAACGTTAGGTGGTGATGCTAGCTTGGACTTGGTTGATTCACTTGATCCATTCAGTGAAGGTGTTTCTTTCGGGTAAGTCTGTATTTTAATATAATTGGGTTGAATTATCTAGATTTCTTTGGAGAATGAAAATTGATTATTCATTCAAAACTTCCGCTTATTTTTCATTAACCGCCCTTCTTTTTTCAAGTAATTTTACTGACACTTTTCAGCGTGAGACCACCGAAAAAATCATGGAAGCAAATTACTAATTTGTCAGGTGGTGAAAAAACTTTGTCATCATTAGCTCTAGTTTTTGCGTTGCATTATTATCGACCAACACCATTGTATGTTATGGATGAGATTGATGCTGCTCTGGATTTTAGAAATGTATCAATTATCGGGCATTATATAAAGGTAGCAATCCAGATGATAACAGATTTATTACATTTTTTCAAACATTTCACTTGTTGACTTCTTGAAGCTCTTAATTTTCTTGAAAGATGATATTTGTTCATTGTTTATTATTTCATTATTTTTCTTTTTTCTCATACTTATCCCTTTATCACTTTCTGTTGATCTTTGGTGATGAGATATGCACCAATTTCTGTAATTTATAGTAAGTCAGAAGAGTTCAATGTTTATTCATAATTCATTTCTTATATTAGTTTTTATTGTCAGGCAAAAAATGAATAAATAAATATTTAAGTAATGCATTTAAGTCTCTCAATTATTATAAAAATTGAAGAAAGAAATACAGATATTTTCAGGATCGCACTAAAAATGCACAATTTATCGTTATTTCTTTGCGGAATAATATGTTTGAATTAGCGGATCGTCTTATTGGTATTTACAAGACATTTGATTGTACAAAATCTGTTGCTATCGATCCTGGAAGTATCAGGAATATAATTAAGCCGCGTATGTTTGTTTTTATGGAAATTTTAAATGAACGGAAATTTTTCTTAGAAATTCAGATGCCGGTATTTAGAAATTACATTGCGATATTTAATTAAGCATATTATAAATTGTGGTTGAATTTTATGCTTATATTTTAGTCTGTGCTAACCAGGACCGAGAATTTTCAGTTCTAGTTTATGATATGCATCAGTAATATTAAATATTTACCTAAGCCTATTTGCTAGTGTTCTGCGTCAATGATTTCTTTGCAGTTCATATTTTGGAAGAAATGAAAAGACATAAAGGGAAGGACGGTGAAAAACATGCAGATGGAAAATACGAATTTCAGGTGAATTATTATAGTTAAGGATTCGTTTGAATAACATTCGGAAAAAAATATATTCTTATTGTAATATAAGCAATAGTCATTGCTAGAAGTCAAATTATACTTAAAAATGCGGTAGTTTTAAGTGTTGGCTTTCATTTAAGGTTTCATGGTTTTTAATACGTACAATCTCTTTTTTGATATTTGCAGCACACAGAAAAGCTATTATACCATTAACGAATCCGTTACTACATGAAATTGATAGATATGATTACTCTAATTTATCTAAGCAGGACATCACGTATATTCTTTATTTTTTCTTTTGAAGAAACATTTTTGTTTCAAATTTTCAGTTGCAAACTAAAGAAATGGATAGCCATACCAGTTCTTTAAAAATGAAGATGAAAAATACGCAAGGATCTAAAACGCCTTCAGTGGTCACTGGTAATTTTTATTTTATTTAATTTGAAACCATTTTTGAATTTAGATTGAGATACATGGAAAAATAGCATTATTGTTATTGAAATTCTTTAAGAAGATTTGTCCGTTAGTCGAGCACCATCCAGTCGAGGAAGCGATTACAATGTGATGTTGGAGAAAAGAAAACATGCGAATAATTCCGACAAAAATATTCGAACTTTAAAGTGCGTATTCAAGTTCCAACTTTCTTTACACTAGTTTTCAGTTATTTCAAAACTGAACGAGTTTTTTCAAAAAATTCTAAATTCTATACTTGTTATTTCGATATTTCCTTTGGATGTTATGTTTTTGAAGTCATTTTAGGGGCAATCAGCCATCTGTCTCACGAGAAACCACACCTACGGTTTCAGTATCTCCACCAACGAAGAAAAAATCTCCGCAAAAATCTGAAATTCCTACCTGGGATGTACCACAGACTATCACAGTGCGTCGTTCGCGAGCTGGACCTCCTGGTGACCAGGTATTTTGGGCATGTTATTGTAAAAATGCTTGATGATTTTTTTTGTCTCTAGTTATGTTTAACACTTATTTAGATTAGGATTTTTTCATCCATTGCGACTGAGTTTTCATCCATCACGACGAGAATTTTTTCAGATATAAATTTTCACTTAAATTTAACTACTTACTGACTGATTGTAGGATGAAAAAAATGGTGATAGTATAATTAATAAAAGCACGAAAGAGGCAGATGATACCTGTAGAATGGAAAATGTTCTTTCGAAGGATACTTCTGGTGTCATTTCACAATTAGAAGCAGGAGTTGCTCAGCCATCGAATTTACAGCAATCAGTTGCAAATACTGTATCAGATACAGATCGATTGGAACAGTTTGCACAAATGTTATGAATTTTAACTTCAACTGAAACGAGATCTCATATTTATTCGTTAATAGTATACTCGTTTTATTTGTATCACAGTGTCATATTGTTTTCTAATGTTTTTATACTCAAGGGAAACGTACATTGAGTTTTGCTAGTTTATAATCTGAGTTTTACATTTTATTTCAAATTTATATATTAAATTGGAGATAGTCATTAAGTTGGGAATGTAAAAACGAGCTACAATTTAATATTAAAAGTTTGATTTCACAAAATAAGTTATTAAAGCTGTTTCTAATCATATTCGAGCCTTGAGATAAAGCGATGTTTGATACTAAAAGGTTGGTGCCATATAAATTTACATCATTATAGCGATTTAAATTTAATTCTTTGTACTGTACCACTTTTCGTGTACTTAGGCATTATTCACACAATATAATTGTTAGTTCATGAATTCTATTGTATAAAAGTACAAACCTTCCTATCTGTCCTTAATTTCTAAATTTACTTTCTACAAGATCTCTTTTAGGTAATGATACTCTAAATGTAGATAAAATTCTGTTAAAGACCTTTCTTACCTCTCCGCACGATATTCTTTTTTGAATGAAATTGCAGATTGCTGAAGACCTATTTTTCGAATGTCGAGTTAATAGCATACATATAAAAGGCTAATATTAAAGGAAAAACGGGCAAAAGGAAGCGATGAACCAAATACTCGTGGTACTTGCTTTTAATCTAGTATGATAGTGGTAGCCATATAGAATTCATCAAAGTACTGATACCACTGTTTTATATTATACATTTGTTGTTCAAAATGCATAAGTGGTTAGGGAAAAACTACTAAACATTAGAGCTGTGGTTGTTATTTAAATGCCACGGATTTTTTTCCTGAACTTGCAATATGTACCCTTAATTAGAAATTCTGAGGTAAGCTTAGAAGCCATATTTTAAGGTTAGGTAATGATGTAATATGAAGCAGTAAACAGTGGTAAAAAATTTCAAGGTTAGTAATGAAAAAAAGCCATATTTTAAGGTTAGGTAATGATGATCACTATTGTGTTAAATATTGAAAAAGAAATTTAATGAGCCATAATGAAAACGAAGATGAAGAATATCTGGTTACAATAACTCATGAGATAAATATGCTATTTCGAATGATTGGATGTTTTCGCAGTCAATTTCCTCATAAAGTCCTACAAATCAAGTAGTAGTACGGTTCAATAATTAATCATAAGTTTTCTATAAACTTCCAGAAATTTGAGGATCTTACAAAAATCTTCTAAATAAGCGATAGCTCTCAAGTGTTTCCTTTAATATTTTCCGGATAATTGTTCGTAAGAAAAATTAAATTTTGAAATAAAAAGTAGGATAAAAATAAGAACAAGTTTCCTAACCAGAAACCTTTTCAACGAAGCATTAATAGATTTTTTTTTTGCTCCATTTTCATGCATATTCAAGAGGAAAATAGCTCCCTCTCTCTTTCTTCTTCCCTCTCTCAATGACGATTGTTAAAAGTTCGAATGGAATGCAGATGAGTGAAAAACATGTTTCTACTCCTATACGATGATCCATTGTGGAGAAGCTCGTTTGAAATTTTATAAGAAGCAGTTATTATCATAATTCACCTGAAGTATTGTATTTATATATATATATATATTTCTGCATAATTAAAACTACACAGCAATTGACAGTTGGAAAAACTGCCCTTGACCGACTTATCAGTATTATATATAAGCAAATTACAACTCTTAGTCGAATATTGTTTTTTCTTTCTCCCCTCTCTCGGCTTACATTTCATGTAATACTTCTTAATTTACGAGTCGTATATATCAATAGATCAATCAAATACAACAAGCAATTCAATAATGCCTCTTAAAGTTTGCTTATTAATCGCTATCATTTTCAATCTCTCTTATTGCTTACGATTATCGCGGTATGTACTCATTTCTTGTTTTTGTCTTTCTGGAATTTCCTCAAAATATATTATTGAATTATATTTGTAAACGAATGCAATAAATAGATTTTTACGAGCTATATAAGCTTTATTCATGAATTATTGAGGATTACTGATTTTAGATGAAATTATAAAGATGAAAAAAATTAGGCAATCAAAGAATATATAATAAGTGTGAAATATATATATAAAACCTGACAAACTCATGGAAAAACCCATATCTTTTGTGAGGAAGAAAATAACATGTAAGTTTAGTCATTAATATAAGATGCAATTAATAATTTTAATGTAATTTCAAGAAGTGCTGTATGGCAGCCGATTCCGGAACAAGATAAAGTGAAGGACAAACATGATATTGCATGGAGTGATTGGAATGATGGGCATGATAGCGGATATGTAACTAAGAAGGATGGACACCAGGAGAAGAATTCCGCAACATTTAATCATGCGGTAAAAGAGGAAGCGGAAGAGCATGCTTTGAAATCAGCAGCTGGTGTTGGTAAACATGCATCAGCTGCTGCTAAAAATGGTGCATCCAAACATGTTGATCAAGCTAGTATCCATGGAAAAGGTATCTCCCTTCCATATAGAAAATTTTTAGTAGTAAAAAAGCAAAAGAAAAACTCATAAGAAAAAAGTTCCAGAAACATTTTAATTTAATTTTAATCTATCAAAAAGGGGTAATTTTGGGATAATATTGCTTTTTTTCAACACAATAAAGGCAAGTAAATTGTGAAAGTATGAATGATTTAGAATGATGAAATTCTGCAGATATTAAAGCAAAAACATTCGGTTTCTTTGACTATCAATACAAGCAACCGGAATATCACGTAGAGCAATTTTACACCGATGAAAAACATCGTCAAAAAAGCGGAGCTGATCGTTTGCATCATAGTTTAAAGGATCATGAATCAGGTAATGAATGAAATTCGATGTACCGATGCGCAAAATATTTTTATTTTGTCATCAAAGCATTGAAAATAGGTTTGCATGTTTAATTGTTTAAAAATTTACAAAAATCTAATTAGAAATTCCTTGCAAACTGATTTTCCAGACCTGCATGCAGCATCCGGTTGGGGTAAACATGGAAAAGGATATCATAATGATGCGAATGGTCTTAAAGCTCACAAACATGATGGAGAATTTCACAATGGTTGGGCCAGTAATATTCATAAGGAATATGAACACGGAGGTGAAAAGGATTACTCAAAAGGTACAGTATTCTTCAATAATATTTGTTATCAGCAATTTTTGCATATAATGATGGATTTTGTAAGTTATGGTGAAGTTGAGGTTGAAGTTGAACATGTCTTCAATGTTTGGTATCATCACTTTCAATGCTATTCTTCAGGTCGTGGAGCACATAAAGGACACTATCATCATAATATCGTACCAGCATCTCCTCCTCCCCCTCCTTATCATCATCATCATCATCATCATGGACATCATGATGAATGGGTAGCACCGTACGAACATGGTTATGAACATGGATCAAGTCCATGGAATAATCCGGCAGAACATGATGGCTGGGATAAATGGCACCACGGTTGGGAACACGGATTAGACTGATCTGCCTTGGAGTGAATATCACACAGTTATTTCTATAATTCGGACATTTTCCGGTCCGTGTTACCATTCACATATGAGATTGATCCAATTCCGGATCACTGCTTAATATTGTTTGAAACTTTTGTCTGTGTGGTTCTCCAAATTGTCGGTTTGCTCTTTACTTCATACAGTTCACTCCATTCCACCGGAAATTTATTTTAGTAACAGGAATCACAATAATCTGTTATGCTGAGTATTATTGCAGAATACTTCTTGTTACATCTTCGGGCAACTAATGATCCAATATGATACTTTTAACTTATCAAAATGAAGTCGTATGAATTTACAGCAGAAATAATGAAAATCGATGTCTTCTAATTATTCATAAGTGGTATGGAATATATATTTTTACAAATTTTAAATGGAAAATCACGGTGATTAATGATTTATGTTACTTTATTGAAAAGTTGTATTAAACTAAATATCCATCATTCATGCTCAGTTCGATGCCAGAGTCTTTTGTTTTGTTCAACTAATGAAAAAGGATATATAGATTTGAAAACTGTAATAAATGAAGTAATGACTTTTTAATAGTAGCTTCCATGCATATTTTATACTCTTAAGTTATTAGTTCTTTTATTACTTATGCATCTGTGATTTCTTTTAACAACGAAATTAAATTGGTATAATTATGCAAAATATCATATAAATGTGATGAACAAAACTGACATTTGTTTTGAAAAGGTAATTTGAGTGATAAATTTAAAAATTAGAATTTCATCGGTTCATATCAATATTAGTAACTGAGTAAATGAATTATATTTCATTTTAGCATAATATCATAAATACAATTAAACATAAGCAAACTTGGAAAGAAGAAAAAAAGAGTATAGTATAAAAAAGATCACATTTAAAATCTTATATGAAAGATTTCGAAATAAAACTAAGCTTTAAAATTAAATAATAATAATAAGATCAGGACTCAATTTAACTGAATTATAAGATCAATGAAATCATTGAATCAATAAATCATCAAAATTTCTCAATTTGACACATGTGTTGTATATATAATTAAGATTTCCAGGACCAAATAATGAAATGTAATCAGGAAAAAAAGTTGTTCAGAAAAATTCAGACCGTTCAATTAAACGGTTAATTATTCCGTTATAAACAGTTGGTGAAATAATCCGTTTAAAGATAGCAAAAAATTGGATATGAAATTATATTGCCAAAAGACTTATTGTTTATAATAATCAAGCAAATAATATAAGTGATTTTAAAGTATATGAGAATGAGTTTGGTATCAATTTGTTAGTGTTAAAATTTTTTTGCGTATTCAAAACAGGAATCTGAAATCAAGCAAACACCAATGAAATGAACAAATGACAACATAAAATGGTGTCATTATCATCGTTTCATTCTTTTATCATATTATAGCAGTGAAATCATATATTTCTCTTAGAATCTCAAAAAGTTTTTTTATGACTATCGAAAATTTCCAGAAATTGTATATTCTTTTCTTTCAGAGAATTGCTTTCTTCTATACTTGAAATGACAGATGTTTTGGATGATTTATTGTTATTTAACTTTTAATTAATTGATATGAATTTTATTAATCATATGAATGAATCATATGAATTTGATTATCATTATCAATTTCTCACGCTGATTTTTTAGTTTCATTTCTTCTGTTTTCTTTGATAGATACATACATTATACATTGTGCGTAACGTTGTGCATAGCATTTCAAGAATAAAGAAAAGAGTAATTTTGCATTTGGAATTGTATGGGTTGAGTAGTAATAGCAGAATGTATGCTAATTAAAGTGCAATTAATTAAAATTGAAGAGGAATAAACACATTTAACAGGAAAGAGAAATATTTTGACAAGTTCATAAATTCTTAAGAGTTCTCAGCTTGGACTTTTGTGATTTTCCAACTTTCTCGAGTTTTCTGGTGGGCTGAAGTGCCATGATACTCGATATTGGTATCCCACACTCCAATTCAAAAATTTTTAAGAACTTTTCAAGTATTTAACAACTTTCTAGGAACTTTTAAAAACTCCCATCAATGCATTGACATCTGCTGATTCTCGGCTTTTCTTGGAAATTATGGTTCGATTTAGTTCAGCGTCCGTTGCATTTATTAAATAGATTAGACCTTTTTTACAGAATGTGAAGCAAATAGTCTCCATTACTATGCTAGTGATTTTGTGAATATCAGGTTGTTCATTTTCCAGAAAAGAAGTGTTGTGTAGTCCACGTCGCACGTAAAACTTGCATAATATAGGGAAAATGTTCAACAAAGTCATCGATTGCTCAAAACGTTAAACAGCTACAAAAGATCCATGTTAATAGTGCAATAGACCAGCAGTAAAAAAGATTAAAGGAAATATAATCTGTATTTTTAAAGATAACAGTTTCGAAAAATTTTTTGTGGCTCGGCAAATTGTGAAATAAATCTCATATTACTCATGATGAAGCGACGAGACATCCGATTCAGTTTTTAAAACGCTGAGAGAATGGACTTCTGAGAAATTCAAAATTTAACCTTGAAAATTAACATCCAGTGATTGTGCAAAAAGAAACAAAAAGAGAATTAAAAATTCAACAATTATATACAAACAAGTCTTTTCCATACCCGAATAGAAGGATTAGCAATATAGAGACAACAATCTTTTCAAAATTGAAGGCACACTATGGGAGTCAGTTGGCAAAACAATCGATTACTCTCAAACATTTGGCAATTTGTGACATCGTTATTTATTTCTTCCCAAATGATTCAGATGTTACGGTTTTATAGAAGGTTCGGTACTGATTGCATGTTAACTTGAAAATACAGGTTTTTTCATCGGTTTTTTCACCCTAGATTGATTTTGCATTCTCGAAAATCTTTTCCTGTTAAAAACTGATTTAATCTTTAATTTCCTGAATAACCCGGTATGGAAGGAAGAAGAATGCTCTCGAACAACATATGGTATCGCGGATCTCCCCTGAAAAATCACTAAAATAGTATTGTGAGAAAGTAATGAATGAAAGAAATGAATATGGCAAGTTCTCGTATAAAAACTGAAAAAAAAAAACATTTTATCATTGAAGATATCTATAATGTATTAAAAAATAAATAAATGGAAACCTGTGAAATAAGGAAACATTGCGGAAGATCAATATTTAAACCGCGAGCAAAGACGTTAACTTCTTGGAGGTCTGCAAGCTGAAGAGGTGTTGAAATAAAGAAAGTGCGTTGTTCCAAATCAATCGCCCTGATAAATCCATAACCAACGATGCGCAATGGTTCTACCTTTTCTGGATTTAATAAAATCGGCATATCTCGATCGTCGAATAGTCTCTTATCCTTTAAATAATTATACTTTTTGAACAATCCAAAATTGGAATAAAAATGGCATTTTTCACTTTAAGAGGTTGTCAAACATTTTGATCATTTTAAATTAAATAAAACTGAAATTGTTAAGAAGACTACATAACACATTCAAAAGAACTTCACCAAGTTTATTTCATACTTTATACAAAGTTTCAGTATAGTTTATTTTGTCTCTCTTAATTTTTCTTTCATCTGCGCATCAAGAAATACCGCATATTATCAGCGCAATGAAGAAAAATCTTTGTTTTCACTTAACCTATCATCTCATAAGTTTTACAGTTCGTAGAAATTGATAAAGTGATTTTGAAACTATATTAACCAATTAAAAAACACATTAATTAATAAAAAAAAAACCTCTTCCAATTGATTCATAGATTCACGAACACAAAGCGCGATAAAAGTACAATTCAAAACGGCAAATATATGATTTGCAGGGAATAGGCCGTTTGCGTGCACCAACACTGCCACATCGCGAAACAATACAGCGAAAGGAGTTGCATCGGCAAATGATTTTACGGTTGGAACGGGACATGAATGTGCCATATATGCTGTTATCCGAAGATTTCGTAAAACGGAAGAGTCGGAGATCATATGTCTTAAAATGAAGCTACTTTTGAATTCCACAAATCAAGAAACTCTTTAACAAGGCAAAAAAAACAATTTATTCTGTGTAAAACTATAAAAATCTGTTTGAAGTACTCTCAGCTAACCCTTTTTGCAGCTAAAGTAATGGGTAACAGAAAAAACCAAATTTCTGTTTCATTCTAAATTAAAACCAATCTTATTAAGTTTGTAAAAAGAATTTACGCAGGCTTTTCAACAGCATCGCCATAAAACACAAACGGTTTTGCATTTCCACTAACAGCAGATTGCTGAGTCTGAAAAAAAAATGATAGTCTAATCATATCTTTTGCTGTTTCAATTAGTGAAAAGACAGATAACTGTTCGATAGAGCATGATAAATTTCGAGAGATGGAAAACTTTCGCATGCAATTTTATGGTCTTATCGGTATGTTCATTACCATGTAATTGGGTCCTGATGAAGTAATGAGAGTAAACACAAAGTCGGGGTTAAATAATTTCATCATCTCATCTAGAAGCGAAGCACCTTTCCCTGAAATTGCTCGATAATGCTTACATCCAAAACCTATATTTCTGTGTTTTTCAATCATGTCTTCTTCACATTAGGGCCGAAAAAAAAATTCAACTAAAATAATTTATATTTAAACAAACTTGAAAAATACCATTAATACCAATACCTTCAATCCATCCACAAGTATTAATTAAAAGCGCGGATGATGGAAGACTATTACTCAAGAAATAACACAGTAATTTCTGAAGAATAGTCAAATATGAAATGAAATCATCGTTCAAAGAAATCTTTCCGTAAAAATAAGTATCTGACAGAAGGATTCGCTGCTGGAATGCCGGTGCACCTGAAAGTTTCAAAAAAAAAATTAAAATTAACTTTCTCGAATGTTCGGAGAGATAAGTTAAGAAACAGAAGGAAGGGAATGGGAGAGAAGAGAGAGAACTGAGACAAGTTAATTTCAAACATAAAAAGTATCTAAAAGTAACCACAAACGTAAAAAGTACTTAAAAGTGGTGAGTTGAGCTTTAGTAGTGAAACACTTCCTGGTGGATTCATTTCTGGTTGCCCAACATCACAATCGAGAATATATGGAGGCGGTCGATCCCTACAATGATAAAATTCCGAACATACAATCACAGCAAACTTTGAACGGAAGCATTACAGAAAAGTAAAAAATTCGGAACATTCAAAAACAGGTGATTCAAAAAATAACAGTCACTTTCTGTAAAAAACCAATATTTTCACTACATTAACATAACATAACACTCTCTTAACATAACACTTAACATAACAGGATTAACATAACACTCTCTTTTTAATTTAAATTGAAATTGATAAATGTCGTCCTTTTCAATAAAATAAATCTTTCAGCGCTAATTAATTTAACAGGAAAAAACAAATAAACCAAAAGTGCAAATATTACTTTCCAAGAAGTGAATTAGCTAACACTCGAATAAGCATCGATTTCCCGGTATTCTTGTTCCCTACAATCATTGTTATACTTCTTTTTTCTTTTCCTGCAAAATGAAATCATCTTGGTTTGAAATCAATAAAAACTATTCATATCTGCCTCAGAATAATGCTTAAATTTTCAGTAATTTCGACCTGAACCACATTGTCTCAAAGACTCTAACTAACGTTCATTGAGGAACAGATAAAAACCGAAAAGTTTATATTAATGTAAAGTAAAGACGAAGATTTCATAAAAAATATTCAATATTTACGTACATCAGCTCAAGCAGCTTGATCTTTCCAGCTGCACAATAATTTAAGACTTACGCGATTTATTTAAAATTTGTTCTGTTAACTGTAGGATGTTGTCAGCAGTTTTACCAATATAAAGCGGTGGATATTTGATTTGAAGTGCGCTACATAGCGGTCCTAACGAATAACATTCACTGCAGTCTGGTGGCAGGAAAAAGATCTACAAAACCAAAACTCTTTAGAATGATTCATGTGAATCTTCTTATGACAGACGTCAAGTAGTGCTGCCACATACTCATTTTTAAAAGCGGAAAGTTATGTACAGTATATACACCAATACAAAATAAACTGACTTGGAACCTCATATACTTATTTCTAAGAATGTAAAAACATATACGGTACACACATCAATATGGACTAGTTTGGCCACATACCATATAAAGTCTTCATCAAACAGTAACCGATGCCGCTGATTGCATGCTCAAAATTTTTTAAACCTAACAGATCCTCCCCTACTCTCAGCACAAAGAACGATATAAAATGGAAATACAAAATAATTTGCGGCAGTAAACAGCGAACTTCAAAAAAATTAGCAAGGAATGGGAGCTGTGGCTTGATGTGATGAAATAAAGATTTTCGAAATCCTAAAATTAAACTATAGAAATGCTTTCTACTTCCATACCTGACCATAAAGTTCCCGAATACAAGCAGAAATCTTTGAAAAATTGAATCGGAAAAGCAATATACTATCACCATTTTCAAAATTTTCCAATATCGAATCCACTGTGTTTGTCAGCTAAACAAACAGACAAAATGAAATACGAAAAATAACAAGAAATTGAAAATCTGAAAGATCCATATACATTTTAAATTACTTTAAAAATACGATATTTTGTTTTCGTTTTTAAATTGATGTTTTCCGCAATTTTTAAGCAATTTAAAATGTATATGGATCTGTTTTTTTGTTTTCTGCAAGTTTTGTAAAAAAAAATATTTCCGCTTATATTTCTGCAAAATGTTTTCTGCAAGTTTTGTATACAAAACTTGCAGAAAACATTTTTCTATAAAGAATTATTTAAAATAAAATACCTCTTTTAGCCGCCATTTCACACGATGCAGATTGAAAAGATTATCTTGAAGCGAAACAAATTGTGCCGGAGGACTAACTGAATATGGTGCTGCAATTTTGATAAACCGCTCTTCCCCATAAGCACCAGATTCAAATTCATAGCCGCGTGATACTACTTTACCGAAGAGTACCTTAAAAATATGACTGAGAAAAAGTAAATAAATAAAACATTACCCTACTATTTCTTTTCTCTTTTCGCTTATTATCTTTTTTCTTGCAGATTTATTCATTTTGGCACTAATTCACTTTGAGAACCCACTCTTAAGCCTTAGATCCAAGCAACTAGACTTTATATGAATGTCAAAATTGTTCACCTGAATATCAAATACACCGAAAATGCTGATACGACAATTGCATTTTAAGACAGCCAGAGTATAATCCGGTCGGTAACACTGATGAAAGTAGCTTAAATTTTAAATATGAAGTGATATATGTATAATAATGTTTTACAATAATGCCAAACTAAATGAACAATGCATATTTTCTCGCCGCGAATTTGCAGAGAACTGTGTACGTGTTTGCATATGTCTGTTTGTATATATGTACATGTGTATGTGTGTATTGCTGGATATGTGAATATATGTCGCATATTAGAGTCAAAATAATATAAAATATGAAATAAACGAAGTTGCCTACTAACCTATCTAAATTGCTGATGTCATCTGGCATATTTCTATGACAACGCGCTCGACTCGCAATCAATACCGCTGCAGTACCATCCGATCAAAATCAGAAAAGTTGAAATCAAGCTGAAATGAAATTACACTGAAAATCTTGAAAGATTTCTGGGAAAAGAATTTCAAGATTACACGACATTGTTTTTTTTGAGAAACAATTTCAAGGCTACGCATCATTTTTTAAAGAAACAATTGCAACAATTACTTCTTCTCTTTTCCCTTTCTGCTCTATCTTATATTTACGTCAAATTAATGTTTCATTTATATTTCCCAATTCTCTAACTAATTCCTCAATCGCCAACCCCCACAACAAAAGCAAGACCCTTTTGCGCTCCGGTTCAAATAATCCAAATCTATTCGAACCAACCCTAACGTGTCTCTGTGTTTTCCAGCTATATAACGCTATTTCCCTAGCTTGGACGAATTCATTCGTTGCGAAATGTTTTCGGTTGTTTGTTGCTATTCGAAAGATAGTTTAGAACTAAACAGAATTCGATAAGATTATTCGAAGAGATTTTTGGGTTTTCTGAGTATATACATGATGTTTGAAATTTTCAAATTTGAGTTTATAGAATTTGGGAAATCTCAAAACTTTTCAGATCAATGGGTTCGCGATCGAAAATAACTCATGTAATCTTCGATTTGGATGGTGTATTGATTGATTCGGAGCGTGTTAATTTCCAGATATATCAGAGAATTTGGAGTAAATATGGGAAGAATTTTACGCCTGAGCTAATGCTTCGAATCACGGGGACACCGAGTTCAAACAGTGAACTATATCTTATAAAACATGTAATCTCAATTTTTTACATTAAACTTTAAGATTTCAATTTCTGAGGTGCTTACTTAGCAATATTTATCTAAACCAGATGATTGAATGATTGAGCAAGGAAACTAATTACTAAAGGAAAAGTGGGACCTTTATGTTTTAGACAAATTATAGGATGGTTTCACTAAATTTTGAATTTACTTTCCGAGTTTTTGTATTGCTTGCCTTTTTCAAAGTTTAAATTTTTCATGGATCGATTGGATCCAGTTAGCAGCAAAATACCGAACCTAAATCAAATTCTGGATGATTTGTAGGAAAATCGTCAAAGTTACGGGACATTTACTTTTTTTCTCTTAAATTCTACACTACAAAATAAAATTTCAGTTTGGTATGGAAGAGAAACTTTCAGTTGAGGAATATCGTAAACAATACAATACTCTATCGGATGAACTTATGACTAAATGTCCGCTTCTTCCCGGTGTCATGCGATTGGTACGACATTTAGCGAAGCATAAGATACATATGGCGGTATGTACCAGTTCAACTAAAGCTGAGTTCAATACAAAGATGGCTACACATACGGAGTTGCTCGATTTGATACCTTTAATTGTAAGCTTTTCCTTTTATTCATGAAAGATTAACAAGCACTGTAAAAACCAGTCGGCAGGAGGAACATTCGCATGATTGTATCCATACTTTTCACAAGGTGTGATATGATACAGTAAAAATTAATCAAGGTTTCGGCTGGAGATGATCCAGAAATTAAACGTGGAAAACCAGCTCCGGATCCATTTCTGGCTACAATGAATCGATTCGAAGAAAAGGCAGAAAGTGCCTTAAATATTTTGGTATTTGAAGATTCAGCAAATGGTGTTCGAGCAGCTATCGCTGCCGGTATGCAAGTTGTTATGATTCCCGATACGGCATATATGAAACCACCCGAAGAAGTGATGGATAAAATTGGATGTATTTTGAAGAGTTTCGAAGAATTTAGACCGGAGAGCATGGGCTTACCATCGTACGATTGAAATACTTCGTAATTCTTTGATTAAATATTAATGGGCATGGATTCATGCATATTGGACATGCATCTTTTTTTATTAAAAATTTCTGGGGAGACTTTGAACTATATTCTAAGGACAAAGAATAGCTTTATTTAAGGAATTAACTAGATATATAAATAAATGAATCAGTGTATATCTTTAGATTTGCTGTAATGAAAGCATCTATTTCATTTCTTGTATTGTCGCTACTTTAGAGAGATTATTTATTGAATAACACTTCAGTTTCACGATTGTAGGTTGCATTAAGAACTCAATAGACAAAAGAAAACTCCTTATGGCTGTAAAAATTTCATTAAAATTCATACAGCGACATGATTTTAATGAGATCTAATATTTTAAATCCATCTGAGCGAACAACATAAGGAGTTTTCTTTTGTCTATTGAGTTCTTAATGCAACCTACAATCATGAAACTAGTCAAAAATAACATAATTTCATAAAACAAAAATTTTCTTATGATGTTCAGAACTTCAGGCTATTCACTCCTGGACCAATAGTCTAATTTTTGGTATTATTAAGCAGTTTTACCAGTCTTCATATGTTGGTCTCCCCTTGGTCATCTCACATTACTTGCATACGACTGTTCATAGATTTTCTCCTCGTTAATATCACTCAATGGTGCAAGAAAAGTGTAGGTTTTGGCATATAAAGCAAGAAGGTAGCTACTCAGCAAATTTTAATTTATCTTATAAATGCGATAATAGCGCTTCGTTCTTTCCTTTTTCCTTATTTTTTACAGTATACTATTTACAACTTCTGCAATTGAAAAAAAAAAAAGTTAATATATTCCATATATAAATATTTGTTCAATAACAAGTAATTTCTTAAGAGGTTGACAACAAAAAAGTAACTACTATATTTAATTATCAGGAAAGTCTTCAAAATATCATTGCGCCAAGTTACTAACAAATAAAACAAGAAAGAAAATAGATGTTTTCGTTTCTTATTATGTGTTCAATTTATTGATCTGTTCAAGATCTTCCATTTTACTCTTTTTTGTTATTATTAGCTTCTCTGTTTATTGATCTGATTTTTGTTGATATCACAAAGATTCTGCTGCATATGCAGCTTTAGATGTAAAATGAAATGTGGAATCTATGTATTATCGTTTAAAATAAAATCAAATTAATCTTTTTAAAAAAATTTTTATAGTGATATTAAGATTTGTTAACTGTTCAACAATCCAAAGAATAGCTGTTGTTAGCTAACTTCAAACTATTTGATATTTTGATTCAGAAGTATACGGTGGAGATCAAACCGATACAACCATTATCGATCTTCCTTTTATTAATTTTAAATTCTTTTAAATAATTTTATTTTTTGAAATAAAACTTTTAAACTAATATGCATTGTAAAACAATACCTTCACTGTTTTTTTTTTTGTTAGATCATTCATTTTTGCAATGCTCTAAGAGATATATTGAAGAGAGGAAGGGATGAGATGTTGTTAATTTATTAGTTTATTATTTTAAATTCGCTGGCATAAAATTAATACTTCCACTAGAATAATATAAAACTATTCCAGAAATTCTTGCATCACTAACATATTTATCTCTATACTGAATAGCCAAAATTTCATGTTATGTTTTTAATCGATTCTTGTGAATTGTGAAAACATGGTAATTTTGTGATCTCTTAATGATTGTAGTTAGATATTGTTTTTGTTCATTTCTGTTCATGGGCGAAACAAATCCCCTTGAAAGTGTAGTAATTTTGTGATCTCTTAATGATTGTAGTTAGATATTGTTTTTGTTCATTTCTGTTCATGGGCGAAACAAATCCCCTTGAAAGTGTAGTAATTTTGTGATCTCTTAATGATTGTAGTTAGATATTGTTTTTGTTCATTTCTGTTCATGGGCGAAACAAATCCCCTTGAAAGTGTAGTAATTTTGTGATCTCTTAATGATTGTAGTTAGATATTGTTTTTGTTCATTTCTGTTCATGGGCGAAACAAATCCCCTTGAAAGTGTAGTAATTTTGTGATCTCTTAATGATTGTAGTTAGATATTGTTTTTGTTCATTTCTGTTCATGAATGAAATTTTAGAAGATTTTTTGAGCAAAAAAAAGAGACAAATATACGTGGAAAGATTGCGAGGATCAGTTTGATGAATCAGTGAATAATATAGCAAAATCTGTTAAATAGCTTTTAAACAAAATATTTTTCAGACTGCATTATTCATTAGAAGGACCGGAAGTCTTTCTTTCTCCCTCTATCTCTCTTTCACTCTTTATCTTCATGTATCGGTTAAACATTTCTGCTATAAACTTTTACCCTGACAAAAAAGAGAAAAAAGAAACAGATAAAATTTTGCAAAAAAAGAATTTAAGCCTTGAGAATAAATTCTATTCAAATTTACAAATTCTATAAAATTTGCATATCACATTTGCATATTTGTATTATCAATATGCTATAAATCTTTTATTGTCGTTATGTGATATTACAGAAAGAAATTGAAATATTTATAAAAATAATAAAAATGAATTGAGTAGAAACTATAAAAATGTTTGATAAGCATTAAATTCAAATGGTAAAAAAATTGAAAATTAAAAAGTTACTAAATAGAAATTTAAAAAATTTCAGCGCTTTGATCTCAAATTTTCAAATTCCTCAATAAAAGATTAATTTTGCAAAAATTCCAACTGCCTAGAAGGAATGTATGAAAGGATTTTATCATATCTTCTTTTCTCTCCTGATAAACTCTTCTACTCTTTGTAGTCTGGCTGATCTTACTGATCACAGATAATTTCAATCTTTCATGTTATCGCAATCAAACTTCAAAATTGAAAAAAGAAAAAGAAACTATTAAAATGACTGGTTCATTATAGTTCAAAAACCATACTCTTCGCTATTTCGAAGTTCATTCTTCTGTAGAGATACAGAAAAAATACTTCAATATATAAGCATCACTTCAGATTCGTGATAAGCTAACGTGAGAGGAAATACTTTGTAGCAAATTTTATTTCTTATTTATTTGTTTTCTCATATTTACAGTCTATGATGACGAAGCATTTCATCATTTTGAAGGATTGAAAGCTAATCGATTTGTTAAACTGATAGCTTATCGTTAAAGTTTCAACCAATTTTATGGGAAATTTTATAGAATAGTTTCATTCATTATAATTTTAAGAAAAAATAACTATCAGGAGTTTAAATATTTATTAGGAAGTCATCACTGAAATGGAATCGTAAGTAAATTATATTTATGTTCGATTGGTCCGTGTGATCTGTTAATTAATTAAATTCAAACATTTTCATTTCATTAATGATTTAATGAAATGATAAAAAGATAATTCATTGATTAAATCTTGCAGATACCCAAAAAGTTTTTAATAATAAATGCTTGAAAAGTTTTCGCTGATTTGTTCATTATTTTTTTAATTCAGCTAATAATAATTTACAAAATATTTCCATTTCAAGTTTAATTTTTTTGAGAAAAAATCTTTATAATGAATTTTTGGTTATAAAAGTATTTTGATGAAAAGTGTCAACCTTTCGGATCAAACAACAAAAATCATTTGAAGGAGTTTTAGTGGAAACTTTCGCAACTGATTTATTCTAAACATTTGAATCATTATTTTAGTGGAAATTTCTATTTAACTTACGAATCATTGAAGCTAATTGCTTTCTATTAATTTTTCATTCCCTTTTTTATTACTTACAAGTATCTTTTCATAATTGCCTCTCTCATTAAATACTTCTTGAAACAAAACTAATTAATAAATGAACTTTTTATTATTCAAAAATATATCTATAGCAATAATGCTATTCATTAACTTCATATTAGTATTCCCCAATTATTCTCTCTTCGTTTTACTACCTTCTTCAAAAATAAAATATATCATTTACAGTAATCGAAAAAAAATAATTCTTTTAATTATTTCATCCATTTTTAAGCAAAAAGTCAATTCGAAATCTTAAATCAAAAAATATATGGCACTATGACTAACGACTCTTTTTAATGCAAACTTTTTTATACGGTAAAAGAATATCTAACATTACAGTTAGTTTGATCAAAAATAATTATTTAAAATATTTGTTACACTTTCCATTTGTTCATGGATGAAAGTGCTGTCAGATGTTTTGAATTTATTTTTCAACTTTCTTTTTTCATTTTTGATATATTAGTTATTGTATCTTTGCAATCTCTCTCAACCATTATTATTTACACACATATCACAAAAATTTATTGTACTGTATATCTTTTAAACAACAGTTGAATTTCCTTACACTTTACTTCGTTCCATTTTAAAATGGCTATAAAACTTTAGTAAAACAGAAAATATGTTTAGATTTAAATAAATTTGCATTCATTTGTTGCTTTCGTTTAACCTTCTATAAATGTAAAATTCGATTTTAACACTTTTACAAAAATTAAAATACAAAAAATATTCTTTTCATAGTATTTCTTCTTTTTAATATTTCTATTCCATTTTTAAATACTTTGAATAATATTATTTTATTAATTACATTTATTCAATTCAATAATATAACTTTGAATTTATTTTTCAAAAGCATAATATCATTTGGATTATTCGTTCAGTTGATTGAATCGAATTGAACTGGATTGTAATTAGTTTCCCACTAATCGATCTATTATGCAAATTTTGTATGATAATGTATGATATCTGTAGCAACGATCAAAAAATGCTAAAAATGATAATTAACCTATGAGTGTAACAATTATCTTACCTTCGTCAAAAACTGATATACAATTCTAATCTTGTCTTTACAAGCAATGAATATATGAAATAATTACTTTTTACTTTTCTTTGTTACAAGTAGAAAAGATTACAACAGAACAAAAAGAAAAAGTTAGAACAGGTAGAATGATTTTATCACGTCTGATGGATGAAAAAATAATTGTTGAATATTTGGAAAATTGATGGATCACCGAATAATTGATATGAGATAGTTTGAAATTATATTGAGATAACAAATTAAAATTAATGCATTTTACTGCTCAAAATTTATGATAACAAATAGCTATTGAAAATTATCGAAATATTACGAAGGACAAATTATAAGAAATAAATTTTATTAGGCGGAAGTGAATGATTATGAGAAAGGTAAAAGATAAATGAACATGAGAAGGGTCAAATAGTTTTCATATTAAAGTGATAAATGATTTATCACTTTAACGTCTTTAATGAGCATTTGTAAATATAATTATAAATAGACAACAGCTTGAAATTTAACTAGAGAAAACTTTGAAAAATTGGAATTTTTTTGAAACTTTTGAGACCGTCGGTTATGATTAATCGATAAAACAAATAAGAGTTGTTTTATTATTTGTCTAAATTAAATTTATTTTAAAGATATTAAATATAAGTAGTAATGAAATAATAACGTTGCAAAGAAAAAAATAATTTTGATTTATAATTAATAAAAGTTGCAATGATATTTGTTATTATTTCATTTTATAATATTTCTGACAGATGAAAATTCTAAAAAAGAAACGAAAGATTCACTTCTAACAAAGCCTAAAATAACAATTACTCCAATTATACATGAGATATTCAAAGATTATGTTGATCTTACGACAATAATGTTTCACTTTCTTATACGTAAAATTAACGTGTATTTTCACGTTAATTTCACGCTAACATTTCATCTTACAATTTTGTTATTCTATCTTACTTTTTAGTCATATTATTACTACTGTTAATTATTTGGTAATAAAAAAATAATAATAAAAAATAAATAATCTATTTATTGAATTAACGGTTGTCATCTCTTAACTTTTTGTATTGTAAATATGTATATAATAAGTGAATAACTAACTTATTGATTTATTTATTGTTTGAAAACAAAAATTAAATTAATTATTTTTGAATTTTTTATAGTAAAAGAAAATGCTGCGATAAGGAAAAAATTTAAAATTCAAAATTAGAAAAGTGTTTTGATATGATTTTTGTAATAAATAAACTTATAGTTTATTATAATACAAAATATTTCCAAAATAAAACTTTTTAAAAGAATTTTTTTAAAATGATCTTTGATTTCTTAAAAAATACAATTTGTTTCTTTTTTTGAAGTGAAACTGTCGAAAGAAAATCACTTCAAATTTTTAATGAAAAAAAAGATGATGTTTCCGAACGGATATACCACAGCTGTTCAATTTGCTATTCATACAACCAACTGACATATGGTTCTGATAAATACTTGAAATAACATTTTAGCAGTACCGAAAGAAGGCAGAAACATCTTCCGTTCCAGTCGACAATATCGCTTTTTGCATCTTATCAACTTCTGATCAAATCGTATTTTTTATTTCATTCTGTCACATTTCTTCCGCGTAATCATAACACAATTTTTCATCTATTCATAAGTAATTCTCGCAAATTGATTAAAATTTTAATTTAAAGTAAAAAACCTTTTTCTTTTATAAAATTTGGTGACAGCATCTGGGTTAAAATTATTTGTATCAGAGTTATTTCCACCTTCCACCACACCAATATGATATTATTATTATTGTTGTTATTTGCATTTGATATTAATATTAGGTGGCGCATTTAATGATATCTTTAATAATTGATGCAATTACCGCCCACTTTTACTTCATTTCTCTTTTATTCTATTCTATTAATGTTAACTACCACTGTACAAACAAAAATGATTTAGTGTTATTAGCTCATTAATGAGGAGAAAAGGTGGTTCATATTAAGAATAGCTCTAATCAATGAAATATTATTGTCACGATAATGATTGGAATGTAATTCTAACAATAGATGATAATCAAGATAAGAAATGATATGTTTAGGTTACGTATGTCTGTCTGTATGTATCTGTGTGTGTGTTGCTATTTAATTAGTATTTTTTTCAAATCACATTTAACATCTTAGGAATTATTACAAAATACTAAAAATGGGTATAGTATTTCATATCAATTTTAAAACAATGATAATTTGATGCAATGATAATTTCATAGGTAATTTCATAGCTAATTTCAAGTTAAAAATTTCTATTCTTTTCATATCAAAAAATTATTAAACGAAAAATTATTGTTACAATCGTTTATTCTTTTTTTTATTTGATTAAATTATCCATTTTTGTGGTTGTTGTTGTTGTTGCCAACTTATTATTAACGACAAATGGGAAAATTTTTAACACAAAATATTTTCCATTAAAAGATTGAATATTCAAAGTATTCATCCTATTATCATAATAAAAATACCATTGATTTTGTTATTTCTCTGATAAACAAATCTAATTCTTTTTAAAAAGTTTAGCCTAACTTAGATCGAATGATGGGATTTTAGCTGTAATATCTTTTATCATTAATCAATCGAAATTTTCAAATTTTATTTTTCAAAAAGAAAAGTAAGCGATCATTGAGCAAAAATCACAATCAATGTTCCTTATGATAGTCTTTGTGTCATTTTCGACATTTAATCTGAAAAAAACTGATTGATTATTTGATGATAACAAACGAAACAATGTAGTGATACTCTTCAATATCATTTAAGTCTCCTCATTGGATTTTTTTGTGAGTGAAAGTTACAATTAACATCCTTGAAACTTAACAAAATTCATTAACATTATCAATTCAGACATTGTGTAAATTGTACGTTCGTATGAATAATTTCATTTTAATGATGAAATATTTTAAGTTCAAAGTGATCCATGGACGTTCGTCCAGTCATAGACTCCATATTACCACCGCCAGGTAAGATGTTCAATCATCACCGTAAATTATTTTAATTTAATCAACACCTAAATGTTTCAAATGAACTTGATCTAACTAATTTAATGCATTTGCGTAAATATATAACGACGTGATCACGTAAAAACTATCTTTTATAAGAAACGTTCACTATGTTTACACGTTTATTATGTTTACATATTTGCACGTTTTGCTATGCAGAAAACAATAAGTATGCAATAAATGTTTAATTTTTAAATTTCGCAAAAATATTGTTATAATTAATAATACCATTATTATGCTAATGATAAGATAAGATCATTGTTGTTGATTAGGATGGGTTCGTATTGAATTGGAACCGGTGGATATTCCATTAGAACAAGATGATTCAATACTTTTATCAACCATACAATCTGTCATACCTGGCGCACATGGCCTTTATTACAAAGATGAAAATTGCAAGAAGACCTTAAGGTCCTATCTTTTTATTTCTTTTCCATTTTCCTATCTCTCTCTCTCTCTCCCACTCTCTTTCTATTTCTCTTTAAGAGCATTTTTGTTTACCAAAGAAAAAAAACAAAGAGATGGACAAACAAATAGATTACAATGAAAAAGTTCTCCAATTTATGATTAAAATATAATTTGTCAAAGTTTAAATTACAGCTACAATGGCGCAACTGGTTGTATATCAAAAGGCCCACCAGGCTGGAATTCTAAACCAATTTACGTTGTACTTGGTTTGTCTTACTTTCACATATATCAATAACACATTAACTTGTTGTTTTATTCAGTATTTTACAAACTTCTAATATTATTTATAATTTAAAATAGAACTGTTGGAATTAAACATTATTAGTCATTTTAAATTTAATTTAGAAATAGTTAAGAAAAAAACAATTGAAATGCTTGTCCTCCTCTGGCTATTGAAATGCTTCTCCTCCCCTTCTGGCCATGAAATGCTTGTCCTCCTCCTCTGGCCGTTAAATTGTTTGTCCTTCCCTTCTGACCATCATTATTTATGCATGAACTTTAGCAATTAATTTGGAAATTATCAAAATTTTAAGCTGTGATAGTAAGAAAGGTAAGCAAATGAAGAATATTATTCAACTAATTATTAAATTCTATTTCAAATTAAAAAAAATTCGAATTAATCTATTATTGAATTATATATTGCACTAATTTTGTTCTATTCATTTCCACTTCCTTTTATTTAATTGTTAATTTATATCAATTATTATTATTAACTATCTAATAAGCAAAATTAACTTATTAAGTTAAAGTTAAAGTGTTCGATTTCTCTGACAGTTTGTGCGCTTTTTTGATGAAAATTTGTTGTAATTTTGATTTTACAATCATAAAATTGCGGGCTTATATCTTTCAAAGAATGAAAAATGTTTGAATTGTTGAAAAAATTCAACAGACGAAATCATTTTTCATTTGTCTGAATATATTCAAATAGACTAACATAATGATGACATTTTTAAAACGAGAAAAAAACAGGTTTTATTATTTGCAGGCAAACTTAAAGGGTTCAAATAATTTTTGAACCTTTTAAACTTCATAGATTGTCTTCTATATTAAATGGCTTAAGTAATTAAGCAAACAATTATTCAATCTCTTGAAAATTTATTCTGAAGTTATACAAAGCTGCTATTTTACTTTTTAATATGTAATTATTTAATAACAACAACGTCATAAATTTATAAATGCAAAATTTTAAAATTGGGTAAGGAACAGAAACTTGGTGAATAGATTTTGACTACATTGAAAAATATGAATAATGAAGAAAGATAATGAAATTAATTAATTTAAAAAAATTAATTTTATTCGGATCAATGTATCCGAAGAAAATATACAAATGAAAAAAGTACCATAAAGGAAGGAATTACTAAAATTTGAATTATCAATTGATCATTCACTGATTCTCGATGGTAATGTAAATGAATAATGTGGCAAGCAATAAATGACGATTTCAAATATCCTTTGCAAATTTTGAACATCAAAATTTAAATGTTTTTGTTCAAATTAGGATAATCAATTGTTGCATTAGATTATAATTGATATTCTTTCAAATTAACAGGACGAATTAAATTTTGAAATGAATTTTGGGCAAAATTAAACAAAAATAAAGCTAAAATTGAACACTCAGAAATAGTCAATTAAATAATTAATTATTTAATTGGTTAAAATATCGATTTAATTTCTATTCTTAGTATATTCTGATTTTAAAATATCATATTGAATGTTTGAAAAGCATTTGAAAAAAGTTTTGCAAAAAAAGAAGAATAAAAGGACTGTTTGTAGTTTCGGCTTACATAAACTTTTTTATTTTGAGTTTAATAAGAATATAATTTAAATTTCAAACATTCATAGCACATGGATGCCGTCATTTCAACAGTACTGATGCTGGACAATACGGTATTGCTACAGAACGATTCGAAAAAACTGTCAATTTGATACAGCGTATGTTAGGTATGCAAATAATCACAGATATATGAATATATTGTTATTTCAAATGAAAAAATGAAACTTCCAGAATGGATTGATTAAAATGATAACTTTGTACATTTGAATTTTACAGCTAATCAATGGATACCGTCTCACTCATACAAAAAGGTAAAACTTAAAAACTTTCTTTCTACCAAATTAATCTTTAAAAAAAACTATGAATTATATTATTTTATTGAAAATATTTGCTGCACTTAAAGAATTTATTATTATTATTATATTTTAAAGAGCGCTAACGTTCATGTTATACTGCTTTTTCTTGATAAGTAAGTTTTTCCAATGATACACTTAAGTTCAAAGGTCAAGTTACGTATTTATGTTTGAGGGCGATTCAACTAGATCAGTAAAGTGCAAGTGCGATGATAACAGATTACTGTCGCGTGATGAAGATGATTCTGAAACTGGAATTGATGAAGAGAAACGAAGCGATGAATCTGTTAGCTCTTATAATTTGCTGAAAATTTAAACCTAAAATTGAATTTATTTCTAATTTCTGTAAAAAAGAAAATATTTTTAATATGAAAATATTGCATTAATTAATAAAAAAATATGTTTTAATTTACTTGAAATTGTATAGTTTATCAACGGAAATTGTTCGAAAATATCAAATGATATGCAAAAGTCTCAGGCGGAGAATAATATCTTAAAACAAAGGTTAGTAACAATAATTAATCTTTGCCAGAAATTAATTCCGTAAATTTTATATTTCAAAGCATATTAGAGTTAATTTTAAGCTTTTTCTTTTATTCTAGAACTTTGAAAAAGTCAGATTTAGAAATGGGAGCTTAAGAAATATGAATACAAAGACCATTAGAGAACTTTAAAGAGTATACTACTAAAATTAATTGAAGGTGTTAGTTATATCGGGTTTTAATTAATTTTAGGGTCAAAGCTTTGGAGATAATGCTGGACGAACAAAGGAATAAAACACAATCATTAGAGAACTTTAACGCGGAATTAAACACAAAATTCGGAAATCATTCATTTGGTCAACATCCTGAAATCGTACTTAAATTTGTTTTTTTTTAATTGCGATATGAAAGCTTAAAAAATGATTTGAAATGTTAAAAAAATTTTTATTAAAAAATTTCAGGATTAAATAAAGTTATCCAATATGAAAATTTGGTAATTTAGACTTCGAAATTAAGAAAGACAATAATCAATTAATGTGATAAGGGATGAAAATTGTTTAATCAATTTAGTAACAAATGTCATTTTGAGGGATGCGATAGACTGCAACTGTGGTCAAATGAGGAAATGAATGAAAAAAATTATGAAATTGATGAATTGAACAAGCAGATCAGTGATTTGAAATGGATCATTGAAGAATATAAACAAGGGTTAAAAGATGCAAATGATAGGTAGACCATTCCGGAATTTTATTTTATTGAGCCGTTTCAATAAAATTATAAGCCTGGAAGAACTATCGCATAAATACAAATAACGAATGCACTTCTTTTTAATAATAAAATTAACATTCGAAATATGACAGCTTCCAGATTGGCATTTTTTTCACAAATCATAGCTTACAATTTTATATTGTATTGTAATTACGTTTTACGTAACGTTTTACGTAATATTTTATCTATTACTTCATACTATGTTTTACGTATTACGCTGTAGTTATTTCGTAAGTATTGCATTGCAACTTTATTTTTATTTTTATATTCATAAATATTATAAATGTTCTGCAAAACTTATCAATCACATTCTGTTGTAGGACAAATCATTTGGAAAATTTGTGTAAAGAGAAAGATTACGTGATTGATGACGTGACGAATAGATTACGTGACTTAGAACACCGTCTTTTCGATGTTCCAACTCTTCAAAGCACAGAGTTCGTTTCAGAAGTTCATATAATGAAGTTTAAAAATAACTTTCATATTTCTTTTTTATTTTTTACATTTAAATGTAATTCTAAAATAGCTTCCCTCTTGTGATTATTGAAGTAAAAATTTAGGAGCAAATTGAAAAAGTAAAATTTTTAGGAAAAAAATGATTTTGAAATGAAATGTGAAATTCAAGTTGAAAGCTATTTGTAATAATTCAACAGATTTGGTAGATGAATTGATAAAATTAATAGAAAATATTTTAGAAATTTGAATTCTCTGATCAATGATCTGCGAAAAGAAATTGATGCGAAGAATAATTACATCGAACAGTTAGAAAAGACCAAAAATGATATACAATGGTACCTTGGCGAACATCAGCATTGGCTACAAGATGCCAATAATAGGTAATGGTTAAATTTTCAAATTAATAAACTTAGGTCAGAGAAATTTTAAATTGAATGAAAATTTTAGTGGCGATCGATTCTGATATGACTTTGAAGTGATTTTAATATATATTAAATTGTTCATTAAAATTTCGATATTTTAAAATTAAAATTAGAAATGTATTCCAGAATTGGCATTCTGGAAAATGAGAAATTGGAAGGGTGGCAAAAAGTTTGTGAATTAGAGGAAATGCTTAATCAGACTAGAACTGTTGCGACAATTGACGACTATAAGTATGTCATTCAGTTTAATAAATGAGAATTTACTGGTATCGTAATCGATAATCAATCAATATTTTAATATTATCAATTTTAAAATAGCAAAATTGACAATAATTTCTGAGATATTTTATAATTTAAGTGACATAAAAGGAAAAATGGAAGAATTGCAAGAAAAGATGGAAGATAAAAGACGTGAATGTGATAAATTAAATGAAGAGAAGGATGAAATGAAAGTTATTCTTAGCGAACATAAAGTCTTATTGGAAGATGCCAAAAAGAAGTTTGATTTATTAAATATTTATAAATAATAGGTGAAGTAATAATAACAGACTTTCTATTTTGTATTCTCTATTAATTATTTGATAATAAAATTAGGAAAAATTTCATCTAAAATGATAGGTCTAAATTTTATTTTCAGTTCTACAAATATCTTACTATTTCCTTCTCCTCAATCTCATATAATTCAATTTAAGTCAATTTAAAAGTTTAAATTAAAATATTCATTTCTCTGTAAGTAGTAAGGATGTTCATTGATTTTCATTGATACAATTTTTTAACAATCAATTATCCTTTTTAATTCAGTCAACAAATACAGTAATGGCAATTAATTTTGCAAAAAATTATTGATGTAATTAATTTTGCTGAATATTAAATTTAAGGTTTTTAATTTTTAAAATTATTTGTGCTTTTAATGCATTTATTGAAGGAAAACATCTTTATGACAGTACTTTTTTAATATTTACGAATGGATTACTCATTGAATTTCAACAAATCTGAATAGAAATTATATGAAAACGAGAACAATCTATTTTAGAATACAATTATATAAAGCGCTCAATGGAATTTAAATTATTATTAAAATTGATTTTAAAGGATAAGATATCTGGAAGATGGGGAAAGTGAACAAGATTGCTTGATTGTAGCTATAATTAAAGAATTAAGGGATTTAAAAAAGGTACGAAGCGATGCATTCTTACAGGTAAAATTTTATTGGATTTATTGAACTATTTTTTATTCATATAATTGTTAATAAATAATTAATTTATTATTTTCTATTTAATAGTTGCATGAGAAAATCGACGATTTGGAATTGTATTTGAATAAAAGACAACAACAATTAACAGAAATTAAAGCAAACAATGACGACATTGAATATAAGTTTGTTTTTAAGTGTAAATTCATTTTTGCAAAAAATATTTTTAGAAATAAAAAAGCGAAAAAGTAAATTAAAAGATTAATAATGATTTTATGTATTATTTAACGGAATTTTAGTTTTCTAATTTTCTTCACGAAATGCTTTTTTATTTTTGTTTGTTATCAGTGATAAGCTTATTTATCTTTCTGACCTTTCCTAACATTTCAAATCTTTTAATCTCTAAATACCAAGTATCTAATCTTTTTGGATTTTTGCAGGACACTAAAATGGTCAATAAAAGATTTGGTAGAGAATATTTCCGATTTGGATAACGGTCATTTAAATGAATCAGTTGAACCGAAAAATTATGCTGATTGGACTTTTATGGAATACAAGCAATGGTTGCAGAATCTGAAGAAGAGGTAATTTAGGAAAGAATTATAAAACTATGATTAAACTAATAATTAAATTTTGCTTGTTATAGAAATAAATCATCAAGTTATCTTGTTGACCAATTATATCAAGAAAACATTGGATATGAATAATAAAGTGTCGATTTCAAGATTCAATTACTTAAGTATTTATGTTTAATTTAAAATAGTAAATTAGTTTGTATATTTTTATAGAGTGGAAGAACTGGAGAATGCTACACAAAGGCTTAGTAATGAGAAGGATATGGCAATAACGAAACTTCATGAAATTAAACAACTTGAAGTAATATTTCAACAAATCTTAGAATAATTCATTTTTTAATATAAATTTAGATGAAAAAAGATTTTTCATAAATAAATCTTTCAGCCAAATTTAGAAGAATTGAAGAAAGAAATATCGGAAAAAAATGAACGAATAATAGAAATGGAAAAAGATTTCAATGATAAACAAAATGAACTTAAGTTAGTTTTTGTTTTCGTTCTATAAAACACTTCAAAATCATTCACTTAGTACCATTGTAAGCAATTTTTCAGTTTATATATTCTTCTTTTAAGTCAAAATATTTGAAATAAATTTTTGAAAATTCTTAAAATTTTAGAAATCTACGATTGATTTTGAAAAAATTATAATTGCAGTTAAAGTTGGATATATTTTGTATATGAAAAAAAGCTACAAAATTCCTTTTATAAATCATTCAAACTTGATAGTTTAATTTATTCAGGTTGAACATAGAGGAATTATTGCATAAATTAAATGAAGCAAAAGAGAATGCTACAAAAAACGAACAGATGAAGAATGATACGGAATGGAGTTTGGGTGAACATCGTCAATGGCTTACTGATGCTAAGAATAAGTTGAAATCTTTTTTTAAATTTACTCTAATTTTTAGCATAAAATATAAAATAGTATTGGAAGAGAATTGAGTTTTAACTCTTCAATCTTTGAATTTAATTTGTTAAACAATTTATTAGCTTAATTAATCAATGGATTAAAATTTGAAATTCATTTTTTATTTCTATAAATATATTAGGAATGATAGAAGAAAGGAAGAAGATAAAATTTAAAAAAGAAATATTAATTTACTACTATCCTGAAATTTATAATTTTGATTGATATTTCAGAATTAATGAACTTGAATATAAACTACAAGGAACTAATGTTGAAAATTATAACTTACGAGAAGAAATTGACAAATTAAATGGCAATATTAGGTACTTACAGCCAATTATCACACTTTTAAAATTATTTTATGTTTCGCTAAAATTCAAGAAGATTTAGAAAGATTTAAATTTAGCCAATTCTAAAATATTTTATTATTAAATTGTTGCTACAGAAGACAACGAAAATTTTTGAACGAAAATTCAAAAAATTTAATTTTTTGCATATTTTTTAAATAAAATAAAGAAAATGATAAAATAAGGTTTAGTTCAAAGTTTTTGTTATTTATTGTGTTATGATAATTGATTGTGTGTTATCACTTTTCGTGTTATGATAATTGATGTGTTATCATTATGTATTATTATGTGTTATGTTATTCAGAACATCGATGGAAGCTATCGAATGCTTGCAGAAAGAGATTAATGATAAAAACGAACAAATCATTTGCATTATAAAGCAGAAAAATGATGCTGAAAGGAATTTTAATGAAAAACAGCAATTGTTAAAGGATGCCAATGATAAGTTCGTTATCAGCTGTCACCAAAAAATATCGCAATTATAAATTTTAAGAAATTTTTCCGATTAGCAATAATTAAATTATTATCAAGTTTTTGAGTTGATAAAATTTTTTTCTAATCCAGTGCATAAAGTATAATCAGTGATTTTAGCAATATTAATAAGCTTATTTGGTGTGTTCATAAAATAGTTGACAGTTTTGGTACTTATGTCCTTTGTCCTTTGAATATGCAGAATCCTTCTCTGAATCTCTCTTTTTTCTACTTATTTTATCATTAATTTTTACTAAATGATTCACTTTCACTAATTATTAATTAAATGATTAAAAATTCAAGCAAATATTCAACAACGATAAAAGAAATAAAATCAAAAAATCATTTCTGAAAGGGAACAATGAAATTGGAATAATTATTTGAATAAAGCGAAAAATAAATTTCTCAAATTACTTTCTGAAAAATTACATCAAATTTTTAGGATCAGCGAGTTGGAATCTGTTTTGATTGAAAAAAGTGATTTCATTGAAGAGTTGAAGAAATACAATGAGGGATGTTTTGTGTTTTACTGCAATCTTTTAATTCGAACATTTTTTCTGGTTTCTAAGCTTTAAGCCTAAGTTTGAAATGTGGCCATTTAAAGCGTTGCAGAATTTGAAACCATAATTTTTATTAAAATAATTAGCTAAAATATTTCAAATCTATTTAAAGCTCATCAAATTTTGTTTTCTCTAATTACTAATTTACATTATTAGTTGATATTTGAGTATTTATGCTTTCTGCAGGAAGAACAGACAACTTTGCGTGAAAAACTTCAAGCGTTCGAAAAAACACTCAGTGAGGTTCCGAGCCAAGAATTGAAGTAAATTATTTCAACATTTCCATTTCCAATTACATTTTTCTTCATTTTTTTGCTTAGGATATGTGCAAATCAGTTTTCCAAACTATTGAAAGTAAAAGACTTGAAATAGACTATATCATAATGGTTTCCATATAATTTCCGATTAATGATATCCTTAAACATTTAAGGAAATTAATACTTTTTTGTTTGCTTTAAGTAAGCTTAGCTTAAGTATTAATCTTAATTTTAACACCCAAAAAATAATTTTTTCATTTCTATTGTCTAAAATTTTCATTTATAAAAATAATTGCTAAAATTTTATATATTATTTTAATAGATGATTGTTGTTTAATCCCTTAAATATTAATTGATTTAACAATCATTGCTTCTATTTTAATACAAAACTTGTTGTAAACCGAAAAAATTAAACAACAATAATTTGTTTAATTAATTAAAATTGAAATTAATTATTTTTATTTTTATTTAAGAATCGATGAGCTGACTCATTCGATGGAAGAAAAAGATCGAGAAATCGCTGAATTACAAAAATCTCTTGAAGATGCCATCTTTCTACAAACTGTTCAAAAGGTGAATAAATCAATTTAAAATGTTATTAAAATCTTTTGTTTTTGCTACATTTTTTTTTGTTTTTAAAAATGAAAGAAATCAAAAATTTTTGCTGAAATTTTTTATTTTTAATATTTTTAATATAGCAATTTATTTATTTAATTTTGATTTAAAACTATTTCTGCCAGCTTTTTCTATAATTATTTTAGGAATCTCTGCAAAATCTTACATCGAAATTGAATGAAACCGAAGAAGCATTAGCAAAAGCACCTAAACCAAATGAATTAAGGTAAATTTCCAGGTAGCTGAATTGATCCACTTGTAAAATTTCTGCTTAATTAGATTTTAATTCTTGTTTTAATATTTTCCACATTTATTTCATTCAGTAAGCATTGCGTGAAAAATTATCTTTTGTCTTCATTTCATCTATTTTTTCAACTTTTAATGAAAATTAAACTTATCCCATCAAGTGATAGCTGTCCTTTGACCCCTTCTGCAATACTTTATTAATTGATTTAAATATCACTTATCATTTAATATTCGTTAGGATTAATAATAGTAAGAAAAGATCTATTAGTAACACGAAATTCTTTAGTGCCTTAGAATTAACGATTGAAAACACTCGAAAGGAAATAAACAACAAAAATGTTTCTGAATAAACTAATTATCTTTTTACTTAATCAAAATTGCAAGTAATATGGCTGCTATAATCGTATCGCAACATTTCATTCTTTCATCAGTCTCAAAGCATTCCAATTAAATGTGATGGAATAGGAAGTGGTGGAAGTTAAGTTTTTATTTCAATCATATTAGTTAAGTGAACATAAAGTGGCATTGGCTAAATTGCAAGAAGATTTGGATCAGAAGGATGCTGATCTGGCACATATCAGTAAAGAACGATCCGATGCTGAATGGTTCCTCGGTGAAGAAAGACAGCGCTTAAAGGATGCTAATCAGCGGTAATGTTTATTTCATTCATTAATTTATTAGCTTCATATAATTCAGCATCGTTGTTAAAATTCGAAACTTAACTAACACGATGAGGAAAAAAGAGAAATTTTATTTATCCGCTAATTCAAAATAATTTAATTTATATCTGACTTCACTCGTTAAATAGGGATTATTGAAGTTTATCATTTTATTTCACTAAATTAAATTGGAACTTTTTATCTTTTATGGGTTCAAATAGAAAGCGTTATTTCTAATATTCAATTCTGTCATTTAGGAACGGATTTAAATTTGTATTTTTCTGCCCTCGTCTTCTTTCAATTCATTTTTCATTTTAAGCTTATCAATAGGGAAATAATACGCTTTTTGCGTTTTATTGTAGAATTACTCTGCTCGAAGAAGAATTGACGTGTGTGAAAGTGAAACACGCTGATATACTTCATAATTTGAAGAATGAAACATTTCAGTTGAAAGAAAAGTATGTTTTTTTTTCTTTCATGCAAAGTTGTATTATATAAATTAAGCAGTTAATCGACGCATTTTTAAATTTGCGTCAATAATTGAAAGTTATTCTGCAATTATACTACAAAAGACCACCATATACATGGTGCAATCATATGTATACACGGTCATTTGTATTTATATATACTTGTGTATACATGATTTTTTCATGTAAAACATATCAAAGTTGCAAGTTAACTTTTGAGAGTAGTCAATATAGCAGCTACCAATGGAAGTAATAATATCTGAAATTTTAATTTGTTGAAATATGACAAGAGAAATTCATTCGTTTTGACGTGAACATTGAGTAAAGATTATGATATATATTAAAAATTAGAGCTTTGAATTGATTTTCAATCTCGAAAATAATCAATACTGATTGGAAGAATTATCATTCACTAGAGATATTTATCATTCTTCTCTTCTAGTTTTTTTCTCTCTTTCATTGTACATTGCAATTGCTATTAGATCACTATTATATCATTCAGGAACTCTTTTCCTTTTTGCCATAGCACATACCAATAACATATCTATGATTTAAATCCATCGATTTGACCAATAACTATATCATTAACACATATAAAACGTATGTAAAAAATCTGTAAATTTTCTGAAAAAATTTAGCAATGCTTAAGTATTCATCTTTATGCTACTCTGTCATAAAAAATTTACGTCCTAATTGATTAAAATAAATAAGCATTCATTTTCATGGCAATATTTTAATAATTTTTGCTTTCCAGAAATAAGAAATTGAAAGATACTATGATTAAAACAGAATTTGTTATAAAAGATCTGTTGAAAGATGATGGAATGACAGCGCTTATTTTGGGACAAACTGAAAAATCGGGAAGTTTGGAGGAAGAATTCAAGCAAGTTTGTTTTTTTCTTTGTTTATAATTTTTTGCTACAATTCTTATTGTATTAAATATATACAAGAAATTTTAAGCAAATATGAATAAAAATTATAACTAAAATTGATGTAATTTAATAACTAAACTTGGTATTGCAAATTGAATTGGGCGAAAATTAATTTGTAATTGCAATTAGTAAATACTTCAAAAATTAACTGCATTTTAGCTACGCAAAAAATATAAGCAATTAATTGCTCTTCTTGCAACCACTCAAGATCATTTGGAAAAAATGAAAATGGAAGTTTCAGAATTTGCAAATTCCAAGTAAACTTTAATTCATTTAATAATGATTGATTGTAAAATCTATGCGATTTATTAATTTTATCGCCATAAATATTTGACATCAATTCCTAATTCTATCATCAGTTTTGAATAGCCCATTATTATGTTATCAAGGAATAAAGAAAGTTTTGAATTTTCCACGTTTGAATTATATTATAAAATGATATTTAATCTTTTATCCTTACTGAAATCATACTTCAAAATTATTGAAGAGAATTGTACAAAGTAATCGAAAATTTAAACAACGAATTGAATCAATGTAAGGCAGAAAATGAAAATTTGTCGAAGCAGAAAAAGGATACGGAATGGGAACTTGACGAGCATCGTGAATGGCTTCGTAAAGCTAATAATCGGTGAATTCTTCTTTTGATCTTTTATATCTTTTCAAAAATAATTTTTCACAATTTACTAAAGAAAAGAATTCCCAATTATACTAATTATTGTTTTATATTAATTTTTTCCTATTATTTCACAACTTTTTTAATTTACTATTTTTTCCTGACTAATTTTTTTTCTGAATTCAACAAAATTTCCAATGAAACATAATTGATAAAATGCATACCATTGCATTTTCTTTTCAGGATTACCATTTTTGAGCAAGAATTAGCACACACGAAAGAAGTAAATAAAAAAGCGCTTGAGGTTTTGGGTGTGGAAAATAAAGCACTAAATCAAAAGTTTGTTTTCTCTTTAGAAAGTTTTTCCTTCTCATTGCAACTTGTAAATAAAAATTTTAAATTGGACTATCTTCCAATTTTTGCTAGGTAAATGCTGATAGAATGAAATAACTACTAATGCATATTATTTGCGATAGTGTTAAAATAATTTTTAATGCTGAATATTTTCTGTTTTTTAACAACCAAATAGTTATATCTATTACCTGACGAGACGTATTTTGAAATTTTCCAACAATAATATTCTATTCGAAAATGTAATAGCAATAATTTTAAGTGCTGCTAAATTAAGTCTACTCAAATTGCATTTTTCTAAATTTCTTCCAGGAATGCACAATTAAAGGAAGATGTGGAGCGTTTGCAAGACGAAATTCAAAATCTGTTGATGGATGGAACAAAAGAAGTTGGAAAGGTGAAAAAATTTTTAAATCATTTTGCTGATTTATATGTAATTAACAAAGCTTAAATTTGTTGCATAAAATTTAGCATTAATTTCAGCATAACTGTTGGGAATGCAAGAAAGTTTCAGCATTAAATTGTGTTGAAAATATTGATGATGAACGCAGGTATCATTGCATTCCTATCACTGTTAATGAGTATAATCTGTTGATAAATTAATGGAATAGTAATTAACAGCATTTCCAAGAGTTTTTATAATAGATGATAAGTATGATATAAAAAATATTGGCTAATGATAACTATCGTTTTTTGATGTAAATTTCGTTTTTTTTCGATTCTTGAAATTTTATAAGTTCAACCGAATTCTGAAATATGAAATTATCCATAGTCAGTTTTTATTATCGTATCTCAGCTCGATAAAATGTTTGTTGGAAAATTTGTGCAAGGAATTGAATTATCAGAAAATTATTGATACCCTTATGGAGGAACGTAGCAAAGCTGAACAATTTTTAGAAGAACGAAAGGAATCGATCACCTATGCTTACAATAAGTTCGTTTAATTAAAAGAATCAAATTATGCTATAATACGCATGTGCTAATGGATTATTTAACACATCATAACATGATGTAAAAACTTTTTGCTGGCTAAATTTTAATGTTTCGTTTTGAATCTTTCGTTTCAGATATTTCTCGAATAAAGTCTTTCAAAGATTTCAATTACTGGTAGAATGCATAGTGTTTGGAAGGGGTTCGGATAAATTTTTGGTGCGGTAATAGAATGATACGGGCTATAGGTTGATACAGCTTTGATGAGCTATATGAGCTATAGGATGATATAGGAATTCACATTGATGGGTTTAATTCACTTACCACATAATGTAAACTTCTCCAAACCATACTTTATTCAGAAATTGTGGATTTTATAATTCCTAAAATATTGTTATCTCAACAAGCAACATCGATCAAGAAAATTTGAGGATTTAAATGGTTAATGATAAGCTGAATTATTTTCAGAATTGTTGATTTAGAGAAGCAAATTTTAGAAAATATGCTGGAGGAGCAATTGGAAGTTGCCAACATGTAAATTATTTTTTCTTTTTTCCAGCGCTAAGCACTTCAAACTTTAAAAAATTCAAATTTCTTTCCTTATTTTTAAAATATTTTTTTATATGTAAACATTAGAAGAGCAATAAATCTTTTATTGCTTTTTTTGCTATTTCCTAAAATATTTGTTTTTCGAAAAGAAGGAAAATATAGTGGAAGTGCCATACTTTTTGTTATATTCAAAACTGAATAATAATAAGAGACTACCAATTACCATTTATATATTCATCTGGTCAACTTTGCTAATTAATTACTTCATTATCTCTTGACTTTATTTTTTCAAGCCATATTTGCAGAAGAACAATTTTCACGAGAACAGCAGAAGAGACCGAGAATATTTATCGTTCAGAATCTTTGCAATCAGAACAATTCATGCATGTTTTAAATTTTTATTTATTGATTCTAATTGAAGAGGTACTAAATGGTAATTGATATTTGAGGATTTCTAAAAAGTTTTTCACACAACTATAATTTTATTAACTAATTTTAATTTAATTTTAAGCATCCTTCTGAAAATGACGAAAGCCTATGTTAGCTTAATGTCAATACGTTAGAATTACATTGATATGCTACTTTTTCAAAATTATAAGAATTAAATGGAATGAAAATTTATAATAAGAATTGTAACAAGTTATATGAGAATTTTCTAATAAAAAGATTAATCAAAAAGAAGGAAATTAAAATTATTAGATTGATTGTCCAGTGGATGTGTTGGCAGCCAAATTTGATTCTTGTAAATTTCTTGCAGGAATTACTTAAAACATTTATGATTAAATCAATAACTTCAATCAAACTGCTGGTTAAGTATTAGTGGGTAAATTTTAGGAATTTATATGAATTTAAATCTAATTTAAGAAATTTGTCATTGAATAGAAGCGTACGAAAGTGTTATTTTCCAGATTGAAAAATTATGATTTTCACTTCATTTTGTAGAGGCTCTCACGAAGAAGTTGATGAAATATGGCAGCAATTGAATGATAAAAACATTGAAATAGAAAATTTGGTAAGATTGAAATCAGAATTGGAAAGAAGCCTGGAAGAACTCATTATTAGGTAACATCACTTTTATTTTTTATTTAAAACTTTACTTAAAAATAATATAAGTACATAGCTATGTTGTAGCAATGAAAGAAGGAATCCACTTGTCGTTTATGATTTAAATTAGATTTGTTAGAAAAAATTAATTTTTTTTGGACTTCGTTAATAAATTTGTGGTATAAAAGTATATTTTGTGAAGTGTTCATAAGTTGTAATTTTGCGTCGACTTTTTACTGTTTCGTTTGTTTTCTTTTTTCTTTATTGCTCAAAATTTAAATTTTTTACTAATTCAAATTCAAATTTACAAAGTACTGATAGAGCATTAGAATGCAATTCATTCTTATCCTTTTAGGAATGCAATTCATTCTTGTCCTTTCTTTTCAGCATGATAAAATGTTGATCCATCGCATTTTACGGTTTGATTGGTTGGAGTGAAAAGTATTTTATTTTATAGTTCTGAAAAATAAGTAGAATACTGTAAGTGAAGTATCGTAAATGTAGTAGGTAATCCGGGATTGTAGTATTTCAAAAGCGACGGATTACATAAGATTTTTTGAAAAGAAAATTTTCTATCAAAATAATTCATTTCTTTCCTTCCATAAATTGTTCAATTGTAGCATTTTCAGATGTATAAATGTAATTTGTGTAATTTTGAAATTCATTTTTGCAGAATCATTCATTAAGCCATTCGTTTAATGTGAGACAATAATAAATCATGCTGAATGATAGTTTAACATGTGGTAGGTTGAAAAAAGGAGTAACATCAAATTTTTTACGATAGGTAGATAATTCGTAATTGATGGCAGGTAATTAATGATTTACAACAGCTTAAGTATATTAAAAGAAGCTTCTTTTTATTTAGTTTTTAACTTTTTGAGCATCAAAATGATTTTAAAAAAGCTATCGAATGAGCATTTTACTGGAGAGTAATGTAATTGTAATTGATTTTAGCAAAAGCAAGTAAGTTTTTTCAGCGCCAATTAATTAAATGAAATTTTTTAAAAATTGGATGCTTTTAATTATGCAAGTCTGAGCTTGTTATGAATCAGAAATATATCATTTAATGATACAATGGCGCTATATAAAATATTTGTAGCAGAATAACTTTTAAAAATGAAGGAATCCATTTGACATAAATGAGCAAATAATAGAGGCGATAATAGCATGAAAATTGTATCTTTCCCATTTGTCCATCCCAACCTCTCGTTCATTTCTCTTCCGGTTTCTGGATGAGAAAAATTTGCATAAATTCGTATCCAAATGATGTGAGAGGCATTTAATTTATTTTAACATATTCTTCATCACTTATATCAACTAGTCATTTTGTATATTCCGAGAAAAAATTTGTTGCTTTATTATTTATTATTTTAAACTTTTAACAAACAATAGATATTACTAAATGACTAGTTGATATAAATTTCTCAATCTTTTTGATTGAGCAATCAGCAATTTATCTGTTCAGTTCATTTTTTATCAATGATATGATATTGAAAGTTAATGCTACCACATTGATGTGACACGTTGAAAATGAACTTTTAAAAAAACATGGTTGATTAATTTCTGATTTCCTCTGGTAATTAATATAAGAAATGGAATGTTGTCCAGATGGATGTTGTCCATCATATTTCTGTTTTTTACTAATCTTTAAATGTTTTTACTTCTCTTAACATTCATTCCTCAATGTTTTCACACATTTACATCTTCCCATTTTATAAACTACGAATTAATTATTAATTAATCAGGAAAGTGAATTAGTATGACCGTAGAATGTAACAAAAATTTTTTGGTATTCCCACTTTATTCGTTTATTACTTAAAAAAAGTCTCCAGATTATTTTTTGCTCGATATAGCTTACGTAGGAAAAAATATTCCGGAAATGTTGAACATTGTAAAACAATACTTTTCTGTTAATCGATAAATGTAAAATGATTTCAATTATTGGATAGACGATTAATCAAACAAAATTATTTGCTTATTGTTATCAACTTATGGTAAACAAAAATTATATCTACCAGATAATGCTAGTATTAAAGCATTAAATATATCAGATAATAATTAAACGGGCTCATTTTATTCGGGAAATTTGTAAATTTTTCGGTTCAACCTAATTTTGCCGAAAAGATAAATTTTATTAAGTGGCATTGGTAGAAGATTGTAATACTTGTTAAGTTTGTTTTACTTTTCTGCAATTGATAAATTAAATGAATTATGGGAGGAAACGCTGAGTGCTTGCTGCAGTAAATAAATGGCAATTATTCCGGTCATTACGGACTGGACGGTATTGCATGAAATTATGCTGATATCATATGATATCCATTATCTTTTATTCCGATTCGCAGTGTTTCTTGATTTTTTAACCATGTATAATCCATATTTTTCTTTTTTGGAAAACTGTATCCTTTCATTCATTCATATTTATTTTACTTCATTTCATCATCCATAAATTGTTCGAGTTTACAATAATCGTTATGAGAGATCCGAGAGAAGCGCACACCTCACAGAAAGATATTTCAGGAACAAAGAGATGTCGACATTGCTTGATCAGAAAGAACAAATAATTAATGCGATCATTAATGAAAAGAACGCAATTGCAGTAGAACGTAATTCTTTAGAGCAACAAATGAACAATTTAAAGCAACGATGCTATACTTTTGGAATAGAACCTCTCAATGAAGTAATTAATTTAACAATATTAATTACAAAAACTTTATGAGATAGTAAATTACTATAATATTTTGTTGCACTGGTGCGAACATTTTAAAGAATTAAAATAACCTGGCCTTAGATTGATTTTCACTCCAAAAAACTCTTAGGATTGTTTTTAGACAACATCCTATTTTTTTTATATACAGAATTTTATAAATTCATTTCAATAATAATACTTGATTACATTATAAATATATATGTATTAATTTTATTTCTGTATGGTTAAAGACATCCGTAATATGTGCAAGCATGTTGCACTAGGCCTGGTAAACGGACTTCATTGGTCGATACCTATTTTTAGACGTAATATTATCTATCAACATCTTGAAATACAATTTGCTCTAGTGTTGAAATGTGTTGAAATGATTGAATAGTGTTGAAATGATTATGTATTTCATTTCAATTGTAGGGACAAAGCGTGACTGAATTAATGGTTCGATTATGCGAGAAGGAAGACTTGTTGCAGCAATTTACAACTCAGATTGCCGAAAAGGTGCAAGAGATCATGTAAGTTTTCTAAATTTATTGAAATTTGCTGCAAGTAATTTATGGATAGAAAATTTGCTTGTTTTGAAAAAGAAAAAACAAAGCAATATGTGTCGATCACTTTTTACTATCCCATTCATTTAACAAGTATTTGAAAATTTTAATATTAATTGGTTTGCTTTGTGTTCGAAATCAGTTCGGCTTTTGATGTCTTTGAAAATAAATTTATAGCTTTATCGAAGTTTTTATGTTAAAAGTAATGATATTTGTAGAAATTTGCATGATGTTATCAAAGATCTAAGAGATGTAAACAATGAAAAGAATCGAATAATCGATGATTTGAATAAGATGACAAGTGAGAAGGAATGGAATCTAGGAGAGTATCGACAATGGCTTACAGATGCTAACAATAAGTAAGATATTTTATTTGAACGACTTCACGCTGGAATAGTTGATTAATGAGATTTTGTGAAATTGCTTATAATATCGTTTAAAGTAATGATTTCATGTGGTACTTTTGCAATCGTATGAAATAAATTATCATGGAAATTTAAAATTATGAGTTTTTTGTTTGATTTTCTCAAAGTCAGTATCTTGAAGTGTTTTATGATTTCAATAAAATTTCAGAATAGACAATCTCGAAGTAGAACTAAACGATGTCCGAAAGAGAGAAAAGTTAAATAGGATTGAGTTGGACAGATTGACCAACGAGATAGATGAGAAAAATGCAAAAATTTCGCAACTTCATAATAAGTAATCATTCATTTGTTTAATTTAGCTAATAGAATGCTATTTTTGAATGAAACTATTTTTGAAAAACGACGCAATCCTGACAATTATTTAAAATAGCTAAATTTCTGTGAAAAAACGAATTTCAATCTTTTTGAAAATCTGAGATCTTCAATTATTAACAATATCTTTCTTACCTAATTTAGAATAGCCAAAATGGAATCGGAAGCTATTAATGTCCAGTATGAGAAAGAAATGATATCAGATGAGGTATGTAATTTTTAAATTTGCTTCCATTATGATTTCTTCATATTACGAAGCTCATCAATGTAAGTATTAGTATTAGCATTACCACTTCCTGAGATTTCTGGTTACAACCTTTCGGTCATTTTTATTACATTGCAGCATTGTTCCTTGAAACTATCAGCATTACGAGAGAAACTTTTGCAAATGGAAGAATATGTGCAATTCCAAGATGAGGAATTACGACGATTGAAAAAGGTAAAAAGGCTGAAAGTAGCTTAGTTGCGAAAATGCTTCAAAATAATGCTTACAATCTAAACGGCTTATCAATTTATATTATTCGTGATAAGTATTAAGATTGAAGAAGAGAATTAAAATTAGGAGAAGATTTACAAAAACAAGTAAAAATCGCGGGTGTAAAAGCTGGGTGAATCCTTAGATGTACATGTGAAAAACGTGCATGTATTTCGTATACAATAATTAACACTTAATAGTTCAATTACATAATTATCATTCTTGTTAAAAAATTGAAATATTGCATGAATTATTCTACAATAAAAAATTAATCTTATTTAAGAAACACGCGGAAACGCTAACAAATGAACAACGTGACGTATCGCCGACAAGCACTGTCATCCGTGTGTTAATCTTTCATAGTTCAATTTTTTTTTAATTTAATTGATACAAGAGAAAGATAAATATTTCGAAATAGAAAGAAAAAAGAGACAATCCATCATTTTGCAATATTATCAGAAGTGATTGAACTTGCTTTTAAGAGTCTCATAGAATCGATAGCCTGTTGATGTCAGAAGAATATCAAGAATTATCCTCAGAATTGATCATTTTAAATCGTAAGAAATATAAGTTGGAGGAAAAAGTAAGTGTAAAATTCATTTCAAATTGGTAAAAAAAGATTTTCTTATTTTGAAAGACTTGAACATTAATGTTCAATTGGATTTAATACATTTTAATTATTTAAGTTGTTTTAAAATAAATAATTTTATATCAAATTAAATTTCATTCAGTTATACAGCTTGCATACAGTGAAAGAAATAGAGTTATAAATAATTTGACAAAATAGAAAATCTATGCAAACAGAAAGATAATCATCACATATTAGTGTTTATCCTTGAAAATAAATTCCAAAATTTTAAAATTGCATGAGAAATAATTATTTCAAATTTTTTTCATAGCTTTTTTTTTAATGTGTTTAACTTATAATGTATTAGTTATGTTCACATTAATTATCTAATCACAATATGTTGGTTATTTTAGATGAAACGAATGGAAAATGACTTGCAAGAATCGTATGAAAAAATTAAACACTTTGAAGATGAGCAACGTAGAACAGGTGAAGAAATATGGCTTACGAAAGAACGTGTTGCAAATCAGGATCGTGAATTACATGAGTTGCATAATCAGTGTTCAATGTTACGTGATGAAAATTTACGTTTGCAAAATGAATTAGATGGGGAAAGAAAAAAGGTAAGCAATATATTTCTTCTCATTAATCTAGAGCAAGCTTGTTGCTTATCAAAATCATTTTTGTTTGGATTCAACTTTTTTCATTTCATGTTTTAATTCCTGAAAATTAGTTAATTTTGTTTTGTTCAAAATCAGAGAATTTCACCTTAAATCTTTTCTTTTTGTATGTTTAAAAAATTTTTTTGCTTTCAACTTTTTTCTCAAAATTCATTACTAAATTTTTAGAATACTGAAAATGGTGGCATTAATGGGTCCAAATTTGATGAAATGAAGCAAATAGAGAATACATTAAGAGATGAAAAGAGTAAGATTGAATGGCGATTAGGTGAAGTGATACAATATTGGAATGATGCAAAATGGAAGTAAGAGTTCTTCAAATTGGAAGACAAATTTTTTTTTTCATCCTACTTCTTGTTACTTTAAGAATAATCAATGTATCAGTATTAAGTGAAGAACTTATCTGACTAATCTTTTATCGGCAGTAAACATTCCTGATCAAGTTCAATACCCCTAATTAATTCTAATTGACCAGATTTGATTAGAGATAAAAAAACTAACTAAACTCAATGATAAAACCTATTTAGCCTATAATTTTAATCAATGTTTAATTTAGAATTGGTGAATTAGAAGCTGGTATGGCACACAAGGAATGGTTATTGGATCAAACATATCAAAAAATATACGAGTTAGCTTTTTCATTCATCCGTTTTGATAATCAGCGGACAATGATGATATGGGAAAGGATTAAATTCCATTCCGCATCATTATCAATTTGATTTGTTATCAAGATGTCTGAACTTCATATAGCTTGGATGCCGAAAATAATCATTCCCAGTTTATTCTTATATTCGTTGTAGACTGGATCAATCTGTCATTTCATTTGTTCTCAATATATTTAACTTATGTATAACTTCAATACCTAGAATAGCAATCATTTCAAATTTATTCTCATTTGATATTTATCCGTTTATAGACTGGATCAAATGTATCATTTCCGTGATACGACAAAAAGTGTCTTAGATGGTGCATTCCTGATTAAGAAGCAACCCACTAGTAATAGATATAAATGGCGCCTTGCTATGTGGTAAGTTATCGTTTTATCTTTTTACATTTATTCCTTTCCTACTTTTTTTCTTCAATTCATTTTAGTTTATTTGAAAAACTTCAATTTCAGGAATGAGAGTTCACCAGATGATCTGAAAGATTACAGACGAATATGGTTTGAAATCAGAGCACCAGCAGCTAAAATTGTATTATTAAGCGTATGTTTGAATTCTAATCAAGTTATCTATCTGTAGAAATCACTCTAAATTTTATTGCAAATTTCAATTCGTATAACTAATATTTGTACATTTCTGTTAAAGTGTATCGAAATTTAAATAAATATTTAGGCAAGTTTCGTTAGTTGGGAATGCTTTTTACTGTGCCAGCAATTGGATAATAATGATGATAAATTTGGTGTTTGGATTGATATCCCACCGGGACGATATGAATTTCTATTTGTTGTGGATGGACAATGGACAATAAGTGACAATTATGAAATTTGTTGGAATGAGTATGGAACGCATAATAATTGGCGACATGTTGATTAGAAGAAATATATGTTAATAATTTCATCTTTCGAAAATAATTCATCGTTGCAATGAATTTTCTTTTCTTTGCTCAAAAAAAAAATTCTAACATTTTTTGTCACACAAAACTTTTCTTTCTTTCTTTCCCATTGATATTTCCTTTTTTCACTTTTCAAAGAATTTTTTTTCATTGTATTTATAAAAGAAAGGTACTAATTGCCACATTTCATTGGCGGAATGAGAAAAGAGATTAATTTACAGTAAACAATGAAAATTAATTCATTCAATTTTTGAAATGAATAAACAGTTTTATAATGCAAACAATTAATGATTTAATTTATAATATATTATTTTTTACACTATTATAATCACTTCTCATTCAACAATTATACAATATAGTTGTTGAATGAGAAGTGATTATTTAATGATAAATGAGTGGAAAAAGGGCATTGAGAGATAAGTGCACAATAAAATTTGTCATTTATTTGATGATAGAGAAGATGAATCAGTAAATCATTATCATTTAGATAAGCTTTATTGGTATTCATACATGGTGATAGGTATAAATGGAAAAATATTGAAAATAAGCGCGCTATGACTGTTTCGCCAAATTTTATTATCATTCAAAGGGTGACAATTTATCATTTAGTGACGATGGAATTGAAAGATTCTGATTTTTTGCTGTTATTTGCTCTTCAACTTATCATATATTTCTTACAGAGTGATTTAAATAAAATTTGAACAAAAAAAATTCTTCGATAAATATAAATTAATAAATAAAATATTGCAATTAATTTCTTTTCTATTTTTGCTGCAAAAAATTTCTAAAATGCCTTCATTAAAAAATATTTTTTGAGAAATTTTAGCAAAAATTATGAATTCACTATCAAATTATGAATTCACTATCTAAATAGTAAAAATTATGAATTCACTATCTAAATACGATTGAATAAATATTTTGAAGAATGAAATAATTCCTCATAATCCACAAAATTAAATTAAGCTTATAATTAATTAGCAATAAATTCTTCAGCTTTTTTTAATACTAATTTAATTGGTAATTCAAATAATTTACTGAATTTAAACGGTTTTCAATTTCTTTTGCGCTTTTTAATTCTTATTTTTAGATGTAATGACATCGATACCAAAATTAATGGCAATGCGTTGAGGAAAAACATAGTTTACATAACTTTGAAATTTCCAAAAAACAAAAAAAGGCATATTTTCAATGAAAATGTTAGGTTAAAAAGGGAGATAAATTAATGATAATTGTTAATAGCAATAATCCAACATTGTACAACGCTTCCATTGACCCTTTTGGCTTCTTTTCTGGTGTTGTTGATGTCACAGCTAAATTAATGAGATGTGAAATTCAAATACGACTTAAAAGAATTGAAAGTATATTATTAAAGATATTATAGATAAATGTTGACTTACGTATTGTGGTAGTTTCCATTGAAGTTGTAATTGGCACTGTAATATATGAAATATTTTGCATAAAACGCTTATCATGATTATAATGATCTTTCATGGCTTATCAGTTATCAGTTTGTGAATTATATCATATTTTTTTCATTTTAATATATAACTGTCTAAAATAAATTTCAGCTAATCTACTATAGTTTTTATTGCAATTGTGTATATGTGAAGTCATGTTTGGCATTAAAAAATGATTACATATTAAAGTGAAATACAATTATTAATTATTGATGACCCTTAATCAGTTATCTCAGGATATCGGCCCTAATAATTGATAAAGAATTGTGATAAAAATCAAGTTCTGTATAGAAAAATTAATTATTATTTATCAATTATCAGCTTTAAATAACAGTCCTAATATTAGTTAAATAAAAATCAATTTTAAATAACATTTTATGGTTTTTTGCTTTAACTATAAGCTATGATTTAGAATAATCATAAATCACTTTTCGTATTGAAAAGAGGATTTAATGATAATTTCTCTTAATTCATCAACTATCAACTCTAATCACACTTGAAAATAATGCTTTCTTCAGCATCGTGGTAAGAATATTTAATGGTATGTGAAAAATATGACGTATATGAAGAAGTAAAAGCTTTAAAACAAAATCAGTAATCTTATTAATAATTCTAAACATCCTTACATGGAATCTCAGTTGTCGTTTTTGGTTGTACGGTTGTCTTTATTTGAGGCAAATCTTTCGATATTTGCTCTAAAAATTAATTAATACCTTATTTAATATTAATGCAACCATATCAATATCAAGTGGACATTAATAAAAATCAAATATCGTTTTAGAAATAAAGCATTGATTTTTTTTTTTTTGATTAGACTAATTTATTGCAGATTACCGTTATGGGCAGTGACGAAACCGTATGCAGCACCCTGTATCTGGCCAGCCACAAATACGGTATATAAACCGTCTGATTTTATTGCATAGAACCCTACAGGTAGAGATACGGTACAGTAGTAGAATGTTTCGTGATAAAAAGTTATTGGAGTCCAATTCCAGATGAGTTCATTTGGAAATGGATTACCGGAAACTGTAGTAGTGGTTGCTTTAGCATCACCTATGATCTAAATCACAATTTTTTTTATTCATTTAAAATTAATTTTAGAAAAATAGAAAAGCCATTCCTTTTTCTCTTCCTTATCTTAAAAACAAACAAGACATCAATATTGTTAATTGAAATAGGAATAAAATAATTTAACATCAACAAAGAAATTATTGTTCTTTTTGGCTGCACGGTTATTTTGATTTTGGTTAAAATTTTTTGATGCTATCAAATTGAGATCGTTTTTTCATTTACTGAATTACATTTTTTCAATATAGCACTATGTGATCATTTGCTGATTGCTTCTTGAAGTGTCAAATTTTAAAGATGAAATTGCAGTATCCTAATGCATTGATGAGATAGATTGCTTATTAAGAATTATTAAAGTTATAGGGAAACATACCGTAATGATATTTTGATCACTGGGTACAAAAAGAGTAGTTACATCAGTAACAAACTGTGACCATGAAACAACCAAATCAAGAAATGACCCATTAATTAATTCATTATCATAGCCATATTTTAATACTTGTAATACTGCAGAACTAAAGCATATTGAAAAAAATCGAAAGCTTTAAGCAAAAACATTTGAGTTGAATTATTGTGAAATTTGAACTTATAAAAAATATTAATTTAAGAATGGTTGCTTTGCTCATTTTAAATCAAAATTTCAACTAGTCATTTCCTATTACTCTTACCTGGAATTGAAACCTGCATTTTGACTATATTCCACAAGTTCCACTTCGTTATAAGGTTCTGTCAGTGAAAAAATGCTCGAATGTTCCATCTCATCAAGAACGGTAAATTCCGCATCACACAATAAATTGCCTTGCGTTACGAGGAATTTTTTCGCATCATTCAGCATTGCAACATGATGATCGCTTACATTATAACAATCGGAAATTATTTCCTTTAGATTAATTTAATAACAAATTCTAATGGTAATGATAATAATAATCTTAAGCAAAATTTTAAAATATTTCAAATATGTGATTAAGTATTAGATGAACGCTTTTTAATTTCATTTCAAATTTGCTACAGTGAAAGATACTTCAAACTTCTGACACCTGAATCATGAAGAGGTGTAGGCATATATACGCCAAAATCAGTCCTATTATTATCTGATGAAACTGGCAACTTCTCCACTGCAACAATAACTGTGAATGGGGCATCTGCGCTTACTATTAATGCTAAATTACTCGTTGCTTGTATTGTCATTAAATTTCCATTATCCAACTAAAAAAATTATTATTGTAATATGGAATTTAACAATAAATTAGATGTTTTGCTCAAATAAAATATTAAATCATACGAGTGATTAATTATTTATTTAATTCCTAGCTATATGATAATAATATATCTAATCATGATATAATATAATCATTTAAGTAAAGCTTACTTTTGGAGAAAATGAATTGTTGAATGGCTCTTCATTAATTTCTCCAACCACATTTACTGTCATATTATTTGATTGAGGTAAGAAATATATTGTTGTAATACCATCTTCAGCAGGTGCTGGCGCAGACAATGCATATCTATTTGTAGCCATCGATGATGGCAATACTGTAACTAGCTTGATCAATTAACTTTTTCAACTAATATCAATTTTATACAAATTGCTATTACTGTTGTCTTCTAAAAACTGCTGCCTTTTCAAAATTGGAATTGGCCGATTTTCGTTTGTAGCTTTAAAAAGCATTAAAACAATTGAATTCGGTACATCACAGCTTGATTCATGCGCCATAATACAAACATATCCTGTAATGCGTGAAAAAAATGTGACATTAATGCACTAACCGAGGAAACTGTCACCAGCACCAGGAAGATACCAGTGTGAAAGAACAGCTATGGGTTGTTTTAATGAACTGATATATATTCTACTATCTGCGCATTCCACCAAATTTTCATGAGTTGCATTTTGGCAACTATTTATCAATGAGTCATTGAAGTGAACCTATAAATGTCTTAAATATCTGTAAGCAGCGATAATTTAGAGAATCTTTCAAAAAAAATCCTAGAATCTTATTTTTCTAGATTTATCTAAAAAAATGAAAATTGAAGGATTAATTTGATAAGTGGATATGCTGTAAATCATATCATTACTTCGTCACGTTGCTCTGTCACTACAATTGCAGTGCTGTGATAACGACTATTAGAAAATTTTGCATGTCGAAACATTTAAGAAATTTCTCATGCGCAATAAATCGAGGGCTTAAGTTAACTTCACAATTGATATAACAAGTAATGGAATAAGAAATCGTAAAAAAAACTTACTTCTTGATAACTCATTGATCCAACGATCACAGTAATTTCCTTGAGATCTCTCGAAAAACTTTCAGCATATTTTATTTTAACTAATGTTTGTCTAATATTTGGATTCATCAAAGTGATGCTAATTTTTGGTTTTTCATTGGTGTATTTATTGTTGCTTGGAAAAAGTACTGTAAAGTTACTGCCAAAAGATGCCGCACTAGTCGGTCGGGCATGTAATCTGCGACATTCTATTAGTGCTATAATAAATATGTTGGCAAGTAATTTTATATCAAAAATTTCTAATGAAAAAACAAAAGTGTACGGAACAAATTAATAAAATTTTAATTCAAAGTTAAAATAATTATATATTGAAATGGAATGGTTTGCTTGCTCATTCTTTAATTAGTTTTTTTATGATAGATATTGAATGATATTAATTAACTCACTTAAAATAAGAATAATTTCTTGCCACATCATAGATTCAAATAGATTTATAAAAGGAAGGAGAACTGACAGGAATGACAATCGATGTTCCGATATAATGATAGCAAAGAGATAAGAGGAAAGTTCCGTTCTTTACAAAATTTCTCTTCTGACGAGTGATTGGTTTCGGTCTTATCATATTATGATTTTCATCGTTCTTTGCTAAGAAGCACCTTTATAGTTTACTTGTATGTCCGATAATAGTTCAAAAGTATGTCTATTTTGATAACGAATTAGATTCTATTTAAATTAGGTATTTTTTGTTTTTATTGCTATAGGCTTCTTTTTATATGCTTAATCTCTTATTTATCCATCTATCATTACATGACAGAATTATTTTGGTAGTAAAGGAAATGAATTTTTTTTTAAAACTTATATTTAATTAATTCGTAAGTTCAATAAGTTGATACTTGAAACATCTGTCATTAGCTTTGATCTTATGATCATCTTAAATATTATATAAATTATTTTCATCGGACTTTATTTTAATATTACTTGACTTCTTAATAAATCCCATGAGATAGGATAGCGCACCAACTGTCATTTTTTATAAGAGTCTTTCAGGATGAGTTCAGAAACTTCATTCTTATCATTCAAATTTTTATGCCAATTCTCTATGCATTTATACCTTCCAGAATTAAATTTTTTTTAAATGATGCTCCTTAACGTGGTGCCAATAAAGAAGTATTCCTTTGATGTGGTGCGCTTTTTTCCGCCTACAAACCATCACATAATGTCTGCAGCTTTGCTTATTTTCATCGAATATATGTTAAGACAAATGAATCGAATGATAAATAATGGATAGAATGTGACAGGTTAAAATTTTCAACTCATAATATGATAGTTGGCCTGGAAATCTTTTTTCATATCTAAAGTATCCATATACATTTTTTTTCACTTGAAAAAACGATTGAAATAAATTATCTCAATAGATATCTTACTGATTATCTGCCAATGTTTGCCAGATCTGATCTGATAAAAAATAATCAAATAAACGGATGGTATAACTCATTTAAGCATATCTGACATTAAATTACAATTTGTTAGTTAATGATGCAAAAATTTTATTGCTAATTTAACTATTTTTTATTTGTTCAATTTTAATTTAGATGACAGCTAACATAGCACACGTTTTTTAATACATTAAATTAATCAGGAAATATATGATAATGTATACTATATTTCAAATGCTCCAAATACAAAATGAAACTGATAAGAGAAATTTTGATTTGTTTATTACAAAGTATTCTGGCATAAAAGTGAACTCAAAAAAAAGGAAAGAAAAAGAATAAGCAGATAAGAATGTTCAAGCATTTCCAAGCAAATAATTTCGATCCTTTTTAATAACAAAATTTCTTCATTAGTAGAAGAATCAAATGATAATGATAATATGAAATATTTGAAATATGAATGAAAAATAAAATTTCTGGCAGCTGAGATTCCGACAAGTATTATTTTTCTGTGATGAATGATATTGTCATAACGTTCGATCGATTCCATTTAAAGTTATTGTACAGATATATGGCGATGAAATGTTGCCAAATATATGCATTTTTCGACATTCAAAGGAGAATCCAAGAACGATTATCGTGGATTAATTCGAGTAATTCAAATACATTTGCAATGTTGAAAACCAATGGACGAAATCTTTTTTGATTCAAGCCAATGATTATGACCATTCAGATAGAAAAGGATGCAATCAAAATTGGGCTTATCATTGTAAAACATATCGTAATCCGTCGAGCGCTTAATGACTGACAGTATAAACAGAATGTTCCATACCTTATTATTATCATTCTTTCCAAAAAATAAGATGAATTTCATTTTTAGGTGAAAAATTTTATAAAATTTAAAACAACAATAAAAAGCGTAATGTTCGTGAAGATTATAATACATGAAGATTATAATGCCGTGAAATAATAAGGTGAAAGATATTATTTAGTTTAAATTCATTTCAAACTAATAAAATATTAAGTGAAACATAAATGAGTCTCTTTCTCACTTAAATATACTTCTAATTCGTTCGATGGGAAAAATATTTTACGCATATTTTTAAACATTAAATTATCGCACTAATTGATAGAACAAATCAAAGAAGGGAAAGAAAGATTCTTTTATTTATTCAGTATAAATGTAGCAGAAAAATTATACAAATGATTAAATTATATATTCAAATCAATCGAATAACCGATAAACAATAATCAATAAACAATTTATGAGCCAAAAAAAGCAATAACACTTTTTGACCTAATACTGAAGATACTATGTATAAAAACAATAACAATGCTCTGTTGACAGAATATAATCATATCATACAAAGAAGAACAGATAAAAAGATTAATTAAATTTTCATTCCAAAAAAGGGAAAATTGTCTTCTTAATTGCATCAAAATTTACCTCCCTACTTCAAAATTTCATTATGCAAATGTAATGAAAATTTTCATCTAACTTTTCTCGAATTTATCTTTCACCTCTAATATTATCATATTTGTGAGAATCATTATCAAATGCTGAATTGGCAAATTATGTTTAAGAAAGTTCACTGAGGAAGTGGTTATCCAACATTTTAGGCTATCATTTTTGTCTGAAATCAAAATTGGTGATATTTTTGATTTGATAATTATCCTATGTTAGAATCATTCTATAATCCTTTCAAGGTATATCTCATCTCTACTTTAATCAATAAATCATTTCAAAATCCTTTCAAAGCAATTGAATAAATTGCTCTTAAAATGTGATAATTATTTTCTCATACTTTCATTCAATCTTGTGTCACTATCAAATCAGATTTGATGTTAATGTCTATATCAAGACAAAAGTTAAGGTTGGATAAAGAAGTAAAATGAAGCATTATACTTTTAATAGGAAGTGAAAAGCGGAAGAGTAATCCATCTATCCATCCATCCATCCAATCCATCCGTCCACACACACATTTCCTTTCCCTCTCTTCCGTCCCAAAAGAGTGCGGTTGCTGCTGCTTTGCTGCTGATGCTTATGCTGATGCTGCTAAGCGCCGCTTTCATATTACCCGCGTCATCTTCTTCCGTCCCGACTTTTTCCCTCCTCCCCGTCCATCGATAGCATCAGACCGTGCAGGTAGACGAGGACTGCTCACTTTCCTTTGTTCAATTTCTCATTTCACCGATCTATATCCATTCATTCCTACATCACACTCTTCCACTCTTATTTTTCTAACCCTGAGAATTATTGATCGTTTTGGTCTATGGACGCATTTCTCCTCATTCCTTCCGCTTATCGATCAATCCGATGATCGGTGGATCGACCCGATCCTCATCATGTCATCCCTTCCCAACTACAATGAGCAACTTTCTCATGGGTCGAGTAGCATTATCTGTCAATCGATCGATCCACCAATACCGTTACTCTCCCGCCAGTCAACCATAATCCCTCACACCCTGCTCGTTATGTTGATTTTTTCAGGTGTTAGCTTATTTCATGGTGACCAATTGATGGCACCAAGGGATAGCCTTTACTCCCATCTTAGGCTGTAAAATTGAGGACAGAGAATATTGGCGTGTAGATTTTTCATTATGCTGCAGAAAAATACTTCTGAGTGATGTTTCGGTGTATTTGATGTTGACAATTGTGGGAAATACTGCATTTATTGATATCACTACAATATGGTAATATCAATAAATGCAGTATTCCTAAGCCTATCTTTATCTTCTTACCTTTATAATATTTCCTGAAGGTGAACTAGTACCGATCCATCATTATATCCGTTTAAATACACTGATTTTAAATATCTGATCTGATTCAGTTATGTGTAATATAGGGCGGAGTTTTTGTTTTTCGACAACCTAACGGTATTTCGGAAGAGATTTCCGGCGTCTTAGAGATCTATGAGCTTATTATCATATTGTTTGTAAGCATTAAATGATCGGATTACATTATTGTGCCGCATTTTAAATGTTTGAATTTTAAGGAAAAGATGGACGAAGGGCCGTCATCATCATCGGAAAATCCAAACTCGAATATTTCGATGTGCTCGGATGAAATAGCACCAGCAATTCTCAGTACCAGTGGTACTTGGCTACGTCTTTCCATGCCATATTTCCCAAAGAAAAGTGTAGTTTGGCGTTATTTTGATCTCTATGAATCGGATGGGTATAGTCGAGCGGATACGGAAAGGATCGTTAAATGTCGTCTGATGAGCTGTATGCGGAAAGAATTACGTTTGGATGCTCAATCATCGACCAAGGGAATGTGGGAACATTTACGCAACAAGCATCCCGATGAAGCATTGAAATGTGAAAATGGCTTGGTAGCTCCGCAAGAAGAACGTAAGTGTTTTTCTATATCAGGATTGTAATGGCTTTGTCTATTTTTCTAACTATAATAACTCTAATCATTTGGATTTTGCAAATAGCAATGGGCATTTAAATGTTTGATGTGGCAATTAATTTGTCAGAAAAATACCAACTTTGAGCTTTGTTTTTTGTGACTACTTATGGAGAAATAAAAATGGACATCATATTTATAGAGCTAGGAGAAGTTAGTGTTGAAAAATGTAAAAGATATAATTCAGGTTGTTACTATTCATTTGCAGTGAACTTGTCAATGTTCCATTCATGTCGATGTTTAATTAATTTTATTTGTTTCCTTCAGCAAACAGTGCAGGAGCGATGGAAAGTGCAATGGTTGCAAACCAGCAAATATTTGCTGCTCCAAGTCGTTCAATATCTGATGTTTATGCTCCGTATTCTTCTTTGGCTGATGAGAAAAAGTACGAAATAATCCATCGGTTAATTGGAAAGCTGTTAGAAAGTATGCAGGAATGCCAGGATCGGGTACATATCAGCGATCAGTATAGCTTGCTTTCTTTTGCTGATTATGCTCGTTTACTCGGTAAACCTTTAAAAAATTTCCAAGTGGTTTATCTTCACTGTATTGGTGTGGTAGCCCATTTTATTCTAAAAATATAGGAAAGTAATCGGTAAGCTCTGAGTAATTGTTGTGCTTGACGTCTGGATTGTCTTGTTCAACGCTCCTGGTTCCTTTTTTTGGATTTTTGTAATTTGGATAAGTGTGTTCAAATGAGATATTCCTTCACACGACAGTTTTGCTTTTGCAATATATTTGTAGCTTACTGCTTTTGCAATATCCCATTCTAAGAAATTGTTCAACAGATGCGTGATTTTTTGTGGGTAGTGAAACTTGAAGAACTTTGTGTTGTCATATGCATTCTGATTCGTAGAAAAACTTCCTTTACGATTATAGCGACAGAAAGATGTCCCACACGTATACATAAGTTAAGACAATGTAGTAGAATTTTTTTTATAAGACACCGTTCGTCTCTATTGTTGTTGGTGTATTCGATTTTCTAATCTAAATTATTTCAATGCCTTTATTTGTTACCAAGTTTTATGTTACCAAGTCTTGTTCTACAGCTAAAGCCAAAACAACAACACAGTTTGTATGTCGCGAAGCACCATTAATGTTACCAGAGCCGGGAACAATAGTAATTTACGATAGCAAAGATAACGGCGAACTGGATCTAGATATGCTGCAGGTTAATTTTCCCATAATGTACTATAAAAGTTTTTTTGCATTACTGACGGTATGAATTATCATAGATTGAAAGGAAATAGCATATTTTGCATTTCGTTATATCATGGTATGCATTCTCATAACACAGGAAGGTTTTTGAATTTAAAGCATATAATCGTTTTTTAGGTTTTGAATCTATATCTTGAATATATTTGATGAATTTTGTTACAGATGCGTGAGCACTTAAGGCAGGATGGTTATTCATTCGATAACAATGACAGTGGTTTATTGCCTGATAATTTGTACATAACACGGTTTTTCAGTGGGAATGGAGACGATTTTGAGGATGGTCGAATCATGTACTTTTTTCACTCATATTGTTCGTAAATTAAGTAGCAGTATTGGTAGTGAAGTGTTAATCTATTAACCTAGCGCTGGTGAACTTGTAGAATAATTATATATTAGTAGCCGCAGCACAACACCGACGCTAAGCGTAAGCTTTTCACAGGAAAGCTGAATTGCAGGCGTTATGAAGTTACGACTACATATGAAGATGCGGGTTACGTCCTGTTCCATTATGTTAAGGGTACAAAATACGAAGTGGGATCAAGACGAAGTACCGGCGAAATACCTGTTCATTGCTATAAACCGAAAGCACCGCGTTTGAAAAGAGTTGGTTTTCGGCTTTTGATGGTTGTTTTTTTTCAAAATTTTTTCTGTCATCCACGTATTTCAGCACCATCGACTGTCCTTTTTTCCTAGTGATATTAGTCAGGTGCATAGCTGTATTTGGAGAATGTGTGGTTATATTTGTAAAAGAGATGGGATGCTGTGTGGAGGTCCCTCAATTAAAAATAATGACGCTATATGTCAGGTGAAATCGTCGATAAAACGTTATTTCACTTGATTTTGTTCTTCAGTTTCTTTTCGCTTCGTTTCAAATATACTTTTTAGATTGATGAGAACAAGAGAAGAGCAGATATTTCATCGAATCGTGGGTCACCAGTTTCACATCTACCAGTTAAAATTAAGCGAAACGAATTAGATGGGTTACAAGCAATTGCTGGATGTTTGCCGCCGAGTTTTCAGTCATTTCTGGGGAACATTAAAGTGGAAGCAGATAAAGATGAAAATCTTAATGGTATGGATTTGTCTTTTGAGGAAAATGTGGAAGCTATTGGAAGTGGAGTGGACGATTCGCAAATTGAAGATAATTGCGTCAATATTGCTGGATTGTTGACATCATCTCATCCAAATAGAGATCTGAAGCAAACACTAAGTGCACACGACGTCAAAGCAGATACGAAAGTGGAAAAACGCGTTATGAATATTCTGAAAAAAGCAGTTCGTGATCAGCGTCGCAGTAAAGTTCATTACTTGGCACGACGAACGAAAAATGTGAATTGGGTGAAAGTTGCAGATGAGCTTCAGAAAAAAGCAATTATGATAGCTGCTGCAACGAGCAATGGTGATGCGGCATCGACAGGAAATATGGTAGCACATGAGTTTGAGGAAGAAGAGGAGGAGGAACATGATTGCAGTAATGTTAATGATGATGGTGACGATGACGATGGTGATAATGGTGATGGTGGTGATAACAATGATGTTAGTAATGAACGTATGAATAATATTACTCCAAAATATGCTGATACAGCTAACAGTGATGCTCACATATCAAATACTCTGGACAATAATGAGATTTAGACATCTCTTGTGCTAAAAATGTAAGCGACATTCTTCAATTCATCGACAAAAGAATTTTTATAGATAAGATTGGATTTCGTTCGGATTGTTTTTGAAAAGTTAGGCAGTTCACTGCATTTTTATTTTATAGATGCTTTTATGACTTTGTTAGATATATCGATAACGTATTTGCCTTTCTTCCTTGCAAGCGTAATGAGGCATTTCCATGCAAAATTAGTTGATCTTTCGAAGGATGCTATTGATTAAGGGAATGTTCAAATTTTCAAAATATTGCAGTCCTTATGAAGATTTATCCAGTAAATCATTATCAGTAGTCAAAATTAGTCTTCTATATGTTGCGTGTGAGGTGGGTGTATTTGCCCTGCCCGTTCTCCATGGCGTTTGATCGGTATTACTAGTTACCGATGGATCCAAATTACGCTTCTTGCAACTGTAATATTTCGGTATTGCTGGTTTCACATGTCTTCTGGTTTTGCTGTAGGAAAGTTAAAGAAAGGAGTTGGAAATATTTATTGAAGTTTGTAGGTATTGTTCGAAATGCACTTAATATGTAATAAGTTGTAAAGTTGTAAACAGAACTAGAGAAACTAGCAACTAATGGGTCTGTGTTGGTAATATTTTAATTGTTAAATTTATTTTTGTTTCTTCACACTATTTTATCGTATCGTTCGTTAACATTGCCATGATCACTTGATTCTCAGAGCACTGTTTTTTTTTACTGGAAAATGCCAAGAATTTCAAACTTGTTCGAGAAAGTAAATGCTGTTGTATTTTTGAGATTGGAGGCGGATGGTCGTCTTGCACCGCGAGCTATATATGCTGCTCCAGGAGTCCGCTTTTCCTTAAGGTCCTGCTTAATATTAACTAATAATGTTTTCGTCAATTTATCCCAATTACAATCACTTTGAATATGCGTCTTTTTTTAAATAAGTTAGTTCGTTAACCTTTCGGACGAGCAAACATTTCGGTTTTCTCTATTTTAAATATTTGCGCTTGGTAAGACATTTCCTAAGCGATAACTTTATCATCATTTATATAAACAAAGATGAAAAGTCATGTTCATGAAACAGAAGGTATAAAAGCTCCACTTTTGGAGGTAGGCAAGGTGAGTGTGATGTAGCAATGTACGCATATTCATTGGTGTTGGGGTTTTTGATTACGCATTTTTGATCCCTATTGGTCTCAGAATTTTTATTTCGTATTTTTCTGCAGGTGTTCAGGGAGGTTGTGTCTGCCCTTATTATTTCCGCAATGCAATAGACTGATCTCAGCACCGGTGCCTATATGGTATGACGGTCCACGAGTGATCTAATTTACAGGTGATAGTTTGAGCTCCTTCATTTTTCTTTTCCGATCGGCTTTTATCACTAAAATGGGAAAATGATTTCATCTAATCGTCGGTACGTACAAGGAGATATCTGGGGAAATTATGCGACAGTCATTGTCTGCTTTTCCGTTGTTTACAAGATAGTGGAGCATAATGGAGGGGCCAAGCCCTTTATCTACAGATTCATTTGATGTTTTGTCCAGATATTTTAATTATTTCATTAAATGTATGGTTTACATGTGTTGCATGGAATAATTTTGCTTGCAGCAACTTCAATCTTTTTTCTTCCATTCTCATATTGTACTCTACTTTTTTTCGTACAACGAATCGTGGACTTTGCAGTGGTGCCGCCCTTTATCCGTTGTGAAAATAAAATTTTTATCTGGTCGTAGAGCTTTGTTTAGCCACATTTGAAAGCTTTTTATTAAATCGGATTCCATGAGTTTGACGTTTCCCGTTCTCCCGTCCTGGGATAGCTATCAAGTTTGCACTGCCGAATGATCCAAATCGACTCAAGACAGTAAACAATTCTGGCGGTTCAATATTCAACTTGTCGCTTGAAGAGTTCGTACTTTCAGTATGTTCAAATTCCTTTTCTTTTTATCAATAACAATGCTAAGTCTTTCTAACAAGGTGAAAAGCAATGGGACCTGAAAGAAATGAGTCGGCATTTTATGGTTAGGGATATTACGGCACAAATATGAACAAATTCAAACACACGTGAGTGAAGCTGTTGGAAGCTGCAACAACAGGTCATTTATGCATCATTTTTTTCTGAATTACCGGCTTATTCCTGGATAAACTCAAAAAAGTACGAACTTCAAAGATATTCAAATGAAGAAAAGCAGTAGTATTTAGAGAGTGCTAAGACATTCCGCTGTGGTAGTTTGTGCTTTTAAATACATTGACGCACACTAAGACCAGATGAGGGTTGTATAATCCAAAATTAATAATCGCTCTCTCTAATTGTTAATTACACTTGATATAGGAAGTGCTGTCCAGACTCGGATTAATTATTACTTTAAAAAAAGCGGAACAAGAGAGAACTAAAGCTATCAAATACGATAACTGGTATCCTCACGAACACAACCAGAACTGGTCAATGAATCGAGATGATATCAGGGAAAATCAGCAAGGGAAAAACTGATAAAAAAAGCTAATCTTTCTAAATCTTAGTTATTTCTGTGGTGGTTAAAAAACTGAGGAAGATTAGCTATATGGATTCCTGCAGATGTGATTTATCACTTTAATGTATTGAAAATTCGGTCAGATTTCTTATTCCGTATGTCTGAAGACCTCGTTAAATTTTTATCGTTAGTATTATATGATGAATCAGACTGGAAATATTAGACGTACCGGTTCAGACGGTTTGCAAGTCTTTCTTGCTGAATTTGATTTATTATTCGTGCAGATGCCGAACCTGTTTGAGTTACCTTTTGTAATGGATGACATATGTGCGCAATTGCACAATGATAATGATATAATGTTCTCATAATAATAGTAGCAAGTGCTCAGTTTTAATATGGCTTTACTGCTTTTATCTTTGATAATCTCTTCGCTGGTTGCCTGATGTTCATCTGTCGCAAATGTGCTGTGAATAAAACGGCTTGAGCCCAACCGGCGTAACGGCCAAATTTTTCTTGCCAAATAACTGCTGGAAATTTTTATGTGGTCTATAATGGAATGAAACTAATGCAGAAAATCTAGACCACACTTAACTACAGCGAGGTACAAAACACAATAATGTTATAGATTCATTGAGATTTTGAAAAATTAAAATAAATGAGACCAAGCGAAACTGAAGTCATACCAATTTGTTGTCGATCTTTCCCTTGTAAAAATTTTCTTTGCGGCAATGTTTTCAAGTAATTTTCTGTTGTAATTTGTAATATATGCGTATCAATTGGTACAACAGAGTGCATGCGTAGTCCCATTAGACATATGCAGTCTGCAACCTTAAAAGGATCACAAGAAGTTCTTATGATGTAACCGATTGAACAAATTTTAATAAAAAGGCCAACCACATTGCCGGTTCTTTTTTTTTGCACAAGCTATTATTTTAAGACAACATAACGCATGCGTAGACCCAATCTTATTTACTCACCAATGTCATTGACCATATAGGATAAACAAGATAAATAAACTCACCTTTGCGCCAATCCCTCGCATTTGTCGAAGTTTTTCCACCGCATCTTTGTAAGTACCCCTTGACAAATTTTCTAGAAATTGTTCGCCGTTGTTTTCCTGTGTAAATTGTAAATTACACACTACTATCAATCTATATATTTCAAAATTCATGGAAGAAAGTGAGAATCGAAAATGCAGTTCTAAAAATCTCTCTGATACCACCAGCAAATTTTAATATTCTTGAGCTAGGGGAGAGGAACTTACGAGTTCTTTGGAGGCAAGTGCAATGTTCAACGCGCGGTAACCGAAACCATGAACTCGCAAAATTGTTTCTAACATAGGATCATCAGCCATTCGTTTTAGATCAGCAAAATCATAAAATGTTTTAATGCCATTTGCACAAGGAATATTAGTGCTTTCGCCGTACAGCTCACATAATGTCTCAACCATATCTGTATTCATAAAACAATGATTTTTAAGGGATGGTTAAGAAATATTTTAACAGCAAAAGCAGCAATACTTCCCTAAACTTTAAAACCTATTTTAGCGCACCTAAAAGCATGTGAAATATGAAAGTTGGTTTCACTATGTTGATTGCATCATGAGTTGCTTCTTCATGAGAAATAAAACGAAGCTTAAGGAAGTAGTACATAATCATTATCTTGTGAACACGGCATAAAGTCAATAAGGCAATAAGACAATAAAGCATGCTAAAGTATACTTGTGATACGTCGGATGTGATTATTTGCAGAACAAATAAATGCAAAAACAGTTTCCACTGGATCTTGCCCAAGAACACGAATTCCTTCGAACTTCGTTCGATGATTCTCCAAAAGATGAGCGAAATGCTTATCATTTTCGGCCCAGAGCTTATATAATGGCACTAGCTTGATATTGAGCTAAAATACATCACGAATTATATATTGCCATGCTTTTTACCCAACTAATGCAAAGGAAGCAGATTTATTTTTAAGCAAATTCTATCGACATTTCTTGTCTTATTTAACTCTTAATCCTTACAATTTGGACTACGAGAATTTCAGTTTAAAATCATAAATATTAATCTGTTAATTTGTAATGTCACTTCTCAAGTATAAAAATAAATTTCAAATCTCTTTTAAGTTTTACGACTTTGAAACAAGAAAAGCGAAACAAAGCCAATCACTAATGAATCAACTGGCCTGGAAATAATCTTTGAGAACATCCAAGTCGCTCCCACGAGCTTTTGAAAATTTTGCCAGCACCTCATACCCTAACTGTTCGTCATTCTCTCGCCAAACCTTCCATATCCGATGTTTAGCAACACCAAGAAATAGGTCATTTGATGAAGAAGCAGTATTTTTACCATTACTTTCTACCGATTTTTTCCACCTTAAAATTCAAAAAAAAGCTAGCTTATTTTTTTATATAACTAACTTTGTTATACAAGAACTTGTATTTTGCTGCTGACTTTGTATTATTGAAACAGAAATGTATTTTAAATAAAAAGCAAAAATAAATTAGATTAAAAGAGTTTGCGAGGAATACTATCCAAGAATCGGAATCTTTTAAATGTAATCAGTGACTGAATTCCTTGTTTAAGCCAATACTTTCAATGGTAACAAAATTTTTTGAATTAAGAATACTGAAATTCTTTTAAGGAGGAAGTAATCTAAAATACTGCCACCATCAGCATTAGAAGCTATCCTCTTAAAAAATTTTACTTATTCTTGACTCGAAAAATTCTAATAGGCTGTCATTAATAGCACAGCAAAGGTACACTAGTGAATCAGAATACGCTTAGAAATACGAAAATTATAGTCGTTCGCAAGTGCAAAAAAGTTAAATTTTCAGAAATTCAGAAGACGTAAAATAACGTGAAAACAATTTAAAATGATACCTGAATGACTGGCCACTTAACAGCACTGCTCCAAGGTTTAATTCTTCTTTTGAACATTTCAACAAAGGCATATACACCAATTGAATTTATTCAAGGGCAAATAATCAAATAAAAAGAACTATTGACAGACAAAATGAGAAAGACGAAAACTAAAATTACGCGAAATTCATTGTTTGCTTTCATTTTTCTCATTTTATTGATTTACAAGCGAGATAAAATATATAAGTTATTCCGTACGTTAGCTGTAACTATTTGTATTATTGCTGTTACTGAATTAAATAAAAATTAGTTAAGGATAATCGCCATTTTTGTTTTCAACTTCAACTTCCGGCTCCTCATATCTAGAAGCAGAATCTCCCTCTGCTCTTCTCTGAAGCTGAGGAGTCCTTTTTCCTTCTGAACTACTCAATGTTTTTATTTACCATTTTTTCCTCATATCTACTGCTAGACGTGTGACCTTACTACAATCATTGCTTGAAACTTATCGATTTGCCCAATAATTTATTTACTTAATAACTGATTATTCAATAACTAATATATTGTACTTCCTCTTTTTCACATTTTAGTCTTTTCAAAGAATTACTGAAGGAAAATCTATGCCCAACTCTTTGAGTTGATATTTTATATTCCTTAGCATGTAATCATCTAACAGTTAAGCGTCTATGCCTACTATCAATGCGGTTTAACCTACTTGTCAGTAAAAGTGCTGATGAGTCCCGCAAATCCCGAGCCATGCACGCATCACATCTCCAACGATTCCCGCATTTCTAAAATTTCAATCAGTTTTCTGCTGCATCATACAATGTTTTGTCGGCTGTAGCAGCTCGGATGGCATAGGTATTGTTGGGTTCTGTAGGCAGGCGGTTGAAATGGATGGGCGCGTGCGTGCGGATGGATCGCGTGGGGTCGAAGGATATTGGGGGGCCGTATTTCGTTGATAACTCTGCGAAGTTAGCTGCATTACGGTAATGCTGATGTTGTACACTGAATGTAATTAACAATGCTGAGTGAATTTCAGGTCACAGAAGATGTACAGCAATGCCAGGAACGCCCCGAAAGAAATGTGCTGAAAGAAAGCTATTAGCAGTAAAGAACAGAGGGAAAAGGAGGACACAATCGATGGCACAACAATCTGAATTACTCGGCAGCTTAGTTGGGGAGAACGATTCTCAACCGGGTATATTACTTACTACTCAATTATGCGGTAAAACCGAGAACTTCTAATTGGTGAAGATGATTTGCTTAGAAGATGAAAATTTGCAGTTATTATAGTGAGATGTTGAAAGCGTTGCATTTGAAAATTTATGTGCTGGAGGCTAGTTTTATCTCTATCAGCAATTATTTTGATTAAGGATAGTTGGTTACTGCGAAAAATTTACATGCGTAGAATTCATATAGATAGTTGCAAATAATCAAATACATTTAAAGAATCGGGTTGAAAATATTTTAAAAAATTTGACCTCATTAAATTAATCTCAAGATTTCAGAGGTGTTTCGAAAATTGCTAAAGCATGAACAACGCGAAACACCACCACGTTTGGTATGTTGTGAACTCTTTTTGATAGAGAAAGTTAAGGTGAGTAAAGGAAGGGAGCGATTAAGGAAAAGCTTACCAACAAACTCACTGGCAGAAAAATGTCAGTGGTTGATATAGATCTGAAAACAAACGAAACGTTGTACATAAGGAAAAGAAGCATGAAGCATGCATGGGATTGTAACTTTGCCATGAATTTATTGAAGGAATTCCATTTAGAATGATTTCGCGACATGTCATATTTTTAATATTTTTCTTGCAGTCGCCAGCAGTCGATGGTCTCTCGAATGACCCTAGTGTTTCTCCAGATAGCAGTAACAGCAGTAATGCAGATACTAGGAAACCATGCTTATTGCTTCCGAAAAACAGCGATGACAACCAGGGGTCGCTGTTGGATAGGAAGGATGAGGTTCAGCGGCTGCTTTCGAAAGTAAGATTTTCGAACGATGGAAGGGCTTAAAAGCTGTCTTCAAATTTGTTAAGCTTTATATCGGCTTACAGTTGTATCTTAAATCAGGCTATGACTGTTACAGTGGGTTTGACAGGAAAAGAACAAAGGAATTTTTATGAAGTTTGCCTGATGAAATGTAGGTCTGATGAGATTCTCCTTGCTTCATTAGTCTTGTCGAGAAGCGTTATTACAATGATACAATATGAATTGCATAAGTCTAATTATGTTGCTATCAATTTTGTTAATAAGAAGAATAAGTATCAAAATTCATCCATGGTTTCCAGACTGCTGAACAAGAAATGCCACAGCTCGACAATGAATGTCAGAATGCTGCATGTGGTAAAGTCCCAGTTTTTCAATTATAACTTCATTTAGTTCATTTTCGGATAAGCGTCTCTTCATTCTCCGCACTTGGATTCATGTCAACAGTGGACTCATGTCCTATCACAATCGTAAAGTTTACTTGAAGTCCCACTTCATTCTATCTAACAGGAAGATCCAACGAATGCTATGAAAAGGGGTTGCGAATACAGAACTTTTATTTTAAAAAAGGTTATAAATAAAAGTTGAAAAAGTGAAGCAATTTTAGGACAAGATAATGGTACTGATCCTGAATCGGCAGCAACATCTTCAGTGCATTCAGATGATACGCCACCCCGTTTAACTGCTGCTCAAGTTGTAAGTTTGATAAGCATAAGAATCGTTTAGAACCGGATTGATAGACTGTAATTTTCAACAGATTTTGCTGTTTTTCGCCACTCATTTTCTTATTCAAGTCATCAGAATTTTTATTAAGGGGTCGTCATTTGCATCAAATGTGATTGATGAAGAAAGCCGTGGAGAATATTGTGACGATAATGCATCACCTCCACCGCTTGACAAGTATGCATCTGCTGCATCTTCACCAATAGTTCCGGGATCCAGAGCGAGAGATTCAACTATATGGACTTTACGCCTCAGGCGGCGTCCATTTTATACACCTTTGCTTAGTGCTGTTTCTGAGGCTGGTCCTTCGGTGAACAAAAGAAGTTGCTCAGAGGCAGATTGGGCGAATAGGTTGGCGGAAGTGCTCAGGGAGTTGCATCCCAGTCAGTTAGTGCTGGCGAAGGAAACCATTCATTCAACAGTTGTCAAAATTCTGGCACAAGAAATAACGTCTGATATATCATGTCTTATGAATCTAATCGAAAACCAGGATCGCCGCGCTGCTGCTTTCGAAAGAGTTCTTAAGGATTTGAAGAAATTTAAAGCTGATTACACTTATGATTCCACTCTTTGATTTTCTTCTAACGATTGGTTCACCAATCTTTGAGACTATTTCGCAAGCGATGAGGTACCGATATTTTTAAGTATTGCTCAAAAGTAGCAAGTTAGACGTAAATTACTTATATTTATTCGCTTATTTTGTTATTATTGACATAAACATCGTTTTGATAAGCCAAATTAGATTTTAGATCAGATCATCTCAAATTAATCTATTTTGTAGTGGTGGCACGGGTTTGAGTACGGAAAGGAAAAAATTTCCATTGTATTGAGATGTGTGCCGATGAGCCTAATATCTCAAAACATCTCATTCTTCGTCAAGCAATACGTGATAATTTACGGCTTAAAATTGGCGCAGCGATCTCGGTGATTTGGATATGTTTATCCGCGTCTACCTATTTCTATCTGTTTGAGCCGCCTTTCCTCCTGAATCATCAATATCCGAGAGTCATACGAATCCTTATGTATAAATGCAGTATTTGAAGCCTGGAATGTTATGTATTTAGCGTAAATTTGCTGTAGTATTAACAAAATTTGTCACAACTGTTCGTTGAAAATGTGATATGCATTGGATGAGGGTTTGTTTTCATCTCTCTCTATTCGTTTGTGTATTTGACTTTTTTATGGCGTGGTAATTTTAGCTTTATGTGTTTGCTTTTATATAAAGTACAGTTTTAAATTCCACGAAATCTCTTGTTTGTTATAGATCCGTTTTTAATCGGCGTTTTTTAATTCTTATTATCAAGCAAGCAGTTTTGGGGTTTTGATAGTTATAGTAATGCTTGGGAGTAAGTTATAAGAGGCTGCGGTAACAGGTTCTTTTTTCTGAATAATCCATAAGTTGACTAAGATTTTGTGCATTACGTTGTAGGTCCTCTGATATCGTTTTAGTTCCAAAATTTTCTAATAGTAATGTGATTTTTAAAAGATGCATAACAGATTAGATGATTTTATAAGAGAAAATGGAGTCGCATATGCAGTCATGCCAATATTCATGCCAGTAATCAGATATCGAGGTTATTGAACAAGGAGTAAAATTTATTAGTACTTTCAGGTGTCATTGCGTAGGTAGTAGACTGTTAATAGTATCTTTAAATGAGTTAGTTTTACCTGCAATTTTCGATTCTTCATTGTAGTTATGTGAGAGGATTTTAATGGAAAAGGATATTACAAGTGTTGATTTGTTATAATACAATTTTTGCCACTTTACTGTCGGACGTTTTTAAAGTATACGTGCAATGCAACATATCACATTAGTTTATTCTGTGGTCGATTTGTTTTCCGAAATTTCCAACACGAAATGTGATGGAGATGTCCGGTCCAGGTGATTTCGTATCAGATAATCTCGCGTCAGGTGGTGCAGTGTGCGGGACAGCAGTAGCTGCAGGGGCGCAAGAAACATCGAGTAGCGGCACTCCAGCGAAGGTTTTTAGAATTTCTTTTTCTAATGTGTCCAAATGCCGTAATGAGGATTCCTAATTTATCAGTGCTTCCGGTATTGCAGAAGGCTAAATTTAATGTACGTCTCGAACTTCTAGCTTGAACTCTTACAGAAACCCAAGAAAGCATGTCGCGCCAGAACTGGTTATATGTTATTCCATGGTGAAGCGAGAAAACGCATCAGAGCAGCACATCCTGAATTGAACTTTGTTGAAGTGAGCAAACGTGTCGGGGAAGAGGTAAATTGTTATGCACATGTTTTCATCTTCATTAGAAGCTTTATGTTATGTAGCATTCATGTATAGTTAATTGCCTGTAAATATTTTGGTAATTCATAAACTATTTACAGTGGGCTAAAGTATCAGCTGAAGAAAAAAACAAATATAAATTGCGTGCAGAACAGATTGCGAAGGAGGCAAAAGAGGACGATAGTCAAAAAATCATTTTGGTAGATATTTCTTTTTTTCACACCCCCTATGTTACTACTATCATCAAGGGGAACACTTTTCACTGCAGTGGATATTTTTATTGTTTAGTAAACAAGGAAACATCCTGGTAAAGCGCACGGTTTTTCAGCCGCCTCCTGGAAGGATTCTTGTTTATCAATGTATGTGGCAGAAATGTGACATCCAAGCGGATACATCTGATGCTCTTTACGAACATATCAAAACTACACACAACATGGAATACTTCTGTAAATAATTCATTTTATTAGCCATACTGGTAGAGATTAAGGTGCCGGTGATCCAACGGCTCGTTTAACATTTAAATACGCTCTATTTTACATTTCGAATAAGCTGAATGCTTTCGATCTTTGTTAGGAGATATTGCAGAGAATTTTTGTTAAGCATCAAATTAATAAATATAGTCGATTTAGGTATAGCCGTAATTTATGCAAATTTTAATCAAAGGTTGCTTTTTAGCACAGGGCGAAAAACGTTATGCTTGTTTATGGTCTACATGTTTCAGAAACAAACGATATCCAAGGTGAGCTAACTTTCAATTTTAGTAGGATTTATAATTTGCATTGATGTTGTTTTTTTCCTGTTTTCTCGTAACTAATTTCATCACAACGGGCACTTTTCCTGTATAACTGGATTTAAGTGATGTTCTGGTTAAGGTTACTGTGATTTTTCTTCAGAAGGCTTTAAGTACGGTGATCAGGTTTGTAATTGTGAGACTAATAAACATGGCGTGTTGAATGATCTAATAATTTTGCTAATTTGATTTGTGAAGAATTTTTAGACACTTTTTAGATCATTTTCACTGCTGCCTCACCTACAGCAGCACATTAAATACAAACATTTGCCAAGGTGTGCACGATTTATCACACCAGATAAGAAAAGCAAGTAAGCGCTCTACACTCATTTGCTTGTTTGTAGACTATATTTCACTGAAGAAAACTCTAGAAATAACTTTATTTGAGTGCCGATTGTCAATGCGCGAATAACTGAACCATACTATCAGAATTTAATGTTTTAAAAATGAATTAGATATAAGCTGTCAGCTTATATCTAATTCATTTCTAAAACATTGCATAGTGAGACGTAAAATGAATTCTTGTCCGATTCATATACTTCATAACATTTTATCCTTAACTTCTGTTATTCCAGGAACTTCTTCAGTTTGACGTCATCTGCACCCACACCTACAACTGAATCTACCAGTTCAGTGAGATCATATGCACGAAAGACACATCCTTTAGTTACCCTTCACACACCATTTGTCTTACCATCCTCGCATGGGCAAATGCAAATAGCTCCAGCATTTATGATCCCACAACAACAGTCCAGTAATTTTCCACAAGTTAGTTACTTTTTGTTCTCATGTTTTATTGTCTCTCACATTCATCGTTTTTTATCCTAGGGTCGAGAAGTAGAAAAGTATTTGCATCCTAAAGCAAAAGAATGCATAATTCCAGTTTATTCTGCAATTGATATATACTCGTGCTTTTGATTTTATGGATAATTCACTTCAGTGTGAATTATCGTGAAACTTTTTGGTTGCTATTTTAAACAAAGTCGTTGTTGCGTTCTTCGACGCACGCTGCCGTACTATTTCGTAATATCCAGACTTCGCACATAGACTGACGCAAAATAAACTTTGCTATTAATTGTAGGAAATCCTTCCTCTTTCGTTTATAGGATGGTTTTGCTTATGCATTGAACGCCAATGCATCGGCACAGTCGTTCGCCGATGGTAGTGTCGCCATAGCGATGCTGGAAGAAGGAAACAAAGGTCCTACGAACTCTGAATCATCAGCACTTCAGCAGGCATTTTATTCAGGACAGCAGTATTTGCAAAATTCGAACAGTGCTTGGACGGTTCCTAATAAAGGTACTCGATCTCCGGAATTTAACAATGGATAGTGGATTTTTTCGTTTGAACTGGTGTGCGCAGTACTGCTTGGAAACTTTTCATGCATTGATTATGACATGCTTGATTATTCATTTTTTCATTATTCACAAGCAATGCAGTTCGGATACTTAACGATTTTAGGATATTGTTTTGATTTTGAAGGGAAACACATTTTTCTATTGCGAACACGTATAACTGTGAATTATCCTCCCGGGCTGCAGATAGAATGAGGTTTTTGATTATGTCGTTGAAGGAAAAAGCATTTTGGTTGAAGTACCACTCTGTTCTTAACCAGTTGTTATTTGAGAGTTGTTGTTGTAACAGAGTTGTTCTCAGGCCTCTAGGCATGTGTCATATGAAGTACATTTTCTGGACTTCCAAGACATGCTTTTTGCGGCTTTGAATCTGTTGCTATAAGCAGTTTTATTATTCGTTTTTACTTTCCATCGAATTTGAAGTTTTTTTTTTCTTTTAAAGCCTTTTTTCAATGACACTTTTGTTTTCAAGTAGATCAAAATGTAACTTATCAATTTTGTTTCTATATCAATGACAGTATAGTTCTAAATTCATTATTCAACGAATATTTGAGCAGACTTAACAAACATTTCAACTGAAAACTGCAGTTTTTCAATTGCGATATTACATTGGAACAAAAAACCACGACACCTATTGTTGCGAAAATGTTTCTAAAATCTTTTGCATGATCGCATTTATAGCCTTTATATTTTTACTGTTTTCTGAAATCGGTTTTGGAATGAAATTTTTCTGATATTTGAAGTTGTGGATTTGGTTGTCGTTTACTGTGAAGCATGAATGTGGCATTCCGTGTCGGTTACTCGCTTTGTGGAGCACTTTTTTCATTTTTCTCGGCAGTCATTTATGCACACTAATTAATTTCAACTTTTGCAGTAAATCACTTTAATTTTTTTAATTTTTGAAATTGATTTCAATATTTATATATTGCCTTTTTGCTATGGGATATGTGCTTGAATTCGGTAATGCAGTTCTTTTCATTTCGGTTTTTTCCAAAAATGTCTAATTTTTTTAGAATTTCGCGCTAATTATCACATTTTTTTCGTTGGATCACTTTCCTCTTCTATATTTATATGGTGAAACTACTGTGACAGTCTTCAATAATGCAGTCCCTTAGCATAATTGTTTTTTCATTTTTTTCTGGCAGTTAATAGTGACATTTAGTTTGTTATGATGCTATCTTATTCTCCGGACAGCGGGAAAGAATTTTGATCCATCCATTTCGGTTGTCTTCTCCTCTCTTTTATTCTGCTTTGGATTGGTACTTCGTCTAGGATAGTTTTCGAACATTCTTCGTGTCTTTACCTTCTCGATTCCTGTGCGTTTTTGTTGTGAAAAGTGCAAAGGTCGCACGCATTTCCTGATTCATTTTTAATTCAAATTTGTTTATGTTATATCATGTTTCCACATTATTTACACATTTATTATCAATTATTAATATTATGATTGTTATGATGTACGTCGTTCGTTCAGCAACCTGAATCTGACTGTTTGAGTTCTGACTTGTGAATCTAAGAATTAGTAAGGTATCTTCAGATAAATGAAGGCGATAGAATTAGTGAGGGAAGACCAAAGAACAATGTGAAAAAATAAGCTATTACAAGCATCATTGCATGACGGATTAGATACCCAAGTGGAGTTATGATGATTTTGTTTTTCCTATATCAACCCTTCCTCGCTGTTGTTTGTGACTATTCAGTCATGTTACCTGTTCTGTTTTATTAATCATAAAATGCATTTCTTTGTTCTGTTTTAATATATGGACAAAGCACAGAAATGTTAGTTACATGCATTCGTATTAGCTATTGTTGTGGATTTTAAATTTATTTCACATTGGCCTGAATATATTAAGAATTATTCGTGGTAAGAGATAATGTTGAGTTATGGAGTAATACTCATTGTTGTAACGTAGTGGACTGCATACGAAGTAGTGAAATCTTCGAAATTAATTGAAACACTAGCAATAGTAAGCGAGGAAGTTGATTTCTGCTTTCAAAGGTTTATTTACCTTTTCACAATGGATTTTTGCGGATCTATGTTGTGAGTTGATATGGATGTACAGAGAAGGAAGTGTTATTGTACTGAAGGTTTGAGCGGGCGTTCGGTGACCAATTATTGTAGACATTCGAATTACGTAACGAAGTAGTAAAATCCTCGATTTTATGATGAAATTTAAATTTCATATGGTGTGGCCTAGGCTGCAGAATACGACGGTCGGACTAACGGAAGACTCGGATCTGTGCTCATGAAGCTAATTTAAAAGCACAAATGATGAACTGCATGCTTTTAAATTCAATTATATTTCAAATTGTTTCGGAAAATTGTAAGTTACGGGTTGTTAGCTAAAGATATTTCTCGGGATCGAGTGAGGACTAAACGGAAAAATTCAGGTGATGATATAAGTTTTTGAAGATATCATTTGTTTCGTCAATAATATGGATAAATCCGTGGCAGCAAATGGAGGTGAAAATGCTGGTAACGGTACAAAAGGTTCGATTAACCTGGGAGCTTTTAGATTCAAGGAAATACTTGGCGAGGATGGTACCCGTAAGGTAATCTTTTTTGCAACGATTTAATAAGTGAAGTGAAAGTATGGGATCAAGTCAATCTTTGAATTAAAAACTTTTGAAAGGAATGGTGTGGTTTGAAACGTTGTTATATTGATTTCAATGTATTGAATTTTCTTTCCAAGATATTGCAAAGTCCTCATGCACGAAACAAATTGTAGAATACTCCGCGAAGTAACTCCAACCTCCAGTAATTGTATTCTAAGGGATAAGCTTAGAATTTATTAAGTGTTACTTAAGTTTATAAGTTTATAAGTTTATAGGAAAGGTTAGGAAAGAAGTTCAGAATTACCAGGGATCTTCATAAAAGATTTAACTTTTTTGTTTTACTGTTAAGGTTAATTCTGTTTAAGGCGGCTTTCGTGCTATTGGATGTGAATGATTGTAGTAATCAAGCTGTTCTAATTGTGGAAAGGACTCCTTTTCCTGTGAGTGAGCAGGATTGGAATACAATTGTTTCTCACTGTTCACTGAAAACTGTATCAACTAATGACATATATTCAAATCTCATTTTATTCCCACCAGAGAAGTTTGCTGGTACAATCGTTTTTTTTGTTTTCTGGTATAATCGTTTTTGTCATTTTCTAGAGAATTGATAATCTCTAAAACGCCAGACTAGATGATTTCTTAGAAGCTTCTGATGATTTTACAGTAACTGTTTGGTAATAATTTTTCCTTCTAAACAAGTAGCTAAGCAGTCACTGAATGGGATACAGTTACCTTTACACTGCTTTGATCAGATGGTCGAGTAGTCAATATTAGAGTTCTCTAAGATAATGAGGCATAAAAAGTGTACGTAAGGGATCAAGACGACGTTAATAAATCCATGTACCGAAAAGCATATTGCGAAGTATCGGGATCAGAAGCGATATGTCATCCACGAAACGCCCGTCGATTACAAATCCATCACTTTACCTTATCTGGAGGAACATCAGTTCACGTTGAAGGTGTCCTTTTGATAAAAAATTTTCAATTTTCTTAATTTAATTTCCCAATAATCAGAGGTTCAAGTAAATATTAACTTTGTTCTGTATAGATTCTTTGTTTTTCACTTTTATTTTTGCTTTCAGTGGATTTTTAATTTGTTGGAGCACAAAGCTGAAGTGAACCGTGTTATTTTCGATGATAAAGATCCACAGAATGGTTTTGTGCTTGCTCCAGATCTCAAATGGGATGGCAAGAATTTGGCAAATCTTTATGTCTTGGCAATCATCAGGCGAAAAGGAATTAAATCCGTTCGGTAGTTCAAATATCCCATTTCTTCCTAAACTGAGAAATGTTAAACTATGACATAGCATCATTTCACGTTTCAGTGGACTATAGTCACGTCCACATCACTCAAACGATATGATTCGATGCAGCTGAGTCATTTATAGGAAGTAGAACTATGCGTGATATTGTAAATTAAAAAACTCTTCAAGTTTAAAACAAAAGAATAGTTTTAAGGCCTTTTTTTTTCTTTATTGCTTCTGCTTTTAGTAATTGCTTTTCTAAGTTTGAAAAGATTAGTTACTTTGCTTTTTTCGGTTTTTCAAAATCTGGGGGTTTTCTATTTGATTTTCGATCTTTCAAAAGTTGGGAGTTTTCTGTTTGATTTCAAAAATTGAGTAGTTTAGAAAAACTATACTGATAATATATTTTGTCTTATTTTAATGATCCTAAAATGTATCAGTCTTATTCCTTTCAGGGATTTAACTGCTAATGATCTTCCGCTGCTAGAGAATATTTCTCAAAAAAGTTATATGGCAATTAAAGGAAAGTATGGAATTGATAAGCATCAGGTAGGTTATAGGTATTATTTCGTAATTGGCTGATAATTTTAAGTTCTTTATTTTTTACCCTTTATTATACGTTGTGATAGCTGTGCTTTTGCAAAAGAATGTACAGCAATACATAACTGGTTTTGATGTCACTATCAGGATGACAGCGCAGCACTTTGCATATCTATATTATCTCCGTCGCTCTCATTCAGTGATAATTTCTACTGAATCTTTATGTTCTTACCTTATTAAATAGCAGTATAAGGATTTCTCTTGAAGTGGAATTAAATTTTATTAACTCCATAGAATAATCTTTCCTTGTTCAGTAGAAATATGTAGGGTCAAAATCTATTTTGCATGTTGTCTGTAAAATGTTCTATATTTACATTAATTTGTTAAGAAAAAGCCTAACACATTTATCTTCTCAGGCAATTATAGAATGCTTATTAATATGTTACTCTCAGTGTAACAGCATAGGAACCCAGCTTATTCATTTTCAGATTCGAGCTTACTTTCACTATCAACCAACCTTCTACCATTTACATGTTCATTTCATCCACGTGTCATACGATGCCCCTGGCAGCGGTGTTGCGATGGTTTGTTTTTTCAATTTTTATTTTCGCTGACAATTCAGTTTCGATGTTTAGGTGAGGTTAGAAAGTTTTAAAATTAAATGCAGTATTAGTGGATATACTAGCTAACTCTTTAATTCAGTTGCTAATGGAAAGCCTTGCAAACTGACAGCGTAGTTTTTTCCAAATTAAGGTGTAAGCTCTAATACAGTTCGAGATAGGTTCTTAAGATGTAATAATCATCAATTATGTCGTTCTTTGCTCATCGTATTGTTCTGTTTTTATGTGTTTAAGCATGAAAGAATTAGATCGTTGTGGCAATCTATTTTGATAATTAATAATTTTGTTCTCGTATTTTCAGGCTTATCTTCTGGAGGATGTAATTAATAACATAAAATTGGTTCCTGATTACTATCAGCGCTCTACATTAACTTTTACAGTGAAGGAAAACAATCCACTGCTGAAGTTATATCGCGATACATATCGATGGTAACATCTGAATATTCGTTTTTAATGTGAATATTTACCTTCCAATTTTTGTTTATCCATTTGGATGGAACCATTCGGGCATGCCAGTTGACTTTTACTGTGAAGAGGAACAACCACTGCTGAAGTTATGTCTTCAGCTTTTTCAATGATTTTTTCCTATCTTCTATTAATATTGCATGTTTGATTGTTTATCACATTATAGAATCGCTTTGTTCTATGTACATAACGATTTCAGTTCAAATTAAAGATCTATTCTAAAGCTTTGTATTCATTCTTCTTTGCATTGTTAACGAATGCTTTAAAGATGTTTTTTGTTTATGGTTTGTATGGTTATTTTAACTTTTTACTTCTTCATTTTTTTAGTTAAATGGTCATTCGATGATGTTGACTGCTTAATTATCCTATGCTTAACTAAAAAGTCAAATTCTTACATAAATAGTCTTCTGAAGAGTAATTTTGAAATATTGTTGTTTGTTTGGTTTAGTAATGATGATGATCCTACAGTAAAGTGGTGTATTGATACATGATTTAAGTGATATTCATGGTTTTTAAACCGTGTAAGGAATTTCACCGTTTTTTAGTTCATGTTTCTACTTAATTCGTAATGAAATTTTAGACTCTGATCAAATTGGTTTGGTTTCAACGACTTTCAACTTTATTTTTTAATAATTACTTTTTATTTAATTACAAACTTAGTGATAGCAGTATTTAATAGTTTCTGGTTATCACCGTCATTAAGAGACTACTGCAACGTATTTTATATTATTTAGAAATATATGCTCCTATTTTGCCCGGAATGCGGCTCATCTTTGCAAGTTGAGGAGGGTTCCAACTGTTATCAATTCACTTGTCATAACTGCCCATACGTACAACCAATTACCAAACTTGTTAGTTTTTATTTCTCTTAGGATATTGTTCAGTAATAACTTTTGATTAAAATTCTGTAGTTAACTTCATTCCTTTTTAATTCATTGGCAGTTCTTTCTCTTCATCACGGTCATTATTTAGACTTACATTAAATGAGCGGGCATATTCAAATGCATTAACCCTGGTCGAATTTGTTTTTTTTCTGCACATGATTAAAAATTTGCCCTTCTCACTTTTTTCAATCAAGTTTACTTCTTTTTTTGAAGACTTAGTTTCCAAAGATAATTTGTCGTAATTTTTTCCAATGAAAAATTACGAATTGGAGAAGTTGCAGATAAAGAGCCGGCATTATCCGAAACTGAAAGATTTGGATGAAGTTCTCGGTGGTCCTGGCGCCTGGGAAAACGCTCAAATTACAGACGGTTGCCTTTGAAGTTTTTGAAAATGACGTTTGTGAACGATATTGTATTCTTAATATCTTTGAATGTTACAGAACGGTGTCCTCGTTGTGCTGGTCCTCGAGCATATTTCATGCAATTGCAAACACGTAGTGCTGATGAGCCAATGACTATTTTTTATCGTTGTGCCAATTCAGAGTGTGCTCATCGTTGGAAAGAATAATCAATATTGGTACATGAGAACTGTATACCTTTTGTACTATTAAATTAATTCTAAATTGGTAAATTATCCAACATGTAAACTAAGTAGAACATTTCATGAAGCCTTTTTTCTGAAGGCTTATTGTGGAATTTTAAGATCCTATACTTGCTTGAGCAGGCAATACTCAATAAACTATCCATTGATAGCAAACGTATTAGAATATTCTCGTAACCTAGTACCACATTTTAACAGATTTTTGAATATATGGGATTAAAATAGACAGAACAGAATAATAGACAGAAATTTTTAAATTGATTTGCTACAAGTAGCAGTCTTAAGCTGTTTTGGTTAATTTTTTTTATTGTCTCACTTTAGTTTCGAAATCAAAAAGATCAGTTGGATTGAACGTACAATCTTTCAATTTCAATAGTGCTGTAGTTGAAAAGAAAAGAAAGAAGATTATCACTGCTAACACTCAAACTATTTATTCTACTCACTAATTGTCCTTTCAATAGTTCCTTCAGAGTTCCTAGATGTTTTCTAAAATTCATGACAAGAAAAGTGTATTTATTTCAGGAATGGCTCAACTATCATTTCTTTTCACTGGATCTATATTTTTTCAGTTCATAATCTTTTGCGGAGTTTGGAATGTATTCATTATGGGTATAATAAGAGATGTACAACATCAGCCACCCATTGTGGATGGTTGTTCTTATTATCCAATCTTCAATTGCTTGTTATGTGATTGCATTTGTCATTTCTAGGTTAGCTAGAGTGCATTTTTTTGTATTCATTAAATGTCATTTTTCTAGGTTTACTATGAAGACAATAATTTTCTAACAATAAAATGTACAGCTTAGTGTCTTGTTTTACAAGAAATATTTTCAACTCATTCATTTTCCAACTTGTCATTCTTTATGACAGAGATATAGCAACTCAAAAAACGATCTTCGAGAAGGTCATCTTTGGATTGTATGATAAATTTTGTTCCTAATGGAGATTTGGTGAGATTGGAAAAGAGGAAGAGAAAGGAGCATCAAGAAAATTCTTATCACATATTTTTACCTTACTTTTTGTTTAACATTCTATAGACTGTGTTCTGGTAGATGTTAAATCCTATTGTCGCTGATCTTTTGATCGTTCTTTGTTCATGCTCGATTCCGAATTACTCCTGATGACCTTTTCAACAGAATGAAACATATTTATTTACCCATGCTTTTTAAATAATTTCCCCTGGTTCACCAGTTTACTGTCGTCAAATTCGTGTTCCGAGTACTATGAAGTTCTTCAAAGCAGTTAAATGTTGTGTATATTTCGGGGACATTAAGAATATGTTGATTTTGCGTCAATGGTAAAGTTTCATTTTTATTACGATAATATTTATCTAATCTACGCAATATTTCTGAATGTTGCTGTGCAACTGATTAGTCATTGTTAGAATTGGTATGGAGGTTTATAAAGGTATTGTTGATGGAAGTATTAGAATTGTTATGGAAGTTTTCATCAGCATTGTTGACGGAGGTGGTATTATTAGAGTAGCGCATATTTAGTTATTCTGCAATTCACGCTTTAAAGGGTTCGTTGTACACACAGTGATAATAGAACGACTAACAAACTGATAAGTGGAATGTAGTTTGTGTGAGGTGAAATCATAAAATTGTTAGATGGGACTGTCAGATATAGAGAATGTTCTTGTCGGTAGGTTAAAAAGAGGACGAGTATATGACTCACTACCAATGATTATTTCATTCTTTCGGAAAATAAGCTCGATTTGCAGTTTGGTAGAGCGTTTGCTGAATTTCTACAATCATTTATCAGTAAGATTCACTGGCCGTTTCATGTACCTGTGTTCGCTGTAATTTCACTATGCATCTTACTGAGCATTCTTGCCTTCTTTGGATCGTTTTAATTTGTTCTACGGGATAATTCAGACTGAACTATGATTGTTATGTCTGTCACTTATGGATCTATTGTAAAGAGGAACAGTTTGATGTTATTATTATATACCTTGGCAGAAGCTAAAAGAAAAATGGGTGTACCGAAGAAATGGCTCAATTAAACAACTAAATGATATGATAACTTCTCACATCGTTGATGATAGAAGTTAGAAGTTATTACGTCATTTAGTTGGTCAGTTGAGCTGGTTCTTCCCCTTTTACTTTGCGGATCCGGTTAATAATTGTTTACAGGCCTGCTGAAAGCGTATAGTTCCGCGACATTATCAAGCAGTTACCGGAAAAGTTTGCTGAGTGCAGAAGAAAAATTACTGGTTAATGAACTTTGTCAAAAAGACGTGTTCTTACTTTTGTAAAATTTAAGCAAATTGTAATACTGGCTAGTGGTACTTCGGTGGTTCAGATTTTATTTGGTACTTCATGCGCGTTACTGTTCGATCTGCATGCGTTGATTTTTTTGCGCTGTGTATATGATCTGAGTACCTCTATAATCGTAATCGTACTTTTTAGAACAAAAATATCATATATGTAATCCCTCAATTTTCACCAGTTATTTTTGAGTTGAAGTTTTGGAGTTTCGTTCGTTCTGCGTGAATTTGGCGATGTCAATTTCAAGTTTTGCATGGCATTCTTCTCACTGTATTGTTCACTCATTAATATCTTTCTACTACTTACTTATCTTAGATAATGGTCATATTTTTATGTTCCTATTATTCTGTAGTTATTTCATCCACATTTCAGCTACAACGTTTAATTAGTTTTATTCTTCAGTTCTGTCCAGTAAACAATGCATTAAATTCTTAATGTCTTCGACATATGATAAAAGTTACTAATAACTGATCAGAGTTCAAAGCGCCCTTTCCCTGACATAAGCATGTTTCATCGAATTGCCTACATGGATGTACATGTAACAATAACACTCAAGAAAACTTGAAGCAATCACTTAATGAATATTCACCTTATTTCACATGATTAATAAAAACGTTTCATAATTATTATGCAATACTAAATTGCTGTTCTCTATTCGCGTATTCGTATCAAGCTTCTCTTTGACAAATTCGAGAAGTCTTGAAAAATCCTATTTCTTTTTTTTCACAACTTTTACGGCTACAGAAATCGCCAACTAACTGTTCATTTTGTCTTCTTCATTGACATCATCCGAAAACTTCAAATTTAGTCTTAGCAACAAAACGAGCAAAATACGAAGTAATGCTTTAAATGCGCTATTTCTTTTGTGCAATTAGAGAGTTACTAGAAGCTGTGAGCGATTCAGTCTTTACGATATTCGGAATGTTCAGGGATAGGAAATTACGAATCTATTTACCAGTAACCCTATACCTTCCAGAATCGGAGCTAATATTCAACTTCAGCGAATTCCGCATGAAAAACATGACACTCTGCGGTCATTATTTCTAAAGCATTTTGTACTTTACACGTTCACAAGATGTCCCTAAAATAACGGAAACGATTTGTTAGAAGTGCTTCATTTCCAGAAGGAATGATGCAACAGACATTCTGTATCACACGTCAGTACGACAACGTCACTAGTCCATTCTAGCCAATCATCGTACAGCACGTCCGGTAACGCCTTCCAGTGGTCTGATATAAACGCGATGTGTGTCTCCGCCTCCTCTATATCAGACAACCGTTTCATGTTGAATCAATGCGTGGTGTCTCGTAGGTGATGATCCTATGTTATTTGGTAGTTTGTTAATGTTTAGGGTTACATGTTTTTATTTTATTTTTTGTCCATGAACTTTGTTCTCATTTCTTTTATTCTATAGGAAAAAATCCGTATTACCAAATAACTCATTCTTTTCTCTTTTCTCTGCCTCTCTCTCGGTTAGGCTTCTTCCTAATTTGGAATGTTTTTGCTTCATTTTTGACAAAATTAAATATCCTACCGATTTATATGAGTTAATTTTTGCGCTTTCAGAATTTGTTTTTCCGAAAATCTTTTTCGTAATTTAGTTGGATATAAATTAACAATAACCTTCCACTGTAAGTGTTTTGGGAAGGTCAAGGGAACACTATGTAATGATTGATTGCATTTCTAACTTCCTATCATTATCAACCAATATTCTTATGCTACATTATGATATGAATTGTATCAGTAAGAAATGAATCTTGTAAAGCGTGTTTTTCTTATCTTGTGTATCTATACGTATGGTTTTAAGTGAAGTTTTGCACTATTTCTGTCTATTTAATATCTAATTAGTTAATGTTTCAGACTATGAAGAAATTACCACTGTTTGTTATTGTGTCCCTTCTGGTTGTAGATATTTTCTCAAAGGAAACAGTGAATGATAAGAAAGATGATGGTCATGGTTCGAAAGATAAACAGAATGTGAAATTGGGAACGATCATTGGAATCGATCTTGGTACTACATACAGGTTGTCAAGATTTTTCACTTCTATTCAAATGAAATCATTGAGGGAGATTGGGAAAAAGTATATCGCTTTTTCCGATGGATGATTTATTAAATTGTTATCGATCTCCGTCGCTCAATGCCGTTTAATAGGAGTTGAAATAAAATTGGAAAATAGAAATAGCTAGTTTTTTTCTCCAGAATTCATAGCCTTGATATTGCATATAGCGATTATTAAGAAGTCTGAGACATTATCAAATCGGTATAAATTAGACAAGTTGTGATGCGCATAATTATTTAAAGGAATTAAAAGAATATAAGTAGAGGTAGGACGTTTGCAGTTGTGTCGGCGTTTACAAAAATGGACGAGTGGAAATTATTGCCAATGAACAAGGTAATCGGATCACGCCGTCGTACGTGGCATTCACTGGTGATAGTGGTGAGCGTCTTATTGGTGACGCAGCCAAAAATCAGTTAACAACAAATCCAGAAAATACCGTTTTTGATGTTAAGCGTCTGATTGGCCGGGAGTATAAGGATCCGACTGTACAGCAAGATATTAAACATTGGCCTTTCAATGTGAGCTTCCTTTGTTGATTTCAGGATTGGCAAGAAGGAATCTTCCTTATAAGTTTGACCGTAGTGCTAAAAGTGAATTACTTCAGGTTCTGGATAAAGGCAATAAACCGAAGGTAAGAGTGGCAGTTGGAGAAACCGATAGAGTCTTCGCTCCTGAAGAGATTTCAGCAATGGTTTTAGGGAAAATGAAGGAAATTGCAGAAGCATATCTGGGAAAGGAAGTAAAGCATGCAGTTATCACGGTACCCGCTTACTTTAATGATGCACAACGTCAAGCCACCAAAGACGCAGGTACTATTGCCGGTCTCAATGTTGTTCGTATTATTAATGAACCTACGGCTGCTGCTATCGCTTACGGCTTGGATAAGAAAGAAGGCAAGTTTCTGCAAATTTTTTGAGTTTCGGGAAATGAATAGCATTTGTTTTGGGTGCAGTATTAGTTTGCTTGAAAGTTTATGTTTGTATGATAGTTATATAGTTTTAAAATATCTGGCATTAAATGTGTTTAAATATTGGCAGTTGGAATTCAATTTTAACTGAATAAATAAAGGAAGGGCCATATTTTGGAAATTTGTGAGATTTGTCTTTTCGGAATATGATGATAATGTTGTGACGCAGTTTGAAATTATTTCAGGTGAACGCAATATTCTTGTTTTTGATCTTGGCGGTGGTACTTTTGATGTGTCGATGTTGACGATTGACAACGGTGTTTTCGAAGTGCTAGCTACCAATGGTGATACTCACTTGGGTGGTGAAGATTTCGATCAGCGAGTTATGGAGCATTTTATTAAAGTATTCAAGAAGAAGACTGGCAAGGACTTACGAAAAGATACTCGTGCTGTGCAGAAATTACGACGTGAAGTAGAAAAGGCTAAACGAGCACTGTCCACAAGCCACCAAACACGGCTGGAAATTGAATCGCTGTACGATAATGAAGATTTCTCGGAAACACTAACGAGAGCTAAATTTGAGGAATTAAACATGGATTTGTTCCGTTCAACACTAAAACCAGTAGAGAAGGTTAGTTTTGTCGATAGGTAGTATTGTTAATCCAAACATTTAGAAGAAACTTCGTTTTTTCTAGATGCTTGGAGTTTTTATTTTAATCTTCTATTGATTATTTGAAATTTGGATCTCCCAGTTAGTGTCTTTTCTAGGTTTTGGAAGATTCCGATCTCAAGAAAACTGATGTCGACGAAATTGTTCTTGTCGGTGGTTCTACTCGTATTCCTAAAGTGCAGCAACTTCTTAAGGAATTCTTTAATGGAAAGGTGAAGCTATACCCATATCTGAACAAAAGTAGAAGAGGAGAAAAATGAGGACGCGACCTTCAAGATTTTATATTGAAGTTCCTGGATTTGATGTTGATTCGCATCATTTAACATACGATTTACAGGAGCCATCTCGTGGTATCAACCCAGATGAAGCTGTAGCATATGGCGCAGCAGTCCAGGCCGGTGTTATTTCGGGTGAAGAAAGCACTGGTGATATTGTACTTTTAGATGTAAATCCTTTGACTCTTGGAATTGAAACAATTGGTGGTGTGATGACCAAACTTATTCAGAGGAACACTGTTATTCCAACTAAAAAGAGTCAGATCTTCTCAACAGCAGCTGATAATCAGCCAACAGTCACCATTCAGGTTAGTTTTGATTCTGGGTGTAGTTTTTTTTCCTGGAAACTGCGAGTGTTTTCTTATCCTTTTTGTTCAAAAATGTTGCTATACATTTTAAGTTAAAGTTATGTTTCAAAACAACATATATAATAAAAAAGGACGCTTACTAAGAAATTTAATCCCCATTTAATTTAATACATAAATTTGATTAGTGAGTCATTGTCAGGTTTATGAAGGAGAACGACCAATGACAAAAGATAATCACATCTTGGGCAAGTTTGATTTAACGGGTATCCCACCAGCACCACGAGGTGTACCGCAAATCGAAGTTACGTTTGAAATCGACGTTAATGGCATTCTGCATGTCACTGCAGTAGATAAAGGCACAGGGAATAAGGAGCAAATTACGATTACAAATGATCATAACCGATTGTCACCAGAAGATATTGAAAGAATGATCAATGATGCAGAGAAATTCGCCGATGAAGACAAGAAGGCTTGTTTTATTTTTTAATGTTTAGTGCTTAAAGTTCTTATTTTTAGCTAGGTGGTTTTTTGGTTTGTCATGCTTTGTTCATTTTAATGAGGATATTTTTAGGTGAAGGAACAGGTAGAAGCAAGGAACGAATTGGAAAGTTATGCGTACTCATTAAAGAACCAAATTGGTGATAAAGAGAAATTGGGTGGCAAATTGGATGAAAATGACAAGAAAACGATTGAAACCGTCCTTGATGATGCGATATCATGGCTTGAAAGCCACAGGGTGAGTTTTTATTTTATATTCTTTATTCCGTAGAATAAGTTTTATGGGAAAGTTCGAGACGTCTTCCGAAGTATGAAGTTCTTTTTGCTAATTAATCATGTACTTCCTCCGTTCTAGAACTTTTGATGTCGTATTGTAGAAAATTAATTGAAAAAACGTTCATTTTACACTATTATTAGCACTAGAAAGTCAGACAGCGAGATCACCATAAAAAGCAAAAACTTGTGTCTTTGTACAATAGGTAATATATGTTCTTTTCAGGATGCATCTATTGAGGAATTGCAAGAGCATAAAAAAGAATTGGAAAACAAAGTACAACCGATTATTGGCAAATTATATAAGGACCATGGTGCACCGCCACCAGAAGGTGCCGCACCAGGCGAGGATAAGGATGAGCTTTAGAAAATTGCTGTAATTTTTCCTTCTTTCTTTTCCTGTCCTTTTCAGACAATTTTATGTCAATGAGGATTTTGGAAAAGTCGGGTTTAATTAGCGTCATGACCTCGTGTTTTGTTTATTGTTTAACAAGGTCAGGATGTTAACCACCTGTCCTCCATGTATTAACCAGAATAATCTTATTCTGAAGCGATCAATATCTGAAACGTGTCATCTGTGAGTATCACACCGAGCCGTTCCTAATTTTCCTACTTAGCTTGTAATAAATTCTGACTTTATTATTAGTCAGGTTAATGATTATCCTATTTTTCTGTTGTAGTAAACGTGATTTAATGACCACTACCATCATGGGGGTTTTCTCCACGACTAGCGGTTTCCTTTGGTCTCAGGTTGTGTTACTTAATTTTCATGTGACTCAGCGAAAAATAAAACTCAACGTAAGTGCAGAATAGCATATTTATCCAGCCCTACATCAAATATTTCTGGCGTCGTTTCAGTTCTAATTTATTGGAGTCCTTTTAGCAATAAATTATTGCATCGCATTTGATTGAATCTATCTGCACTTGTTTCTACACATTTTCCACAAAAACTTTAATTCCTGATGCTTCATCTGTGTTATGGGATTGCGTTGCGTTTCATTTGTTTGTTCAATTGCTATTTAGGAAATAAAATTTGCGTTTATGATCTCGTAGTACTTCAAAATTATAAGACAGTACGAAGAAATTTCATTCATTGTGTCTTAAACATGGATTTTGGAAAGGATTGAAGGACCTTCAAATAATTTCTAGCTAAAATTTTAGCTAATTCTAGAAATTTCTAGCTAAAAGCCCTTGAAGTTTTGCAGACTGAAATAGCCGCGGACCGTTAAAATTGGCTGATTACAGTTCTTTTATGATGTAATAATTACGGGGGAAGGGAGTTGTATATGGTAACATGGCACTGCGCCAGCAAGAAGTGTTGGGTATTATGAGCCATGGATGATCAATTTTATTGGGAGTTCGCATTACGAAGTGATAGCTGACTGACTTTTAAGAAAAGAAGTATGCGGAGAGTCCCTCTTCAAACTTTAGGACTTTAAGTTTGCATCATTTTTTTTCCACCACATCTCCGATATTATTACGAATATATTATAACATCTCGAATATATACAAATATATCATAACAGAAATTTAAAAAAATTCGGATATATTACACTGGAGTGCTATGCGATGTCGTGGTAGCGCCTTTTTTCATTAAAAAGCTGCGTATTTTATTGATTGAATACGTTTGCTTAATAATTCGATTTAACTCATTCTATTTCACGTAACATTTTCATTCAATTTCGTTTCCTTAAATCATAATTCATTGACAAAGAAGTAATACGCTTGGTGAATACTTCGATTAGTTGAAAGAAGAAATAAAGTGGGGAGAGCAATAATAAGACTTGAAATCTAGATGAAGTGGAAGGCATGGTTTATTACCGTGCAGGCTTTGGGTCATTCTTCTAAAACTTGAAACCTGAACCCGTCATCTTATTACATGCCAACAGCAACAGTCTATTTCAGAAACAGTAAATATGTAGGAGCTAACATTAAAGTTGAAAGTTTACTCCAACAAGAAATACATAAGTCAGGTGAACATCGAATGAACTTATCAGTTATGAATGTTAAATTCACTGCTGATTGGTATCAAATTTCACCGAAAATGTATTGAACTTAATCAAATATGTGAATAACAACAGCGTCGAATATTAATTAGTCAGGAAAACCAAACAACTAAATTCTTAAAAGTGTTGACATTTTAAGTGATGACAAGCTATAAATTTAAGAATAACTTCCCATATGTTATCTTTATCGCCATTAATAATCTAAGACATATTCATGTCCCTTATCAAATATTGTATATTTCTTATCCTATCCCCTCTTTTTTCCAGTGCAGAAATTCATCAAAGAATATTCACAACGAAAAACAAACCGATGACTGCAACAGTGGTTATACATAAACTAAAACCATCACAATTGCATAGATTCTGCCGTTGCTTGTTGCTGAAAAACGTACCGACTGGATTTATATTCATAATAAAGAGATTTTTTATAAATTCAATCAACATGAAATCCAACTCCTAAGTACGAAATTAAGGTTAAATTCGAGAATCATTACAAAGTTTGCCTTTTACATGATCTGGAACTGAATGAAGGAGGGAGGGGGAGAAATATAGAGCTTATAAAGAACTATCAGCAATTAAGTGGAAATAAGAGCGTGCTTCTTGCTGATATAGAATTGTTCAAAAGAAATTATAAACTTACTTCACTGCCGCTTTGCTGGCCGGTTCGTGGAACCCCTGCAATGCGGTCTAAAAATGGTTGAACATCATCATCTTCCATTACTTTGAATGGTACACATTTACCCACAATAGCAATTGTTGTATTCTGCAATGTATTATAACAAAAAAAAAAAAACATTGACAAGTTATAAGAAAAATTCTAATTCTGTAAATCGTTAAATTAAATGCTGCATCTTCACACAACAATTAGTAAAAAAAAAGGTAAAAATTTTTTTGAAGAGCAGGAATTTCAGATATATAGAAAATACACGAAATATCAAGCATAAACGAGAATCCTATAAGAAAATCACCTTTTTTGATAAGCTGTCCTCAGCGGGCAGTGTATCTCTTAGTGCCAGCAGTGCGAACTCAACCAACTGCTCAACACTTGCTGCAAATATGCACATGAAATTTGAATCTGTTTTTAAATTTTTTTATATGATGAACATTTTTCAAACAAAATTGACAGTGAATAATCCACAACAGATTTGTTGTTGATGATAAGCACAAACCAGCGGGAAACTGGTCCAAATTCCGTTCCAGATACGTACGTGCGCTTTGAGAACGAGCGCCTATTGAACTAGCCAATGTTTCAACGACTTCTGCTGATGGATCGGTCTTCACGATATGTGTTCCCCTTTCCTAAAATATCGGATATCATACAAGAAAATCGTCATTAGAGCACTTTTCCTTTCATTATTGAAAAATAAGGTGTGACACACAGCAAAACTGATTAGGCGGTAATGGGCAATAATCATGGAGTATCATCAATGGTGCAGGATGCTGCTTCACAAAGATGAAATGATAAAATGATGCGGAGCGTTATACCATATAACAGCATGTTCTCTTGCACGCTGCAACAAGGCTTTTAGATTGAAACCCTAAATTAGATTAAGAACTAAAGTGGAAAAGCAAACTATAAATTTAAAGAAATTTTGTATTTTTCCCCCGTACTTGTTTAGCGCCTAAGATCCAAAAATACTACATGTTAATGTGTCGATGCTTCGTCCAATTATATAAGAGAGCTAAGGAACAACACGTCTTACATTTTCATTTGGTTCTAAAATACAAGCACATGAGTATACAGTAGTAGTGAGACAGTGAGCTTTATCTTTGCAGTAAACGAATTATCCAAATTCACCAGTTTGAGTTTGACAATCTTTCTAAACTGTTTAAGTCCAAAAAGTCCAAAAGACTATAAATTGATGCTCACTGGTGACTATGATATGTAAAAAATCAAATGTTCAAGATAAAGTATTCTTGCAAAATCTTCAATGTCATGTTTAAAAAAAGCTAAAACAAAACGCCCTCGATGATCTGAAACAGAAGAAAAAAAGGCAGATGAGAACCTACGTCATAACCAGCAATAACAAGACCAACACCAAATGGACGTCTTCCATAAATCTGTGTATTTGCCTGCAGTTCTGCAAATGCTTTCATATGAATCTGGACAAAGAAATTTTCATTTGTAAAATTTATCACAAGAATTTTGCTCGGAAATTTTGAATTTAACAAAAAAGTCATATTATCTGCAGAGTGTCATCTGTTCTCTAGTTAGGAATCTAAAATTTCTAATCAATCTATAATGGCATCCTTTCATTGATCTAAAATCTGCAATTTCTCTTCCTATCTGAATACCATAAAACACACATAAGTATCTTTCTTTTTCGATTTGAGTAACAGCCTTCTAATATCAATGCTACCACAAAATCAACTCACTTAATTGAATCCGATTATTTAAAACTTGAATAGGGACTGGCTCTTTGTAGTCCCATCTCCACGCCGAACATTCTGTTTGCAAGAAACGCCTAAAGTGGATCTCAATTAAATACAATTTTAAGGATGAGTAAGAATTCATCTAAAAAATGCATTATCTGGAGAGTGTTGTGATAATAAGGATTCAATTGGAGTACATCAACCTTTATTTAATAAAGCAGAATTTTTTTAAAATATTTGACACAACAGTAAAACATAAAACAAAAAAGGATGGATCAATAAGCATCTCTTCTCATTTTCCTTTAATAATGGATTTTTTGTTCAATAAAATCTGGTATACAAATATTATCCCATTCTACTGGAATGAATACGTAAATATATCGTAGCAAACAAAGCAGGAAAACTCTTGTCTAATCGACTAATGAATGATAACCTATTTAATAGAACACGCAAATCGATGTTGCTAGACGTACGTTTTAAGTGTAAAAATCAAAAAATTCAATACTAACGCAAGTATTCGACCATCAGAAAGAAGGCCCGCAATGGAAACACCGGCATGCGTGTCGAGTTCATAAATCTTCTTTTGATGCGAACACAGTTCATTTGCAGCGCGCTGGAAGGTTACACGCTACATTAATGACTCGGATTACTTTCACAGATTTGACTTAAACTATTTCTTCCTGTCCTCAACAAAAGATGGCTGCGATTGAGACGTAACACGATCACCATGACAAAAAAACATTCAACAGTATGAGAATGATACGCACGAAATGGATGTTCTCACAAGTAATCTCGTCAATGTTAACTATATTATCCCAATTGAATTGAATTCAGTATGATGCATGTCGAAAATTATATTAACTTTCTTAAATTATGCGAGCACATTTGCAGTAATAATGATCGTCACTACTGACTAGCCTGATGTAGGGCGAACTGCACTTGTAAAAAAAAAGCATCATATATTTGTTGGCACAAGATGAAAGCTGAGATTGGTTGTGCAATCAGTATATGTCATATCGTAATGGCATATGACCGCAGATTGCTGATATGCGCGAAATTAAATGTTTATTGCATCGTTTTACAAATGACTGTGAACAGGAACAAAAAGCTGATTTAGAAGCAGTTTCAAAGGTTACCTTTAATGCCACTAGCACAGCGTGTGTATTGCTTTTTAGTCCAACGGTTGCACTACCTTGCTTCATTGCTTCAACAGCATAATCAACCTGATGAAGTCGGCCCTGAAATAACGGCAGGCAACAGTAAACAATCTCTCTGAATTAAATCTATGCTAAAAGATCTCGATTTCAACAAAAATTTCGAAACTTTGACGGGAAAAAATCAAGTGCAAAAGCGAGTTAAAGAACTGTAATATGGAGTAAATCAATCATTAATTTGAACACGTTGTATTCAAATTAATGATTACATGGTTAAATATGTGATATTATCGCGAAACCAAGTATCAAGAATTAGAAATTACCTGAGGGCTCCAAACCGTAACATCACTGTCGTACTGGTTACGGAACATTTTTTTCCCTGAAGATAACAGAAACATAACTTTACACAGAAAAAGTTCAACTAACTATACTAATTGTGCTTAGAGCTAACTACAGTTACTTAAGACTTTTTTTGCTGTGACAGAATTCATTATCGTGATGCTATCATCTCTCGTGTAGTGAAATGAATTGGGCAGCACGAAATAATTCATACCAAAGCCATCAATATTTGACGTTGCGAAATATAAGTTTATCAGAAATGACCTCGACCCAAGTTGTTCACTAACCAAATCGACAATTTTATTTAAAATAATCAGCAAGCAGATGTGAAATATGGAATACGGTGAATGCTTAGATAAGTTCCCACATATCATAAGTAGTAAGAGCCTGTTGCAATAAAAATCGGGATAACGATAAGCAAAAGTTATGCAAAAGTTGAATTATGTGTAGGAAAATAATATATCATATACGGTTGAGAGAAATACAGCAAGTATATATATATACATATATAGGGATGTACAAAGGGAACAAAAGAATGCCTCCAGAAAGCAAAACAATCTTTGAATTTATAATCAAACGATTGATTTAATAATCGATTGAATGTGTAAATGAGAAGGAATTTAACGTATGAAAAAACTAGATTAGCTATATTCCCGATAAGAGTTTAGTCATATAAAAGAATTATGGAAAAATAGAAAACAATTATTTCGAAGTCAGATCCCGCAGAAATCTTGAAGAAGTGAAGCACTTTTGATGAAATAACGCACAAGTCGCTGAACATCGTTCTTAATCAGTGCTATCTTTTAGCGAGATATGAAAGTGATTTAAAATTTGATAATAACCGTAACTATCAACAAATCAGCGAATCTCATCATATCATTCCATTTCATCTTCTATTCAAGACACTTCATTCGATAGACATTAAATTGGCTAAATTATAACAATATATACTGAACTGCTAAATTATAACATTGACTGCACGATAAGTGTACAGAAGTTGCTAAAAGATGATCACTCTAACAGTAAGTGGGTAGCTATATTAAGATGGGACGAATTCTTTCGCATCACCCCACTTTTCTGAAATCCAACGTATCGTTCGCACCGGCAACTGAGGACCAATAAGCGGATTTAACTGATGCAAATAAACCAAAATCCAGAAAAGCCAACAACAACAAGCGGTTAATACAATCATCGTTTGGACTATCCCTGCAATAACTACGACAGTTGAAGTGAACATGATACATGCTGAGGCAAGACTGTTATAAAGATGGAAACAAAGCCTTGATGATGATTAATTTAAATATACTGTCGTCATGTATCATTTTCTATTATTTGAGCATTTCAAAACAACCAATTCCATTTCAGTTCAATCAGCCCATTGGTAATATTCGCAAATGTAGATATCCTCTCTAAGGTTACACTCTCATACTTATGGAATGTTTACTTTTGTCTGAGAATAAATCCAATAACTGATTTAAAAAAAATTAAATCACCGTTTGCATTATTTAAACAATAACAAATGTTGAGATCTCGATTAGAAGAATGTTCTTAGAAAATTCAAAATTTCAAAGATTTTGCACTACCATGAACTGGATTTCGAATAAAAACCAAATAGACATGTTTTCACATAGAATAAAAAGATCGTCATGAATAATGTACCTCGATTTGGCCCTTTTGGAACAATAAATGGTCCACCAACGCCTATAACTATCCAGAATGCCGTAACTGTGAACACTAAGATGAATACACCCATATTTGTGAAAACTGAAATGAACAGAATTAACGACATTTCTCCATCAAACACTAACCATTGTAAGTTTTTTCCGCTAGAATGATATCCAAGATGGATAATAACATACACATACGTAGAAATACAATTATACTTGGTGTTAATTAAGAAAACGTTCCGAAGAGCTCCAAAATTCCGAAGAGTCATTAAATTCCTGATAATTATGCTTGCAAAAGTTACTGAGATACTATTTAATGGTTGATAGAAACAGACATGGTTCGAAAGAATAAAGGATATTGTAAAATATAGTATGATAGGGACATTTAGGAAGTTCTGTGATATTTTTGGTGTTTGGCGACGGAGAGGAAGGCGCGGCTGGAAAATCTCGTGATAATGAGAGGAAGGAAGCTCAATCATAAGGTGTGTCCAAAGCGATACTCGTAAATCATCGTACGCCTTTTCGCTAGAACGATACTAAAGATATTCCACTATCACGTACACACTTCCCAACATCCAGAAATACCTCGGGAACGAAAACAGTGTTGCATAACGACCACACCACACGCTGACTAAAGATTTAAGGTCGTACGTGCCTTATGCAGCACTATAGCTAGTGATGAATGAATTTTCGTTTGGAGAGTGCTTGTTAAGGAGAATGGGAGAGGGTTTGTTAATAATAGAGCTTAGCCTTTGACTTCGTAAGAGAGCTTGGCCTTTGACCTGTTTATCTCGTGTATTTTTAGGTTATTCAAAAATGAGGTTGTGCCCAATATGTGGACCAAAGCTTTCGGCTTTTTGGTAAGTAATTCAAGTATATGAATGCATCAGTTTTGTATGCAGTGTTTTATAGTAAGTGAGAGTGAAAATTGTACAAAAGTTCCCGCTTATGTGATTTGTTTTGAACTGAGAAAATCTATTTGCCAATCTACATGGTAATAACACTTGCGAAATATTTTAAAGTTCCTTTTAACTGTTCTCAACTATTTTATTCGTAAAGTAATAGAAAGCAGAGGGATGTAAATGAATGTGTACAGAGAATGTAGAATTTTTATATTATAAAATTATAAATCAGAGTTATAAATAAATGTATTTTAGCATGGTAATGTCAGTTTGGGGTGTTCTCTTTCTTGGTATACTTGGTGTATTTTTCTATGTTCAGGCGGTAAATTTATTCCCAGATCTTCACTTCGAACAGGAAGAACCGGTAGAAGGAGTAGTTTTACCCCTAACAACTGCGTCAGTTACTTTTCTTGATCTCTTTGCTTTTTTTTAGAACTTTTAGAATGCAAAATATTTTCTGCTGAAAGCAAGATCAATTTTGTAGTTAACATGTCAGTATACTTTAAATTGACTGCAAGATTGATTACTTAATATTTTGACATAATGTGCTTGTTGGTATATAGTGGATACGTTGAGATTGTTCTAACTTGTTGTAACATCTATTGCCTATGTGGCAATCGAATGGCAGATTTGCTTTCCAGAGGAATTGTTAAGTATAGTTCAGCATAGTCATTTCACGTGTTTCGGTGGCGAGTAATATAAATTGTTTTCAGCGTAATTGAAGGTAAGTATGCGGAAAAGGCAACGCAGTGCTGGGTAGCTGCTGGCATGTACCTTGTAACGTTGATTGTTGTATTCTGGCAGAACAAATTCAATTCTACAACAATATTTTGATTTTCGTTTTAATTCCTTCCTTTTTCGGAATACCCCATATGCTGTTTTCCTTGAAAATTAACTTCAGAACCCAAATAATTAATATTTTATGTATGATTAAGTTCCTACTGGATTTCCTTTCTTTTACTGTTCGGTTGATAGCCTAATCTATTTTATATCTCATTCATACAAACGAAAAATAGTTTAAATCATTTAAGATATAAACCAGGATTGTGAATTTGAGCTGTGATAGAACTGTGATTTGTTAAGGTTTATTATATTCCTGGACTATTTTAAAGGAAGGAATTGTACAGTTATCCTCTTTATTATTTCACTTTGCTAATTCTCTATTAATCCAATGTATATAATTATTGGTCCCATTCTCCAGCATTATGTTTGTGCTCTAAGTTCTATAAAATATTTAGCAAATGCTGAATTGTTATATTTGAAATAAAATGTTTCCTTGTCTTTGAAATAACTTCTAATGAAAAACATACTTATGCCAGCTTTGATTATTTAAATCATTAATATCACATAATGCAGACGAATATGTATGGATTGTATTATGATTTCATGGGAATGCTTGTCGAATGGAAGCTTAGAATTCAAGGAGCAGGCAGAGATAGAAATTTAAGCAATCTTCAACTAATCTTCTGTTCAAGGCTACACATTTTTATTAAGGCAAAAATTCAGACGAAAGCGTTGCATCTGTCTCTCCTTAATTCTTCGTTTAAAAAGCTGTTCTGCACTGTCAAATGCAAATAGTCGACTATTATGGCTGGTAGAGTGAGACTGTAAGGTATGGGGAGTTTACTTTTGGAATGTTGCACTTGCTCTATTCCAAATGAGTTATAGAACATGGTTTTGTACTGGCTCAATTTTTTGTTTTTCATTGAAACACAAAGTGGCGTATAGAAACGAATGTTATAAAACTATTTGAAAAAACATCATTTATATTGGTGGAACTCTGATTCTGGTTTTGGATATAAAAAATCTACTTGCATTTCTCGATGACAATATGAATTTATAAATTGCCGAATGATCGAAGGGAAAAGTATGATTATTTTTTCGTTTTTTTATTTGAAAAATTTGAAATTAATGGGATTATAATCTTTATTGTTTCGTTGAGGATTTGAGTATTTTCAGAAACTTTCTGAAAAGAAGAAGGAAGAATATTTTTTTTCTTTCATTAAAAATTATAATTTGAAGTGAGAGAGATATGAGAGAAGCGAAAGTTTCCTTTGTTTTTGTCATTTATTTACATACTCTCTTGTAACTGAGAAGTTAAAAAAACTGAAATGTTGGAAGTGAAACTTCATAATTTAGTATGAATATCTCTGGAAAACATCTAATTGTATTCACTATTACTAATTTATTAACTAAGTATGGTTGATTTTTTTCTTTTTTAGTGAAAAATGATCATTGTTTAATTATTCGAAGTAATTATTTCCAATATTTAATTTCTTAAATTTGTTTCAAAGCACGTATATCAAATATGATGATGAGAGTGTTGTCATATTTAGAATCAAAAATTAGGAACTAATTTCATTTCATTTAACTTTATGTTATCCAGTAATGGAATATATCCACGGTACAATTCAAGTATCTGATATATTTCCCACCTATCAACGGTTGATTTGTTTTATCCGAACAAGCTGTTAACTAATTCGCAAATTACCAATACTATATTATATATTTTATCTTATAAATCCCATTGTTTTTTTAAAGAGAAAAAATGGAAAAATTTTTAGTCGAAAGATTTGAGAAAAATTGTTGCTCATTACTTGATTACAATCTAGTAATTAAAGGAATATCATAGAACCGATTATTCCTTTATCCTAATTTTTATCATACATTAGGAGTTATTTATTTTATAGTATATATATTATCAATGACATTACAAAATCCTACATGAAGAATAAAAAGGAAAAAAGAAAAAGAATAATGATTGGAACTATTCAGCCATGATGATTATAATGATAATGATGATAACATGGTCTATTTTAATTAAATTTTTATTTTTTTTAAACGTTCTGTTGTTATCAGTTATATATTTATTATTTAGCTTTAGAAATATTCCAGGATATTCTATTTATTTTAAAATTTATTGAAAATTATAATTCAGAGAGAACGTCAAAATATCTTACTTCGTTTGTTGTTTTCACGCTTCAAATTTAGTTTCTCCTGTCCATTCCTGAATTAGTTCTTTATATATTTTATAATTTTCAGATCCAACGATGATTTGTCAATCAAAAGTACGAATTATTCAAATGGGATGGTGATAACGGAAGATATAAATGGTTTACCTCAGTTATTTTTACAAGTTATTTTATAGTAATGTGGCTGTAAGAGGTTGTAGGATACCATTTGGATGTTCAATACAATCAGAAGATGTCCGGTAGAAGCGATAGCAAACTTTTAGGTTTAAAAGTATCTGATACGGTTGGTGATTGGATTGTGACCAAAAAATTGGGTAGAGGTGGTTGTGGAGCTGTATTTGAAGTATGTACAAAAGTAAGTCATGCTCTAAAATATTTTATCGCCAAACTGTTCAAATTTGTTGACTTTTGATAATAATTGATCAATTTGAGGGTGATAAAAGTAATGTTGCAGTTGGATGATGAAACTAAGAAACTTTATAATCTCGTGTAAATTTGAAATTTATACTCACTAAAATATTCAAAATTCTTGACTTTAACCCCGAAATACAAACTATTTTCACTGTTACTTGAAATATATTTTTAATTAAAAGGCTTCCAGCATGCGAATGAAACAAAACATCTAGCGATGAAGGTGGAATCGCGCGATTCGGATCAATTACTTAGAGTAGAAGCCGGTATTTTGAAGCGCATGCGATACTCAAAACATGTGCCCATTTTCGTCGCAGCAGGTAATGATAATTTATGGCCTAATCAATTAAAACATTGATTTGAATAGGAGGACGAATTGATCGACCAATTATACAATCATTCAGTAAATAATTGTGTTATAAATTAAGCGAATAATGAAAAATAATTGTCATTGCTCACGTTAATTTGTAATTGAGCATATTCGTGGGAGATATTCATTGAATCTTTATTAAATTTAATTGAATGAGTATGACAAATTGATCAACTGTTCAGGTCGTACAGCAATGTTTAATTTCCTGCTTATGGAATTGCTCGGGAAATCACTCAGCGAATTACATAAAATAGCACCACATCGCCAGTTTACAATAGCTACAGTCCTGAAAATTGCCCTTCAAGCACTTAATGTGAACTTTCATATTTATTTTTACTTTTTTGTTTTCTACATTTAATATTTCCTTTCACTAGACTTTTTGAAAATAATCTTTATCGAAATCGGGACTTCAACTCTAAATCCAAACCAACTCAAACAATCATCCAAAATGAAACCTCTCAATATCCCAATGCATCAGCACATAATTTCTCAATTCCTCTGAATATAAATTGAGAATAAATGAAATGTCAAAGAGAAAATAGCTATCATATTTTCGGAATCTTAATGAGGTATGATCAAATTTTTCATTCTGAAGGCTCTCCGTGACCTCCACAGCATCTACTTTATACATCGCGATGTAAAGCCAGGAAATTTTGCAAGTGGTTTGAAAAATGTTAATATATTGTATATCCTGGATTTTGGTTTATCACGACAATTTGCTACATATGATGTGACAACGAAAGCGCTTAAATTACGCAAGCCGCGTGAACGCGCATCATTTCGTGGTACCGTCGCATACTGCAGCATTAATGTACACAAACATTTGGAACAAGGACGTCACGACGACTTATGGTATCTAAGAATAGAATTAATAATTGGATGAAATAAAAATAAGGAAAACAGTTGATATTTCCAGTACTGTCACACAGTGAATTACTCTTATCTTTCTAAAAACGACTCCTCGTTTTGTCAGAGATCTAAAAAATGTTCAAGAAATTCCGACAATTATTGGAACGTTTAAACTATGAAAAATAGTAGTCTTTGGCAATCAGTAAATAGTGAGGAAGGAAAATATTTAACCATAAATTACCAAATTAATTCAATTTCAAAAATGCACACCGTATTTAATTATATAAAATTGGACTTATAAATTAAAATCTAACGCGATTTTGAAAAAATTTAAAAAAAAATGCGTAAATTTCAAAGATTACAATTCCTCACTTAATTTTATTATATTATATTTTTATTTTTTATATTATATTTTTATGACCAATGAAGCTAGCCTGTACTATTTCATAAATAAATAAAAATAAACTGAACATTAAGGTCAATGATGTATATGTTAATTGAGTTCATTGCTGGTCGTCTGCCATGGAAAGGCTTAGATCGAAAAGAAACAGCTGTTATCAAGCAAACAATCAGTAACAGAAGATTGCTCCAGGTAGACGCATTATTTCTTCTCCAATTTTTGGTGGCCAATAAATCATAAAACCTAATGCTTTGTTGAAAAAAAGAAATCAAAATAGTCATATATATCTCAACAATAGCAAAATAAAGAGGTATCCTCCAAATATAAACTAGAATTAGATAACAATTTGAGCAGTACACAGATTTTTCCACAGTTGCTGAGACAACAAGCAATATTACCTGACAGTGGATTGCAAGGAGATGGTTTTTAAAAAAAATTCAAAATTAACGAATCTTACAAAACTAAAGCGTTCAAAAGTTGAGGGCTGCCCGAAGCAATTCGGTGTTATCTTGGAATATATCTCTCTGCTTCACTATCATCAGCGACCCGATTATGACCAAATTGAAAATTTATTCATGGTTGCCATTCAACGACGTAATATCGACCGGAAAGCCCCTTTCGAGTGGTGGAATCCGAAAGCTGATGAATACATCACTCATGTGAAAGGACCAAGTGAACAAGCAAGGATAGTGGCAGCTACAAAGAAACAATTGACCAAACAGATAACAACAGCTACGAGAGGCAAAGGAGAAAAACCGACGTCAAAATCTGAACAGCTGGAAACAACGTTAATGGAATACAGAGTAGATACAACACAATGTACGTGACAGTGCAAAAAACATGTAAATAGCCGTCAATCACTTATACTCACAATAGTATTCACAATAAATAACAAAATCAAATGCTAAGAAAGTTACAAAAAACGTATGCGGCACTTGAAACCAGCGGTAATCTCAACGGAGACCGTTAATGTGAAGATATTAAAAAAAGTTGAAGTAAAATATACCCAGAAAAAGTGGATATCGGCAGAAATGCAAGAGCAGTTACAAAAAAAGAAAGATATTCCGAGAGGGAATGATCACTGATCAGCAAGTTTCCAGCAAAAAGGCACATAAATTAAAAAAATTCCTCAAGCACTGAAGAAAGGTGAATAAGAAGCAATAAGTAGTTTTTAGTTTCAACGGCAACTGTCAGGAAATATCATAAACATTTTTCCTTTGATTTGGCTCTCGGGAGGAGAGAGTTTTTTTAAGTCATCCTTTAAGCTCAAAGTCGTAGCCTTTTTTGCAACTACACAGACTTCTTCTTTTGGTGATAGTGCACAGTTGAAATACAAAAGAAGCAATTATTTTTCAAAAATTAGTCCATAAAAATAAGATTTCATCAACATCTACTATTGGTTTCATTTCATTTATTTGTACCTGCATCCTCTGTTATGCATTACAAGTCGTAATGTTCGGCTTGCATCACATAGAGCAGTTTATTGTGCTAAAAACACCAAATCATTATATCAACAATACTAAAAAGTATATCAAAAACACTATTCGCGATAGTTGAATTCCTATTACGCGATAGTTGAATTCCCATTATTTTCGCGATAGTTGAATTCCCTCGGGTGTGCAACAAATCCAACTTCATCTCCATTATGGCTCAAACAACGCTTACATCAGCAAGGAATTCCATATTGCATTTCTATACTACCTCCGCAGTAAAAAATATCTTTTAGTTTTCCCACTTTTTCAGGAACTCTGTGAAAGTATGCAGTGGTGTCTAAAAGATGAAAAAATGAGTTATAAAAACTGCTATGTTTTCTATAAGGTATCAAGTAATTGTACATTGAATTGTACAACAATTCAATCGAGGAAGTTTATTGCATTTAGTAGATTTCTGCTAGAAAGTTCTTCCAAAGAGATGGAACAAGTTTAAACCATAATAATTAAACCAATTTCCCGTATGACCCAATGTTCTTAACATATAAAGATGCGAGAAATTTAAACAGTGAATATTAACTGATAAGACAAAAGATGTTGCTTAAAATGAAAACAGATTGAACGATACCTCTGTCTTCTCATTTCCTTTGACATTTCGCAAAACCTCTTCTTTTGTTTCCCATTCGAACTGTTTAATGCGAAGAGCTGACGATATAGACTGACTAAAATTCTCGTTGTGCAATGGATATGCAATACTAATAATGGCATCATTAACCACGGTAATATGAGCTATTCTACCCGCACCACTTTTCTTTTTTAGCCAATCTCAGCGAGGAAATGGTAATAAACTTGAGTTGCCTGTTTTATGCTTTGTCTATATGTGCGATAACCATTGTTTTCTACTTCTGCGATAAGTCCCAAATTGCCTCATCTATTGAACAATTGTATAATTCCAACTTTACTTACCTGCAACTGCATACATCTATGCATGACATGTGATTTTATTTTAGTAACATTTATAGCTTCATAGAGAAAGCCTTAGTGACTTTGATAAATCACAGGGCAAAAGAAGCATCCATATCTTTCTTTCAATAATTTCGTTAGCTGAAACCCTCAATTCAGATTTTCAATCGTGATAGAAACTCACCATTTTTGTTTGTAAAGATTTGATCTAACGATCGAAAAACAATGCAAAATGCAAAAAATTTATTCAATTCCAAATTATATCAACTATTTCATTTAACACGAATTTGAGAAAATATTCAAATGAGATTGAGTGGGAAGGTCACTAACGATTTCAAGTGGCTAGTGCATATTTTACATGCAACAACAAAATATGATTTGAGGGAGAGTGTACTGAGTATTCACCGTTCTGATAACTAAAGAATTAAAAGTTATGGCTCATAATTATATGATTATTTTCTACAATCCAAAAGCCTCTTGGTGTTCAAATCGTAGACATCAGTGCTCCAAAGCGTGTCAATATTCTCATATGTTACATCGCTACAACTACTGAGCAAATTCATCAAATTCGTATATGTTTTGACATCATTATTTTCCTGCAAATTACTATAAATGAGGTTTTACTCAAAGTTTTTGAATGCACGAATTTTGCATCCTAAGCATCAAATCACATTTACATTTCATTTTTTTATTTTCGAACTTTTGCTTATTACTGTACTTATCGGGGTACAGCTTAAACACTACCTCAGTCTTCGATTCGAAAAAGAAAAGGAAGGCGAAAGTTCAAAATAATTTGCTCATTTAGTTTTCAAACTACGTCGTAATTCAGCGGTTCAAATGCAACATTTGTACGAAAAGCTTTAAGGTGGACAGTATTGAAAAAAAAAAACCATTTTCCACTACAACAATATGATATGCAACTATTGTCATCGTTACTTTCTTTTGGCTTGATATTAGCTGTAGTAGATATACGTTCCTGAAATGTACATCCTTTTCGCAAATAGAGCTTATACTTTTTAACCAGCTCTAGCTGATAGCCTCCATTTCCAAATATTTCTCGAAAATTTTCATAAAAACATCATTTTTCATCAATAATATCTTTGCAAAGAGTAGAAAAGGTAAATATGATCGATCAAACTTAACTTACCACCGGTGCACCGTTAGATATGTGGAACGATTCATACCAGTGACCTATTTGCTTTTTTTCCAATGCTTTCACTATCTTTTCTTTTAATGCTTTCATTTTCGAATGAACAGTATAACGAGAGAGAGACTTCCTGATAACATTCAGTAGCTTTGTTCACTTTCTTCATGAAACAGTGCCAGTAACAATCCAGTGTAAAACGCAGTCCATATTTTCCAATGACCAATCAGGCTCATCCCTAAATTCAAAAATCTTTAGAAATAAATGAATTTAAAACCCCAGCAAATCTTGCTAATTTGATCAGCAAGAGGAAATTGAATAAAACTCAACAAGAAAAATGAATTTGAAATCATAACGAGTCACGCTTTTAATGCAGGCAATCGGACTAGGTTTGTGGCTATTGGTCTCTTAATGTTAGATCCTGACTTGTAATCCGCTGAATATGTATTTTACAGTGACCAATCGAATGTTTACCTCCTTTCTTAGGGATACCATTCCCCTCCCCAGTCACCACCCAGATAACTTTGCTTCCATAACTGCGACGATATCTGTTAAAGAATTTGACAAACAATCCGATCCTCTACAGTAAAAAAATGACACGCTAGCATCGTTCACTTATCCATCGCCCCTTCATCACGGATAATTTCTGTTCTTTTGCGTTTATCGCTGACCACAGCATATTTCGCGTATGTCGGTAGTTTCAAAATGGAAATCTATCCCGAGGTGGTCGATGCAAGTCTTTTTGACTGTTCCGATTTCTCAACAATGTTTAAATTTGTCCTTCTGCCGCCACTAGCTTCGGTAAGCGATTGCAGTGCATACCTGTGGAGGACATAATCATTCATTATCTCTATAACGACAATGTTCTTCTGAGGATTTTAATCTCTGTAATTTGGTTTAATCTTTTTAAATACTTCTCTCGAAGAAAAATATCGTTTGTGAAGTGAAAGTAATATAAAACTATTCGCTAGAAATGTTCTGTCATGAAAATGTTTTACATCATGCAGAGTGAAAAACAACGTTGAAAAATACAAGTGAAAAAAATCATTTTGTTGTCGTGCTCCCATTTTTATTAAGCGAATGGAGATAAATGATTTTGCAAATTAGAAAAAACGACTGCAGCCAGCCAAATTCACAAATAGGAAATAAATTCACGTCTTTATAATTATATTATATAATAAAAAGAGCAAATAGACTATCTGACAACTAATTTAGCCGATAACCGTTTAAAATATATAAATTTAGTTCGCAGGTCTAAATCACAACTTGTTTTCAAAATCAAGCTCACCTAATGACACAATAAATTGCACTTACAAACTGTGACATTAAAGCAGTTAGGCTTACCTAATTCGTATCTGGCCAATGTTTTTTTACAATGACCATACGCACAGTCGTACGCCGTACATGACGTAATGTGAAACTGATGAAAAAATAACACAAGATATCCCATTTATCAACGGAATTATATCCCCACGATCTTCTCACTCTATCTTCCCCTTAATCTTAACCTTTCATTCAAATTTGACCCCAAAGTGGGGTGGCTGGTATTTCGCGGATTGGTAAGCTGCTTGTTTTTTAGCGACGGCGGAACTGATGGGTGAGGTGAAGCAGACAGCGTGGTCTTTAGGATACTTTTTTCCAATAGCTTTTGGTTAGGTTGAATTAATAGTTTTCAAGACTTTTTCAAGGATGGGTTCTTCCTGAGACAATTTGGCTTTTTGGCATTGGAGCTCCAGAGTTATCATTAATAGATATTTCGGCATTTTTTCACAATATTGCTTTTGATTTATCATATTATTAACCAATTTACAGAACATGGCTATTGATGATTCAGTACCGGAACGATCAGAGCCTGAGATGATGGTTGTGATGAAATGTAATGGGGATTCGGTCCATCATCCAGATGAGGAAACGGATCATTCCTGTGGCTCGCCGGAAGCGGTATATCTGTGTTTGTTCTTGTTTCTATATTTATTGTTGAATTATGAATTGGTTAATCTGTTTGTTTTCAGAAAATTGATACGTTAATTCCTAGTCATCCGTTGAAATATATTTGGACTTATTGGTATTTGAACGATCAACGTGACAAAAGTTGGGAAAAACGGCTTAAAGTTGTGTCTAACTTTAGTACTGTGGAAGAATTTTGGGCGTAAGTGTTTTTTTTAATACCTTTCAATTTCATGTATCTCTTTGAGTACCATGTGATATACGAAGAACCATCAAGATACCTAACATGTAGTGTTTTAAAACCGTTATTCATTTTGTTTTCCCTGTAGATTTTTTTATTCATATACTGTTTTCACTTTCTTTTTATTTGTAACAGCTGTTACCAAATATATCATAGCACATAACATGAAATTAGTCTCATTAGGTGGAAGAAGACTTAACGTTTCTCTGGAATTCAATTTTAAATAAACAAAAGTAGAAACTAATTTCGAACTGAAAAAGCATTTTGAGTAGGTGTTCCTATAGTTTGAGAGACGGAGCGAACATTTCTTTCTCGTTTAACGAGATAAATTATGTAAATTTCACTACCCCAATAAAAAAAATTGATAAGCAGTCAACAAAGCTATAAAAGTGACCCATAAAGTTAATCCGAGAAAAAACTACCTTCGGAGCACCTAACATCATGGTTAACATTCAATTACCAAAACCAAAACCACTAATTAAAATAGGTATAACCACAAAAATTATTAAAACATCATTCATAGTCAAAACTGTATTATAAATTTCAGTCTTTATGTTAATATTCGCCCACCGTCATTATTACCAACGGCTTGCGATTATAGCGTTTTCAAAAAGGATATTCAACCGATGTGGGAGGTTCCAGAAAATGCCAAAGGTGGTCGCTGGCTGATAACGGTATGATTTGATTTCATCGTAATAATTGATAGGTATTATGTAAAGCTAACTCAACCCGAGTTTTATTTAGATAATTGTAATGTTTTGGACTTTCTGATTGTTCTTGATATCATAACTTATTTGGCTTTTTGATGTGTTTACAGATTGACAAGTCTAGGCATCATGACCTATTGGATGTAATCTGGTTGGAAGTGCTGTTGGCTGTGATAGGCCAACAATTCGGTAAATATACGGCAGACATATGTGGCGTAGTTGTCAACATAAGAAATAAGGGGTCTAAGGTAAGTCTCTCGTATTCGTTTGAGGTGGATCAGTAGTCAAGAAACCAATATACCATTTTTAGATCAGTATTTGGACAACGGATTGTAACAACGATGAATCGAATTGCAAAATTGGGTAATTTTCTCTTTTTTAATACTTGTTCTTTGGAGATAAATTTTAGTATAACTGATGAAGCATTCATTAACAGAAGGCAGCATTCTATATTCTTGTGCTATAGTATGCACAATAGTTGAAGTATAACTCACTAACAGATAATGTTGCTGTTTATATTGTTGTACTAATGTATTATTATTAGTTGTGAAAGTCATGTGAGACCATCAATTATATAAGTGCACTATATTGATCGATGTGTTACTTCTCTTTTTACGACTTAAGAAAGCAAGTTTGATGATCTGAATGAAATATTTTTCATTTTTTTATAGGGAAATACTGAAACAGAAATTGATGAATCCAGATATCGATTCGAAAATTCAACGACCTATATTTGATGTACTTCGCTATGAGGATCACCAGGAAGTGCAGAACAAAAGTTCTAGTTCAGTGAAAGCCAAACATATTATTACAGCCTCTGACTAGTAATGCACTAGGCCTTATATGAAAGAAAATTACACATTTTATCTGCGGGTTCTATGTTTTTGTTTTTCTGCGCTGTTAATGGAAAACCGGAATATATGTTTGTGACATATGCAAAAAAAGTTATTTTTCAAAGAAGTTAAAAGTTTTTTCACTTTCAGACAGGCTCATCAGATTTTATCTTGTTTAACTTTAATTTGATTTAAAAAAAAAAATCTTTCATTGTTGAGAAGGAAATACACTGTATTGATCAGAGAGCAGTTCAGAGCAAAGAGTAGGTTCAGTTTATATTAAGTTGTGGGAACTAACGGGTGAGCAATAATGCGGTGTGGTATGGATTTACATATATGTGATGTGTGTGTTATTTGTTTGTGTGCGTGTGTATGTGTATGTGTATATGGATGTATGTATCTTAATCGTTTTGGATGGTTTTGGAGTTTTGGAATGTTTGTTAATTAACTTTAGTGTACTGTTATGATAATGTATTTTTGAAATACTTTTATTATAACATATAATGTAGCACAAGGCAGTAAATTTTAGAATGGATGAGTTGAATGTTAAAAAAGCATTGTCGCTCATGACGAAATGATGATATACCATACCTTTGCTACTTACAAAAAATTCATATTGCTAATTATTATTATGACAGTTACTTTTACTCTTATTCGTTTACTAAGATATTAATATTAGTTCATTTATTTCGGAAAAAGAGGAGAAATTAGGTGTAAGCAGGATTCGCAACTTCCCCACTTTTATCTTTGCAAGATTTGAAAAGATCGAAAGTACAGAATAGTAACTACACTCCTTTATTGAAGTGACATCTTTCTCATATGGTTATTGTTTTCGATAGTAAAGTCTGTAAATATTGCCGTTGTTGATGTTCCAATCGTTTATCGCCTCGAAATGTGAAACAATTTTTTTTAGCATCACATTATGATATTCTTCATTTAATGTTGCGTATCCGTTTAAGGATATTCGCTTGAGTTAACCAGTCATTTTCGAAATCTTGCATCATGTTAAAATAGCATTCATTGCTCTCATCATTTATGATTTAAGATATTGGCATACATTGTATTGAGATTTTAATAATCGATATTCTAACAGGTATAGTATTATGTAAATCTTTGTAAATATGCAAAGTGAAGGATCTGTGTATTGATTTTCGCGAAGCAAACCAAGAAAAAATTGCGAAGTGGAGATTGAACGTTTTGGTGGTTTGCGAACCTAACAACAAATGTTTGAAGGGATTTTTGACGGTGGCCAGGCATTTCGATCTTATTTTAATAAATCGTTAACTAGACTTATTCGGAAGGGATCCGATGATAATACGGCAGTTACTGTGGAATTGAATAAATCGGTTGATGTATATTTTCAGTAACATGTCATGTGTGTGGGATTTTTTGAAACGACATCGTGGCAAGATTGTTGCTGGAGCAGTTGCGACTGGGGGGGCATTTGTTGTTCAACAAGTTTGGCGAAATTCTTCACTACAACTCAGTTCTAGATGGAATCGTGATACAGAATTTAGCCAAACTCAGTTGAAGGTTAGTGAAGGTTGTGTTATATTTGCATTCATTATATCATTATATTTTCTAGATTTCTGCTTCTTTTTCGTTGATGAAAAAGTGAAGAATTTTCTGTACTGCTTTCATGAAAAGTTTTCTGTGTATTTCGTGATTTGAATATCTGATCCAAGTGCTATACAGGCTCGGTGGCATTACATTTACGATACCCATCATCGAACATGCGATATTTCAATCTTGGACTTATTGCCCGGCATAACTAAACGAATATCGTTATATTTTGATGTAGAAGCATTGATTGAGGACCTTAAAAATAATGAGGAACTCAGCAAGGAACAACGAATTATTCAGTGGCAAGATATTAAGGTACCGTTATTATATGAAGGCTTATGTTTTGTGTTTTTTATACAATTTATTATTTCTCCGTGTATCATGCAAAAAACATCAAATTGAAATTAAGATGATAAATGGCACAGGAAAGTCGCTGTATCTTACTGTGCACTTTGTAGAGAGACGATTTGGCTTGTGTTTTATAATGTGAGGAAACGGTCGAGTTGAAGATCGGTCGATTTTTCTGCGGTCTTTGCTTTGTCTTTGTAAATTTGGACGTAACTCTTTAACACATAAATTAGGAGCCTTGTAATTATTGAAAATAATGTGTCAGTACTTCAATTTTTATTTTCTCTGCAGTACAATATAATTTATCTTTACAATGCTGTACTGTACATTTCCATCAATTCTGCGGCTATTTTTTATAGGTAAAAGCAATTGGACGAATGGTTGCAGTTGCCTATGCATTCACCCTAATCACTGTGACACTGAAATGCCAGATTTCAATTTTAGCTGCTCAAGTTTGCTCACTGCTTACGGAAAAAGATCACTGGTAAGTCCTAGCAAATTAAAAATTTCGAAATGTTCATGGCTAAATGAAATCGTTGATTAAAGCGTTGAGCAGTTTGTGAGTTCAGTATCCCAGCAACATTTCGATATGCTATCTACACCAATGAAAAGTAGTAGTTGGAAAAGGAGTATTTATACGAATGCTGAAGTTTATTTCATTGCTCTCCATTTCAAGCAATTCCCCTTGAAAGTTTTAGTCGAACTTTTATTGACGTATTGTCACTTTAAACCTATTATTGTTTAGATTTAAAGTCATCTTCATTGATCATTTTTAGGTGGAATCAATATTTACCCGAAAATCTTAAATTCAGCACTTCACTAATACAACTAATCGCTCCCCAAAAATGCACTGTTGATCCGTCCTCGCAACAGATTTTCATGAGATGTTGCCAATTTTTCATATCTACAGGTAATAAAGCCTTCTTCATCTAAGGCTTCTACTATTTTGATATTTTTAACTATCATTGAATACTTACAAAAGCTATCAATTTTTCTAATATAATCGGTAGAACTTATGACGTGAAAAATTTAGCTTTTATCACTTTCAAATTTCCTTGACATGTAATCAGGATATTAAAATATTTATTTCCATATATACGCAAAGGTAGGGCACGTAAGCCACTACTTAAGAGTAAACCACTATACAGGTTGACAAAATATACCCATTATTTATATATTCATCAAAACTTATAATATTCTGCTAATTTCTTATTCTGGTTTAATGCAATATATTAATATATATTAATGCAACAATTTAATACCAAGAACTAAATTTACCGTTTTCTCTGCTTTTGACTATTCCACATATCTATTATGAGCTAGTGAATTATTAATTAAAGTACTGAAAATCTCAAAATGTGTTTTTCAATAAATCAGTATATTAATGTATTGGTTTGTCTGCTTGGGATATGCTTCATTTGTTTTTTGTGGAAGCTAGATAAATTTAAATGGGAATTATTTCTTTTATCCTCCGTAAACAGTTGTTTCGAGCTCATATATACCATAAAATGCTGAATAAATATATAATTTATATATTTGATCAGGTTTGGATGATTTATTAAAAAGGATCGAAGCTGTCAGCAAAGTACAATTGGAAGAGTTAGAGCTGAAAACACCGGTAGATGGAGAACATCTAAAGGCGATTTTGTTAAATCTCAAGAGAAGAATGGATTTGTTAGACTGCCGACATTTTTCATATCTCGTCGTGCCGAAATATGCAAATAAGGTAATTGTTTCTATTGTGATGTTTATCTTACTAAATTTTCCCAACTTTATATGAATTGTATATTTCGATTGATTTTGTCACATTTTGTTGTGCTTTGCAGAATGGCTTTGCGTTACCAAATCTTGGTCAACTAGATGCGCTCCTAAAACGTCTCGTAGAAATGTTAGAATCAACGAAATGCAAGGAAGTAACATCATCGCTAGTCGATTTCTTCTTTGATGCCGTAGTGAACGTAAGTGAAAAATAATGCATTTTTTTCTTAAATCGTTTAAGCAGAAGTCTCGATCATATAAGTTTTTTTATTGAGTTTTAACCGGGTTGAGGAGAGTTTTCCCATTTACTTGTATTAAAAGTTTTCATTTTGTTAAAGTATAGCAAAACTTTGTTCTGCTTATCACTGTGAAAATTATTTTTAATGTTTCGTGTGAATTACAGTTTGTAAATCAACATAGTACCAATCAAGTGATGCCCTTGGCAAGAATACTACCTTTAATTACGGATAGTTTCCATATCTTATCTCGAAGTGGTTTCGATTCACCAATACAAAATATTCTTTCTTCCACTGAATTACACACACTTTCCATGTATGTTTTTTCACTTCCTCCTGTTAAATTGTGATAGTTTTTTTGTATTTGCATATATTTGCTGTTTTTTTTTCATAAATTGGCATTCTTCATGACTTTAGTTTAAGCGAAGTAATCTTGAGTAGTTGAGAGCAAATGAAAGGAATTCTGTCGAACAGTTCGTATATTCGATCTGAGTATAAGCGATTAAGGAGAATCTGGAAGGCATACACTTCTATAGTTCTCGAGGTATTATTTTGTTTTATGTAAGCTATCTTCATTGCCTGTGAAAAAGTTCGTGTGGAATAATCGTTCAGGATTACATGGTTGATGTCATTTTATTTCGAGCCATAGTTGTTTAAATTTGGTTAAAATGTAGTCTTCTATAGCTTCTGAAAGTGAAGAATAGATAAATAGAATACTTTTGTTGATGCGTGAATAGTGCAGTTTTGAAATGACAGAATCATCGTTTTGCTGTTCGTTTTCCTCACCTCATTGTATTTCACATCACGAAATAGGGACCAAGAAATCAAAGCTACTGTTTTCATGTGTTACATAATTTTACGTCATTGATAATTATATATTGCATATTGGGTATTTCGTGTTAAGTATGCTATTTGATTTCAGTTTCACCCCATTTCTTTGACTCATTTTATAAAAGGCTGCAAAACGTCTGAAAACCGTACTCACTCTTAACTTCCCTGAAGTGAAAATTGTGTTGTCTAAGCAGACTGTTTGATGTTTATATTTTAGAAGCATAATTTGACTTTTTGTGGAAATTTGGACTCACAAAAGCTAATGATCAAAATTAGCAGGATGTTCTAGAAATGGTTGTATGTGATAGTCATATGGAGTATATTTAACTTGACGTATTTTAATTTGACTGAGGCTACTATTACTCTAATATTTCATACAATAAATAAATTGATCAGGAAGATTGACCAATATGTCGAATGTGACCTATTAATCAATTTTTCGCGCTTTATACATTTTATGTTTTAATAAATATGTATAACGTACATTCATCGATGTCAGTATTGCTCTTTATCAAAATATTGGGATATCGATATCAATCGTGCATATTTCGTTAAAATTATAGATTAAGTTGAGAGAGCTTCTTGCTTTAAGTGCATTGTTGTCAATGGATGGGAAAGTGCTAGAATTATTGTAAAAAAAGAGAATCATATAAGTGGGTAAAGTTAACCCGTGATTTTCTTATTATGACGACATTCACTGAAGCTTGGGTTCAATTTGTTACGAGTTTGTCCGGACATTGTATTCCAGTTGTGGATATGCCAAATGAGCGGAAATTGTACAAATATGCAACATATTTGAGCAATTGTTCACGTGAGGTGGGTATACGCTTTACCTCGCTTCAAAATTTTATGGTCATTTAGAAGTTGTCTATCTTTCTGTAATTATATGGATTTTCTGACCTTTAACATTCGATTACTAGGAGTGTGTTCGGGAAAAAAGCTTATAATGTCTGATTTACTGAAACTTATTGGGAATGTATATTTCGCATATTTGGGTTCAATTTTGGGAAAAGATCACGTTTCTCATTTTTGTTGTACGGATCATAAAAGAAATTGCAGGCATTCGATTACGGGAAGTGTGTCGGAGAAAAAGCAGGGAAAGTGACTCATTTGGCGTGTCAGCGTGAATTTGCTTTGTTGCTAAATTGTGTAGAAAAACAGGTATGATGTTGTATACTTAAGAAAAAATTCTTCCTCTTTATCTGTTTTTATCATTCCTTCTCTTTCACGGAGAAAAAGCAGGGAAAGTGACTCATTTGGCGTGTCAGCGTGAATTTGCTTTGTTGCTAAATTGTGTAGAAAAACAGGTATGATGTTGTATACTTCAGAAAAAATTCTTCCTCTTTATCTGTTTTTATCATTCCTTCTCTTTCACCGTGTAATTAATGCAGCACGACTTATATGACTGATTTATTTCAAAGTTGTAAAAGATAAGTTTGAAGAAATTTTAAGAGTGTTTATCATATTGCAGTTTAATCGGTTCTGAGAGAGATCCTTCAAATAACGGAATCATTATCCCTTCATTGATTATTTCATTATTTTTCGTCTTCCAAAATATTCAACCAGGCTTTGCAGATTCGATTAGCTTTTATAAAATGAAGGTAAAACGATACAAACGAGCGAAGCGTATTATCTCCATTTATCGGCATAACTTTAGCTTAGAATCACCTTACAAAGTTCTGCTGGATGGTACTTTTGCTATGGCTGCACTACAAAATAAAATTAATTTGCGAGAACAAATGCCGAAATATTTAAATGCTGTAAGCTTTTTCTGTTCATCTGCAGAATAACCCATTGTTATTGCGCATGACTGATTACTGTATGTATATTCTGCTATTGGTTTGAATTATCTTAGCTTTATTCTGTTATTGCAGATTGCCCTCAGATTTTGTTATCCTCATTACATCACTGTCACTATTGTGATGGATATCAAGAGTGTTTGACATTTAAATAATCTTTCAAGCTTAGGAAGTTGATATGCGAGTAACCAGTTGTGTGCTTAAAGAATTGGAAAAACTTGGATCTACATTGTACGGTGCATTGCATATTTGCAAACAGTTTGACGTAAGCCAGCCTTTTTTCTTTCCGTTTATTTTCGTTTTGCTATTTCGAGTTTCCTGCGTTATCTTTCTCTCCTTTTCTTATTTAGATTAGAATGGCTAATTTTAATTTTCCAGGAAACTTGCTGACTAGTGAGGAATATTTTAGATTGAATTATGTCCCCATCGACCTGTTCGGACGGCAGTAGAATGCATCAAGCATATGGCACGTCGAATGAAACGTGGAATAACGTGCTTCTTTGCAACACAGGTAACAAACTGTGATATGTCTGAATTATCAACTGATATGGATAATCACCTTTAAATTGTAGGATAATGAGCTTATGGAAGCCTTGAAGCAGATTCCTGGTATACCAGTTTTATTCATCAAATATAATGCAATTTTGATCGATAGACCCAGTCAGGCTACCATTCAAGTAAACCGTTAATTATTTAAGTTGATGAACTTCGTAATACCATTATTTTCAAATTATCCACCACAATTTATGTTCATTTTACAGAAATGTGTTAGTCTTCTGAGTATGTTTGAGCATCAAAATGATTATTGGTATTAAAAGTTTTAATCTTTTGGCAAGTGTCTCTAAGAAAATTAGCTAAGATTTTGATCTAGTTTTCTTCAGGAAATCGAAAGGCCGAAAGACCAATTACTTGAAATAAATGAATTAAAAAAGACGGTATTTGGTGAAGGTGAAAAGCCGAAACGGAGACGGAAAGGTCCAAAGGGACCGAATCCCCTTTCGGTCAAGAAGAAAAAGACTCACTTTATCAGTATTCACCAGGAATTGGGGCCAAATGCGAAAACTGCTTCCTCCAAGAGACGTCGCCGGAAAAGAAGGGAAAGAAGAGAGAGACAGTAGATAAATGCTTTTACAGTAGCGTTATCTTTATATTGTTCTCCCGATTCAAAATAAACTTTTTTCAAAAATATATCTTTCAAAGAAGTCTTAATTCCGCTTTTTTTATTTGCAAATTTCCGCATTAGTTCTTTCACTTTTGCCAGTTTTATTTTTTCAAATTTGTCGTCCGATGAATTCGAACTTCAGCCAAAGCATTTATCAACTTGTTCTGTTATTCACATTTCGTCTCTTCATACCTTTTTGTTTCCGTCCCTTTTATTATTATTATGAAAGTTCAGAAAATTTTTAAGCTAAAACAGTTGCTTTGTGATGACACTAAACATTAGCGTCCGAATATGAAAAAGAATAGAAATAAGTTGAAATAAGAAATGGTCACCTGATTGAACAAGATGTAGATTAAAATAATCAGAAGTTTATCCACTGTTGGTCAACGATTCGATTTTTTTTGATGTGAAACAAGATGTAAATAACATAATGCAGCTTTTATATCGCATACTCAGTTGTTTACGTTTATTAGAATGAATTGCTGAGACTTTCCAATTAACACATTTAATGTGGGAAAATCATTTGAGGGAGGAATTTTAAAACATGTTTGATTCTGAGGTGAAAATCTTAAATCATTTTTGTTAGGTTTTCTTCTCTTTCGCTCTCTCTCTCTCTCTCTCTCTGATGACTCGTCGATGAACCAGATAGTTAATCATTAATCATCTGAACCAATCATTAGTTTCTTCCCATTAAATTTTTACTTGGTTTATCATAGAAGGCGGTAACATCAATGATATGTCACCTACAAGGGAAAATATTTTTCCTTTCTCTATGTGTTAAAATTAAGAGTTTATCAGCTTATACCATCATTTCTCTCTCGGATATGATCACTTTCTTAGCATTTCTCCTCTCTTTCAAATATTTTGATCCCATTCAGATTAATTCCTTCTTTCATTCACCTCATCAAACTATAAGTCATTAAAATATATGCATGCCAATAATGGAACAATAGCGCTGTTAGGCTACCATCTTCACCCATTCAAATTGCGACGGTTGGGGGATCATTCAATGCAAATGTATCCCTTCGTAATGATATGATTCATTATGTGCCCGAATTCAGCAATATGTTGACTTTCTAAATCATTTCGTTTACTTATTAAATTAATAGTGCTAATTAAACTATTATTGATTTGAATAGGTTACGTATAATTTTAGGCCGGCCAGTATACACCCATATTTTCTAACCTGATTTCGCGCGAAAATTCAAAATATACAATTCAATCATTCCTACTATTACTGTGATATTTGTACACCACAAATATCAAATGAATTGCTACGTTAAAATAACATTAAAAAATTATTATAACTTATTATGCCAGTCATTTATAATTTCAATTTGTTAAAAGTTAGGTTTAATGTTTAATACTATTTTAAATGTCAATTGCAATCATTTGATTTTACTCAAGCGAACACACAACAAAAAAGTGTTCTCAAGCAAACATATTAAAATATTGTCTTTATTATCTCAGTTACTGAATTAACAAAACTAATTCCTCCTTACATTCATCTCCAACTTTAAATTTAGATTTCAAATTACAATGAATGTCCAGATTTCAAACATTATGCTCTATGATCATCTGTAATCCATCAATTATTGCTTAGTGATTTTTCGAGATTTCCCTTTTCGGTTTGTTTATCCTTGAATTTGTCTGCATCATTTATAAATTTTCAAATATTTCCCTGCATAGCTGTCGAATAAAAAGTGAAATGTGATACCGTGGTGTTAATTCATATGCTTGATACTTTACATTAAACACTGCCCTTCTATCTTTGACCAGCTGACCATAGAAGAATCGCGCCGTTATAAATTTCATGATTCAAATGAAAAGAGCTCGTGAAGTATGATCGTTCACTCTGTACATCACATTTTCTTTGCATAATTTTTTATTTAAATCTTATCACTATACCGTCTTTTCAGTCTTATCTATTTCTATTTTATTTATTACTGGTAAGAAGGATGATATAGTGGCCACTGGGCTCAATTTTTCCTTTTTTTGCGAATTAGTTACGATCATGAATGCCTTCGTTAGAAGAAATCGGTAAAAGGGATATTCATATATTGGCGCTTCCCACCAGCGGGTATGATGGAGATAGATCATTTGATATTAAGGTAAAATACACATATTTTTGTATATGTGTGCGTACGTGTAAAGAAAGTAGGTATACTTCCATTTATAACAATTGCTTTTATTTTGATAGTAATCATAATACTCTTGCTTCTTATTTCAATTTTGATTCAATGCAATAATCACAATATAAATTTAGATGGAATTAAAGGTCAACAACTACGATCATTTCTTTACGTTACGTTTATTCTAGCATCCTAATTAGCATTGGTTCTAATTCGATTTCAGTAATGCAACATTTCATCGTTCTCTAATTAATTGCTTTTGGTCAACCGTTTTTAAAAAGTTTTAGATTCTAAAAGAAATGATACATTCATCAAGGAAAATCTATGTCTTCTCAGTGTTAACAAATCATTAAGCCGTTATACGTTTTCATAAATATGTGATAACTGTGAAAAATAATTCGGTCAATCTTTATGATCCACCACATGTTATCAACAATAAGTGATTATGTTTTATCTCTCACTTTTATCCCTTGATACTGTTTAGTGATACCAGATAAAATATTATCGTTTTAAATGATAAAAGTATTCTTCGCTCTTTCATTATCACTTAATGATTAATCAATTCTTAATGTGTTGAAATATAAATTGAATTGTTACCGCTGTTATTTTTAGTAAAAGGCGCTATCTGATGTCCTTTATTCCCTAATTAATTTTCTTCAAGTTCTGAAGAAATTATGTTTTGTTTTAATGTAGAGATATTGATTGATATGATAACTTTTTTGTACATCTATTTTTCTTTACGTTAAAGAAAAAATGAGACGAAAGTACTTTTTTGTTTTATTTTTAGATCAATTTGAAATTTCAAATTAATCCGATTTAATACAACTCATCCCACTTCAATTCAATTCATTTTCATTGCATTCATTGCAAATTATAATCACATTCAGAGTTGAAACTATATTTCTTCAATTCATCCTAAAAATAATTAGCTTCCAAACTTACTTGTTTCTTAGGTCAATTATTACACAGCTGTTTCGTATACTCAGGGTTATTTAGCAACTATGCCATTGCATAAATTTCAAATTGATGGATGTACGTGAAATTTACGAAAATTTGCATGTACAGTGCAAACCTGATTTGAGAAGACTTTTTCCCTACGGGATACCTTTTATTATTCTTTCATTTTAAAATGGCTTTATTTCACTATTCTCAAATTTCATCTATTTGAATTGCTTCATTGCCTTTTTTCTCATCTTCCTTTCTTACACTCTTTTATATTAAACGTGATCAAATTCGAAATTCTTGTCTCAATATTGCACAATTTTGTTTTTAAAATTTTTGGCTAGATCGTGTAGAATGAATTTTTATTCCCCTTTTACCTGGAACTCTCGGGATAACTGACAAAAGTTTTGGGTATACATTAAATTATTCCTAAATAAAAAATAACTACGAAAAAATCGACTTTTCATTTGTTCACTTTACTTTTTTTACGTAACCTTGCAATCACATTATACGTTTTCGACTAGTATTCCTTCAGATAATAACTACTACCAATACCAATATTGTTTTAAGTTTTGAAATTATCACTATAACTAATTTTGTTTTTGATTTTTAAAAATATTCGATAATTTTTTCTTTTTTTTAGGAAGAGAACTGATGTTTAGAAAGATTTTAGTGTGGGCTGAAAGCAATTGGACTGAAATATTTGAAAATAACATCAAATGAAGTGGGCCATTCAACAAATACTATTCTTCAGTCATTTGGTACATTCAATGATCAATTTATTCATTTCTAAAACTGAAATGGATCGAACTTTAGGTAGAAATAAAAACTTTAAAAAAAATTTCCTTTGTTTTACTTTATCATTTATCTTATTTATTTACTCATTTCCATGTTTTCCACACCAAATTTTATCATTTGTTCACTTTACTTTTCCTTCAGGCAATGTTAGAATGAAAATATTCAAAAATGCTGTTTATGTTCAATAATTATTTTCATTGAAATTTGTATCTTATAAAAAAATAGGATAGAATTATAGGTTTGGATGTGCAGCTGAACTACATTGAAAATGGTATTATTAACTTGTATTCCGTTAAATTTCCCTATCGAATCAATAATAGCATTTCCTATGTGCAATTCTCCTGGAATACAAAAGTTCTTGATCGACCAGTTAATTCTTATTTCAATTAATTTTGAAAATCTGAAATTGTTAGTGTAATTGAGATGACTGATATAAATGCGCAATTAAGATACGTTTTATGATAAATATTTAACATCCTTTTAATTGGCATCCAGAGATATCTACAAATAAAGCTTCATCTCTTTTAAAACTAAATGATAAAGTGAATCTAATCCTTTTTATCTCTTTATAGCTCTTCTGATAGTACTATTGTTTTGAGGCGGAAAAATGTTCTCTCTTTCAGGTACATTATACAATACGACTAATATCATATGATAGTGCTGTTATGCCATTACTTCAAATACCCTCTAGCGGAAAAGTTCCATTGAAATTGGAAAGTTGGTTTTATTTTGATCATGAAGCATAGGAATATTGCTAAATACTCTAGTTAAGTGAGCTAAACAAAGAATTTCGTTCCCAATGTTCGACTTTTTTCTTTTTGTCTAATCACCAAATTATCAAAGTGTGATTTTTGCTCTTAGCGTTCATAATCCTTATGATAAGTAATTATTAATGAAGATTTTGTTTCATAGTTAAACGTATTTGAACCTGAAATTTTTGGTTTTAGATTTCTTAAATTATTTTGCGCAAGGAAAAAAGAAGTTATTATAGCATTCAACATTGAGTATCGATGTGCAGGAATTAAAACTGGTAAATTCGATATTCAAGTTAATTTCAATTTTGATTGGCCTTCCGATACGAATCAAACAAATGTTTCATTAAAACACGAAAAATTATGTACAGCTCGAGCGTTACGTCGTGCTTACAGCGGTATGTTTTCAGATGAAGAGTACTTTACCTTAATCACTCTCTTCATCACTTGATCACTTCAACAATATTTATTGTCTTATTTAATCATATTTCATGAACTGAGCCTATTGTAAGCACTTTTAAGCCAAATCACATTATTGTTTAATTGATTAATTAAACAAATAAAAATATAAATTATCTTGAACTGTAGTCGTATGAGATCATTTCAGATCGTTTTAGCAGGGATCATTTCCTCACAATTGCAATCCTATTTTCCTACAATATGAAATTTAAAATTTGTAATGATTCCAACTGTTAAGAAATTCAGCTAGATTAATTGACACTTAATTTAACAAATTTCGCTCAAATCTCTTCAATGATTGACCTCACGATGATGATATGATATGATAAGTGAAGTAGGAAGGGGATTACCGTATATAAAGAATAATAAAGTAGTTTGTCGAACAGTACTGGTAAAAAGTTTTTCAAAGGATTTTATACGGTAAGTATAAAGTGATTTGAAATTATGGCATGATTGGATAAAATTGGTTCTTGGACTTGCAGCATAATTAGGCAAAATCCCATCTGATAACTCTTTTTATATAAAATTGGAAATGATTATAATGGGATAAAAGAAAGGGACCAATTTTAATGGGTTTCATTTATTTAAAGATGTGCAAATGTGTCTTCTCGAACCGAATTATGCAAAATATAGACAACAAAAACAGATAGACATTTGTCGTTTTGTTTTAATCAATATATAATTACCGCAGGTGTGGAAGATCTTTTTTAACTGAAACTGAAAAATTATGAGAGAAAGCCAAGTTACATTCCAATTTTAATTAATTAAAATTACTTAGTGCATTTTAATATTTACGATTAATTATTTCAGTATCTTTTTTTTTTGAAATGGAATAATATTTTCGTAATGAAAATAAAAAAAAGGAAAAGAGAATGAGTTGAATTTGTAGATTCATATATTACATCGTATCATCGTAAATGTGAAATGTGGTAGTTAGAAGCAGCGAATCGAACCGATCGGCATGGACTTTTTGGAAAGAAGTTTTTGTAATTTGCCGCTCCAGAGATTTTATTGTCCTACTGAGGAAGTTTTAACTCTCTCTCTACTTAAGAATCATACAGCGAGAGAGAGAAGGAAAGAGAGATAAAGGATGCTTGCAATAAGAGAAAGAGGGCAGAAGAGCGAAAAATAAGATGATAGGATCAAATCCTTTCTCTTGAATTTTCTTCTTTTTTCCAAAATAAAATTATTTTCTTTTTGTGGACGATTACATTTTTCCCTTATAATGTTTTCTCTCATACTGTGATAACTGATTCGTCCTTTCTATCTTCTTTCCTTCTTTCTTTATTTTACTATTACTCCTTCAATCTTCTTTTCATCCTTTTATTCCTTAGTTTAAAATCACTCTATCTTTTCTAATTACAATTCGTTTTTCCTCCAAATCATTTTGCTATCTCGAAGAGATGGCTTTTGATACTCGTTTTCTGTTATTATGAATTCTGTCAGTAAATTAAAATCATTATCAAATTTTAACTATGGTCAGTTCTACTTATTGATCATTTTTCCTTTTCAATAGGATTCAAACTTGTATCAGAAGATATAAATATTTTCTATCGCTTGATATTCCTAAGGAGCATATTGTATATGTAATTGGCACAAGATGATGTTACTCTTTAATAAAACAACCGGCATCTGTTGAATATGGTATTTTTTGTGTATTTAGATAAAGTCCATAAGTATTAGTCCTAGAAAAACTCATTACATAAATCTTTTGGCAAACTAAATTCATTGGTGTTAGAGTCAAAGAATAAAGTAATCATCTCAAGATCACTTATAAGATAATAGAAAATGGAAATCATATATGGACCGTTATCAATAAATTGGTATGTTATGAAATGATTTCATTATTAGGCAAGTTTCAATAATCATGAAAAGATTTACACTTATGGTTTATAAGATACCACCGATAATTGCTAAAAAACCGAATAGCCTTGTCTTAATTGTTTGGATTTCATGATTTGTTGTGACATTGTTGCATTTCACCTATCTTAATCTTTTGTTGTAAGAAAAGTTTTCAGGTAAAAATCTTCAAGAAAATAAATGTCTCACATAAGATATATATATATAAATTACATCAGGTAATTAATTATAAGTGAAAAAAGCAGCATGCATTAATCGGCACTTTTGGTCATACCGCTACACCAGTAGTGGTTTCTGAACTTTCAAGAAATTCTAAACATAATATAATAGAAAAAGAAAAGTCATAAAAAAAGTTTTATTACTGCCTTCGGTTTATCGTGAAATAGTTAATAGGTGTAATGTTACGCCTTTGTTTTAATCTATCCTTCACCATTAGCTATCGTTTATTCATCTCTCTATCACTTGAGATAGAACCAAAGCAATGGTTTTTTTGTAGTTATGCATTTAATCTGTAAGTGATTTTCAAATGAACTGATTGAATATCATTTATTATGTCTATTATTTTATTATTTATTTCGTTTATTATTTATTTACTTTTATTGTTTAGTGTATGTTAATATTTTTAAATTCATCAAGGATAATGATTCCTTGATTTTGACATAGAATTGATTGTGAAATGCTATCCAGAAATATTATGCAATCCATCAGAAATATTGTTACTTTTAATTTTGCAGATAATATTGGCAACTAAGATGAGTTAGAAAGTGAAATGGATGGCGCCAGAAAACACAGTAACTTTTTGCATTGAAAAATGTGAATTAACTTGTACTACCGCAACCTAGCCTCTAAGTTAATGAATAACATAACTCGTTGAGAGTAGTTTTTTGACATCAAATAATAGCAAATAATCTTGGTCAAAATATTCCGAGATTTTGTTGTCATATATTGGAAAATCATTCCTGTCTTCCGTTCTTTTATTAATTGATATCATTAAATTCTTCAAGATCAAAGATTCAAGTATGGACCAGTCAATTGCAACTTTTTTACTGCTGTCCAAATTGAATGGTTGTCATGTTTCTCTATTCTCTCAAATTCTTTCAATAAAATTATGCCGGCAATTATTTCACCTTTTTCTCTTAATTCCTCTCTTTTTTAAATCATCTTAAAGTTCTATTGAAGAGAAATACTTTGACCCTCATTTTTATCAGACTTATAAACAACTAATTTAAATTTAAAGGTTTAAAAAATGATTCGTCAATTAGAGCTTCTTCCAAAAGATTTACGTAGAAACTTTCTGTATTATCACCATAAAAAGCTATGAAATTAATATTCGATGAAGTTATCTTTCTATTCTTTGTCATCAAACTTCTCAACAATTTTAAAAGTACTGTCATGTTGCAGTGGCACTAATATCGGCGGAGAACATATTTTATCTGGTGATCGGATGTGTGGGCGCTGTTGTCCTTGTTATCGCTCTTATAATCCTTGTTTATTACCGTTCGATTAAAAAATCGTCTCATTCCGTTACTGAACCAGTCCAACTTTTGATTCCGTAAGTATTTGCAATTCTATTAAAATAGATAGATAATCCAACTTTTACAACTGATTTTCCCATATTTCATGGAAAATAGCATAACATCCAGACAAGTATTTCATTAACTTTTTTAGAAGTTAACTGTTAAATCGACTGTTAAATTACCAGATGAACAAGCGTTTTATAAAATGAATAGGTAATTGAGTAATCGGATAAGAAACAGTAAAACATCTCTATCGATTTTTATTTTCAGACTATAAAATTACTGAATAGTTATTTTTGTAAATGAAAAACCAAACATTCTGTAATTTTCCAGAAAATCTCAAAACCCAACTGAGAAAATATCAGCTAACGTATCCGAAACACATCTTATGATATCTGAAAGTGCTGCAAAAGGTATTTTTATGGATTTTTCTAGCGTTCAATTTTAATAATTGCAAATATTATTATTGCTATCAACTATTATCAATAATTAGCATTATTATTATTTTGACATTCCTCATTAAATAAGTTCGACATCTTTTAGCTGCCGTTTACGCTGGCCCCAATAAGCCATATTCATCCTTCAACTTCAGGCCTAGTAATGTTCCGGTAATAATTTATGAAAAATCACATGTAATCAATATAAAAAAAGCATTTAAGGGACTATACGTTGATCGAAATTTTTTTAAGGTAAGAATTCGAAATATTGCCTTGATAGAGATTCAGATTCACCGTTCGCCGTTCATTGATGATTTTGAACTTATTGAATTAAACTTACTTACTGTACATTTCTTTTCCGGAAGTTAGAATTTTTGGTTAGACTCAAGATTGGATTTTTAGCTGCAGTATTACTTTTACAATTTATTTTGTTGAGAATAATTTATATTTTATATTGGTTCTTATTGAGTCCTTGAAGTTTCTGAGATTTTCCCAAAATTTCTTCTTCCACTTTTTTCAAGATTCTTTCGGTAGAGGAGCTCGAAGGTACGTTCGGAGAGATGAAATGGGCCATCTGGAAGAAAGATGTAGAGCATTTTATTGGTGATGTAGATGACCAAGAAGATAATGTATGTTTCGAAGAACGGGTGATTCTAAAGACATTGAAACTTACAGCTGATCAAAGGCATCTCAAAAAATTTCTGGAAGAAGCGCTGGCATTCTTCAGCGTAGAACGTCATGAGAATTTAGCACAAGTACGTTTTTTTTGGAGGTTCTCTTAGTTCGGTTATGGTTAATCTAACCTCGCAGAACTTTACATATCTATCAATTGACAATTTTGGTAAACGATATTTTTATTTGAAATCACTGCATAAATCAAAATAATATTCGGAATTTCAAACCAAACTATTAAAGATTAAAAAATTATGTGAGATTATTAAATTTTAATAAAAAATAATTAGAGAATGAAAATAAAAGCTGTAAAGGTAGAAGTTTTTGAAGTGATTATGTTATTATTGGTTATGATTTATTATTATTATTTTTGTTATTGCTATTATTGTTATTGTTAATATTACTAGGAAGCTTCTTTTCTTATATTTGCCTTATTTGCAGGAAATACAAATGGCTTTGTAATTTTAGAAGTTATAGAACTAAAAGTTTCCAGGTAGCCGCAATAGCATCATCATGCGACGATTTAAATGATCCAGAACAGATAATTGATTTTCCACTTATATGTTATTCACATGATGGATTTGGAAATTTGAAGAAATTTCTCATTAACTGTCGAAATGGCCAAAAAAATGCTCAATTTAAAAATCCAGGTAAATTTCATATTTTAATAACGGATGATAATTTGATTTTTTCAAAAAATTTCCAAAAATAACTCACTATTCCGATCTCTCATTTGTAATGATTTTAAAATTATTTATTCATTAAGGCACTGCAAATACTGTTTTTGTGACTCATATTATCCAATAGCTTCTTTTTCTTGAAATCCTCCATAAAGTTGTAATGTGCGCACAATCCATAAGCGTTGCTATGTTTCGCCTGCTACTGTATAATTCAATCATTTTTCATTGTTTGATTCCATAGCAATTATTTTCTATAACTGTTTTTCAAATTTTCCACCACTTTTTGTTTGATATGTAACAAAAGAGAATAATATATTGCAAGAAAAAGTAGTATGACTAGCATCTTTTCTGCTGCAATGTTGCAGATGGCAATGGAATACAAACGCTTGGTGCGCATGAGCTCGTTTCGATGGCCCTACAAATATTGAATGCTGTGATATATTTGCATAATTTCGGTATTATTCATAAAGATATCGCAACAAGGTGCAAGTGATTCATAACACTTCTCTTTCTTTTCTTTCATTTATTAATTCTGTTATCAAAGTCAAAAAGACTTACTGTAATGAAAAGACATTTGGAACAGTTACTGATGTGTTTTGCATGATGATTATTTATCTGAGTACTCATCAATTACCCAAATCTCAGTTCATTATACTTCGGATATGAACTGAATTATTATTGTGATATTATAATTATCATGCATTTATTAAGTATATATTAAGCTATGCTTTCACATCCAAGAAGCATGGAAAGTAATTAAAGTAATTTATCTTGAAATAATTTAGCATATTTGATCAAGTTGTAGTAACTCTTTGGTAACACTATAAGATCAAAATTGAAGATTTAATTTTGATAGATTTGGAATTTATTTGAAAATAAATTGGCAATTTAACTATGATAATTCTTTGAAAGATTAGATAGGAAAAGTTAATTCATTTTCATTGAAGTAATGGAAATTGACATCCCACTATTACTATCAGATGATCGGTTTGCAGGAATTGTCTTGTATCCAGAGTTCATAATCGTGATAATCTGTTTGTGCAAATTTGTGATTCTGCTTTAAGTAAAGACTTCTTCCCCGATGATTATCATTGTTTGGGTGATAATGAGAATAGACCGATGAAATGGATGGCACATGAATCATTGGTTCATAATTCGTTTAATAGTTCTACAGATGTGGTTAGTTCTATACTACATTCACGATACATAATCAATGGTCAACGTGAAATTTTGCTTGAAAGAAAAATTAGTGGGATGAATAATGGAATTTGAAAAATGTATGAGAAATTTCTTCAGTGTATAAAGAGAGCAAAAAATTTTTTAAATCTTTTTTCCGATTTAAGTGGTCATTCGGTGTAACACTGTGGGAATTACTGACTTGCGCGCAGCAACCCTATCCGGATATTGATCCTGATGAGATGGCTGTGGTTCTAGAACGTGGAAAACGGTTGTCTCAACCTTACAGTTGTCCAGATGAACTGTAAGTTTTTATCCCAAAAAAAATTCCATCTTTTTTTTTCGTGTTTTTAAAACAACCATATTCCATCAATTTCAAACTTTTCAAATTCAGTGAAAAATTGAATGAAAACAACGAAAGCACTGATTTTTTAACAATATTTTAAGATTATCCTTAACCTTAACCTTTCCAATAATATAAAAATATTATTCCATTTGTAAACATTTAACATGACGAACTAACTAACTGAACTTACTTAATTTCTACCCAGTTTTGCTGGTTACACTGTTTTCAAAAACGATATTGTACTGCAAGATTTAAATCACTTGTACAATGAATACTGCGGCCTGGATTATCATCCGTTAAAAATAAATTCATACTTTTCCATCCTTTTCTCTCTATAACTCTTTCATATACTAAATTGATGTCTCCGGTGAATAAATTATACTTAAACGCATCATTTGAGTAGGATCAAATCTCGAAGCATCTAAATTTAAAATTCAAACAATCTTAAATTTTCATCAAATTATTATCATTTTTGTTAACCTGATAAAAACAGGCATATATCATAGCAATTGAAATGATTACATGCTAAGGATGAATAGATCAACTGATTTTTTATTAAATCAAAGATTAAATCTACTCTTTTCCATATTAGTTTGGTACGAATTTATAGATTAGACATTTGCAGGTATGGACTTCTGTATTGCTGTTGGCAGCTCGATTATCGAGATCGTCCAACTACTCAACAACTTCTCATTGCCCTACAGGAATTTAACTTGGAACTTCTACAATATATCTGAAAAGCATAGCATTACAAAAAGAAAAAAATTCAGTTATTCTGTTTTCTTATTAAATTCTGATATCGTTTTAAGATAATTAAGGAGGAAAAAGAAAAAAATTAAGGCATTATTTATTAACAAATTGCAATCCTTCTGATATCTTAATGTTATACTTTTCCGTATTGTTCGTTTTTTTTTCTACCAATTTGATCAAATTTGACAGTTTGATTATAAACTATTCCCTGCATTACAAGACGAGAAGAGAGACTTTTTCAGGCAACATGAAAGAATATCAATTATGATTTCTGATGTATATTTCTAAAAGCAATCTCTTCTTTTCATCAAATAATTTAAAGTTTCAAAATTGATTTGAATTTAAATAAAATTCATTCAAATCAACTTATTTATCATATATCAATTTATTCCACCATTTATCATATTATCAATAAGTTAGCATCTTACTGATCCATTTGCGTGTTTGCGCATCGCTTAGTTCATTTTTAATTCTTTGTAAACAACAAACCGATAATCTCATACTTTTAAGACAAAAACTTTAATGTATTTTTCTTTTCTTTTTTGCTTTTAGAATAAAATGGATACAATCTACGTTTGATCCATTAATTTATTTCATTTTATTTTAATGTGATTTCTATTAACTCAGAGGCAAAAGCCATTTTAGCAAAATATTTTTTTACCTTTCTCTTTCTCCAATTAATCAACTATTAACGATATATTGGAAATTTCTAAGTGGAATTTCAGGATAATATAAGAAAAGTAGCAGAATTGAATGAAAGTTTCAAAAGAGAGAGAAACTTTGGCAAATATCGGAATGCTACGCAATCGGACCTCTTAATAAATAGACTTTCCCAATGCTCACTTTTAGTCTAATTATTTTAGCTCTTTAAAAGGAAGAAAAAATATTAGTTTCATCCGATGAATAAAGGAAGAGATTAAGTCAATTTTTGTTTAATCTAAAAATGATTAATTCATTTGAAAATAGTTTTAAGCGAAGGAATGATATGTGAAATATAGAATTATACTTTGAAATATTTCTAATTTTCGATGATTACACGATAAGTTGAATGTTGTTGAGATAATGAGCCTAACACAATCCAATTGATTCTTATAGCATTAAAAGTATTTTTGCAACGTAACATAGCATTAAAAGCATTTTTGTGACGCTCTATCATCTATCGAAAATTAGAAATAATTCGATTCTGTCATCCTTTTAGTTTAAAAGCCTTATATTTAGTTTAAAAATATAAGGCTTTGGAAGAACACGTCCAATTGATTTGAATAGTAGAGTTGGACTACACAAAAATAATGGCGACAAAATCCTGCTCGACTGCTTTTAACTGGAATAAATTTTGATCGTATAATATAATGCCTTAGATTGTGATAAATTTAAATTACTGATATAAAAATTTTTTTTATTAATAACTTGGCTGGTTTCAATTACAAATGAAGAGATGGGTTTATGGATGATTGTATTATCATTTTCCCAACTACTGCCATGACGAAATACCCTGAATCACAGATTTATGTACTACTATCATCCCTGGACGAAATTACTGATTTCGGAGTCTTTTTATTCCTGAACAATACCTTCATCCCGCTCCGTAACACTATTTAAATGATCTTTGATCTACAAGCCAGTTACATTTAGTTGTGAAGCACGCTCAGTGCCCGAAGCTTCTGAAAAAAATCAGTAGGCTTATTCTTAAATGTGGATGGTTTAAATAATTCTTCCCAATATTCATGCATTCACTTCCATTGAAAACGCTTTATTGAAAAATAATATGAGATTCTTAATATTTTAAAACCCTGGGTAGTCATGAAAAGAAACGACATACAGCAATATAATCAAGCTTGCATTTGGAATTCCGTTACTAGGTGACCTCTGTGCTTCCTCTACCTGAGATACTTCTTCTAGCAGCTTCTTCACTGGTCCGAAGTAAAACACCGAACAATTTATTGTGTGCAAATTCTGTCAAACATTCAGCCAGTTCCTTAGTATTAGGTATTAATTCTAGCTTTCGCTCGTTTGATAATTTAGCTGAAATCAAAATAAATGTAATTAAGGAGTAGTTTTGAAGCATCGGGAAAATAGCAGTTTTTTGAACGACTAGAATAACCAAAGGATCAAAAGAGCTTAGAAATTTTCCATAAATAATAATCACATATGGAAAATACATACCATGAGCAATAATCCTTTCCAACAATTCGTTGTAAATAGATTCATACCTCGGATCATCATCTCGTGTTATTTTTTTCCAGTAGTCACTATTTGCCCTTACAGCAGCTATCCATATTTTGGTTTGTAAAGAATGTATCAGGTCACCCGTTCGATTTGATGCCTCTTCGTCCATCAGTGTCGATAATGTGAGCAGTGCGCTGCATTAAAATATTTCAATTGTTTAAAAAACTCAGTCAAGATATGAATAATAATAACTTAAAGTGATTTGAAAACATTCAATGAAACAGCCTTTTTGTAAAATGTCAGACTATTTTCCAAAACAACAAAATCTCTAGAGGCCAATATATGCTCAACGCTTTGCAGTTCACTATAAGCCACAATCACTTTAAATTGAGATACATGTGTTCATATCTGCTATAACCTAAAAACAATATAAAGTTCCATCAAATTACTAAATTGCAAAAAAAATTTACTCAAAAAATCGATTAACATCACATGACGTATCACTAAGATGTGCTCTTATGATCTCTTCTGCAGTACATGATCGTATCTTTGTAACCGGATTGAATGAATCAAATTTCTGAAAAAATTTAATGTTAAAATTTGATAACTTGAAGTAACAGTAAATAATCTACCGATTTCACTTTGATGCTACAATTTTTCAGTGAAGATTCTTAGCTGAATATTTTATTCGTTTTACCGTAGGATAATTTTTTTAAATCGTTTTAATATTTACCATTTCTAAATTGGGATTGATTTTTTGTTGAAGCTTAATTAAACTGAGGTCACGTTTAATGCCTTCCAGGAAACTGTTATCCACTTCATTATCGCAAAGGGCAGAAAGCTTTGCAAAAGAAAGCAAACGCTGAAATGAAACTGTAGACATTTGATCAGCGACTTTACAATCCTTTACAGTTTCTGTACATTCTACTTAGCCATCGATTTAAAAAGATTTAAGCCAGAAGCATACAAAAAAAAAATTAAAAATATCCCATCTTCAGCAACACAGTATCTTTTAAAGGGACCAAATCTTTTATGGAATTTCTGAATATTATAAACTTTTCTAAGCATAAAACTAACCCTTTTCAGTATAACATCATCGTTTGATTTCCGCGAGAGAGTTTTAAGAGCGTAACATGCCTGAAATGAAAGCTATATAACAACAATACACTTCATCTGGCTTATTTCGCTGCGCATTCCGTTTATTTGGTAAAAAATATCAAACATCAGTTTCGGTTAGAATCAAGTTTGCTTCTGTACTCGCAATGGAGTGTCAATAATTCATCACTAATAAACTATCAAACAAGTAACAAAATGTAATGCTTCAAAATAAACTCAAAGAGTAATTATTTTATGAAGGAAAATAACCATAATTTATAATAAGTTATCGCACACTACTAAATGCCACTTAGATATTTTTATAATAAAAAACGAGGAAAAGACTTTTATTTTGGAATTTATAACCCAGAATGAAAACCTTGGCAAAATCGCCATTTTCAAGATCACGCATCCACCCAACATTAGTTTGTGTTGCGAAGAAAAGATCTGCATCTGGTTCTTTCATTTCCAGCAGATCTCTCATATAGCCTAAAAGAATAACAATGAAAATTTTTTATACTGGAAGTACTTCTGAAGAATTTCTCTGAAGTTCTCTGATTTCTCTGAAGAAGAATAATTACCATTTTCCAGATAATATTCATATAACATATTGCAAAAGTCGCCAGAACTGAAGAACTCCTTATATTCTTGGATTTTAGCTTTCCTTTCCAAATCTGGTAAAGCACACGCCAATCGTATTACGGTTTTGTAGTCCTAATTAGAAAACCTTTTTTTTTTCAAAACGAATTACAACAAAGTGCGGAGTCGTTCCGCGAAATAAATAATTTTTTTAGCTCTCAAAATAAAAGTTTTGAGAAGGTTCGAAACTTCTGAATCGGAATAGAAAACTTGTTTAGAAAATACTTAAATTCAAAAACTAATGAAGATCATTGTCGGTCGTAATGTTATTTAGTTTATTCATCTTTGCCTATGTACCTCATTAGGGTATTTATCTCTTTCCAACCTATTGCTCCAGTCATATGGACGTTACATGTAATTTTTTAAAAACATATTTGAAAAATAACAAACTTGAAAATGTTTGGCTAATTCTAAAGCAGCCGAATGTTCAGAAATTTCCAAAAATTTGGCCACAATTGGTGAATTTTGCCGATCATCGAGTGTTTGTTCATTCATAATGAACGCAGCAATAAGCATACCTTGTTTCAACAACGATACATATTTCGGACAATCACGGCCAGCTTGATCAACATAATTGAATAATATGTTTAACTGAAACAAACAGCTGACTAATGCTTTAACAAAATTTTTTCACCAAATTCAAGTATGGAAATTCGCTAAAACACCAACGTGTTTTATGAAGGGCTTCAATACAGATTTTTCCTGCGTCCATCGTAAATCATTTTCTATATCGAGAACAGGATCGTTGCGACGTTCATCAATCACTTCCTTTCCAATAATCAAAATAGTACCAACATATTCAATACATTTCAACTTATAATCCGTCAGTTCGTTATTATTCCCTATAATATCTTCTTCTTCTTCTATGAGTCCACTGAAGAGTTCCTCAATTCGAGAAACCTGAAATGGAACAGATATAACTGCTGGATAAGTTGTAATGCTATTAACAATGCTTTAGTTAATATATTTTCAAAGTTTTGTACTAAAAGAGCTCATTCTATTGCTTTTATAAAAACATCAGAGAATCTCCGCGTCAATAAAACTGGACTTTGAAAGCTTAGAAATAACGAAAGCTTACTTTTCGGAAGAAGTAATCATAGCGAGTGAGCAACTCTTGTTCCCCGTCGATGCTTTCTTTTCGCTTCAATAATACTCTTTTCAGTGCTCCGTCGAAAACTGCAGACGGATTTTGCTAAAAAAATAAGTCTATAAATTCAAAGTAAAATTAAAGACATTGAAGATTTAAATTTTAAACAAATTTTTTGTATGATTTTTTTTCAAACTAAAATTTTTAGAAAGCGCTATAAACAGTACCTTACTCCACTTGTATAGTGCAATTGCAATATCAATCTTTTCAATTAATTCAACAATTTGAGAACGAGCGCTACGAGACTGACAAAGATGAGTTTTAACGGTTCGATTCAACTGAAAAATTATAAATAGGAAGAAATAATAAAGCATTGTATTTTAAGCGAAAACCGACAAAAAGTTATTGTAAGGAGCGATCAAAACCGCGAGTTTTGTAATCTATTGTACTTTATAAAAACTGTAGAAAAGAAGTTACTTTATCGTCGAGTCTAATACTTTTGATGAAAAGAATAAACATTGCCAACACTCTCTTCTTCTGTTCTTCCAAGTGCACTTCTAATAAAAACGAACTTTTGGAGGATATTTGGTCCGTCACTGCTCTTGCTAAAAAGTAAACATGATTACACACCTAGTCCCATCTAAAATCTTAAAAGTTTGACACAAAGCAGTGAAGTGAAATAGAACTTGCAGTGAGATGAACGGCTAACAGCACACCAACGCTCATCATTTGGGATGTCGTCGGCCAAGTCCATTGCAAAATCTATAGTTATTTGTGCAATTCCAGCGTGACGATTTTCCAAAAGTTCTTGCATCATATTGCTAGCTTCATGCTTGAAAATGTTTACTTCAAAGAACAAAGCCAATGTAGACGATATTACTATCCCAAGTTTGTCAGAGTGAATAAAATGATGGAATTAATTTTTCCTAATTAGTTTAGAAGCCAGTGCAATACGAAAATCACAATAATCCATTTACGTCAGTTAACATACCAAGTCAGCTTTCGAAAAGAGATAAAATGCCAAAGCGAGTGCACGACGATCAGTTGTAGCGCTTGAAAAATTTACTGGCTGAACTTCCGTCTTACTCATTTGAGCTATAGTTTGTGACAAATTTGCATCAAATCCTCTGTAATTTGTTATTTCCAACAGTAAATAATATAAAACAGATTATAATCATTCAATTTCTTTCAGAAAGTTACCTAGGAAGCAATCTCACTCGTTGTAAACCACTTTCTTCCAGGAAAATATAACAGTACCGAGCGTCACGACCTGTAATGTTTCATTAGAAGTTGAGTATCAAACTTGTTCTTCATATGATATATGTTATGCTAAATTTCTCAACAAATTTCAATTTTTCAACAAATTTCAACAATTTCATACTGCTTCTCTTTTTTGAACTATTTTGGTAACTGCAAAATGTTATTATGCTTAGCCCACATTCCCATGATACACCTATATATGTATACGTATATGTATACAATATATATGTATATGTTGTATATTGTATACATATATATGTAGTGTATACAATATATAAAATGTAAAAAGATGTAGAACCGCTGTTAGATGCATTAGCAAAGAGAGATAGGATGATGGATCAATCGATTATGATGAAGAGACTACTGAAACTGAATAAAACACTTAAAGCAGAATAAAAAAGAGCCATTGTACAAATAAAAGTGCTTTAAAAAGAGAAACAATAAAACACATATCTAAAAAATGAAATAATTTACCAGAACTGACGAAAGTAGCGTTGTACATAGCACATAACACCAACTTAAATGGAGCTTTTTTGAGCAATCGATCTGGTAGACAAAAATAATAAACAGCTTTTTGGGTAACCACAAAAATATCATCCACCCTGTCGTGCAATACTTGCTTCGAGTTAGCTGGCGATCTTAGTGCGATATTTGCCAGAGCATTTTTTTCGTTTGACTGTAATTCTTGACAAGCTTACTAACACTAAGAAAGCCCATCAAAGCAAGAAATTTAACTTCTTACAATTGAAGGATGTTAGCATAACTACTTATACTCCCAACATATTGCAATGCAGATTAGAAATTGGAAAGGGAACTAATGTTGATGATAACTCATAGCGTGCTTCAATAAGAACTTCCCAAACTGAAAATAACCACGGCTCACTAATTTATCACGAAATTACATTTCACTGAATAAAAAAAAAAACTTCATCTTTTACATATAAATTAAAAGTAAAAATATGTGTATCGCATAGTGCATCGAAGCGTTTTTTGCCATACATAACGTGTATCAAGTACAAAGCTAAAAATTTGTTAATTTACCTTACACTCGTTTGAGAGAGCCTTCAAAATATAAAACCACTCTAAAGCTACAGGAGAACGTATATCATCATATTCCGATATATAACCTGAAAGTTTCATTGAAATTCTTGCCACGAGAGCGTATTTATTAAGAAGCTTAACATTTTCTCTTTTGGAAAGACATAATGTTCTCCTGAAAAATTAAAGGAATTTGCTCTATGTTGGAGCACCATCCCAAAGGCTCCTGACTCAACTAAATATCTTCATTAACACTAACCAAAAGCAAAGTGTATCTGCGTGGAAACAGCTTCATTGCAGCATGCAAATAAGACCAATGTCCCATTCCTGATGTTAACCGCATCCACTATCCATGTTCTAATTTCCTCATGCCAATGACTATACTCCTCAACATCGTACACTTTCTAAAAAAACGAATTACCATGGCTCTCCACAAGCAGTTCAAACATGAGCAACTCTAAATACCACATACCCATAGGCCCAAAGCAAAGCGCTCGCTGGCCATATCTGCCAATTCACAGCTCCAAATCTTCGCACAGTCTCTCACTGAATAGGAATGAAGATGATTTTCGGTCACCGCAAGAACATGCATATTTTTTGTAGCAATTAGATTTGAGCTACTTGACGTATTGGAACGTGAATCCACAAAATCACCAACTGACTGTTCATATATCAGAGCCTTAACCAACCTAAACTTTTTTCATATTTTTTATGTATACATACACTAGTATTTGCATCTGATTGTTTACAATATAATATAATGAGACATGTAAGTTATGCTTGTGATTAGATAAATCGACAAAAACAGTCAGTAACCAAGAAGCTTGAAGGAGATCCTAATTCGAAAGTGCTGCTAAAACTGCATTCCGAAAGATGAAAAGTACCTTGATCCAGATTGTCTTCCCTCACCAAATATTGCCGAAGCCAATTTACCACCAATTCCAATTCTTGCATTTGTATGAATTATTTTTACAGTAATTTCGGAAGACAATCGCTGCCTTTTTCCTGGTGTGGGGACAATATTCGCATTGACATTCAATAAGAACAATGAGCATGTCGTTGTTGCCAGAAGAAACCATATTCCTTCTAGAAATTATATTAGAAGAATTAGAGAAGAAACCATCAAGGGAACTGCAACTTGATAATTTAAATCTGATCGAACTGATTCATAGATTTCATTTAAATTTCCAGTCTTAACTAATTCTATTTTAGGAGTACATAAATGTGAAAACCTTAAAGATGTCCTTATGTATTAAAATAAAAAACAGAATGTTGGAAATCTGAACTACATAGCCCTCCAGTAAGTGGCTATCGCTTTCGCCAGAACTATTAAATTTATAGTTAGTAATTAGTAAACTCCTAAGTAATAAGTAATTAGTTAATCTCGTAAGTAATAAGCAATTTATTTTGTCCGTGATAAGTTTCCATCCTGCCATCACCTGTTTCTTGATTGGAGGTAAAATTTCGTGGGAATGAGGGTCAATTTATCAAAATTAACTGGAAATTAACTCCAAACTTAAAGTAAATCAACAATAATCAAAAGTTTGACAATTTCTATTTAAAAAAGACTTCCAAGTAAACGAATGATAAAACCTGATGACTGCAAATTTACTCTTGTTAGCGATAACGCGACCTCTCGGCCCAGATCAATTGAACTGTCACTGAACTGACGATCTGGTAAAGACCAATGCCGGACAATACCTTCTGGTGTTACAACGATTATACCTAATGTCGCAAAACCTGAAAACATGGAGTAATAGAGTCTTTATGTCAAAGTCTAACACCCATATTTCAAACAAGATTCAGCAAAATTGGGAAGTAACCTTGTCTTTTGTATACACAAACAGTTTGTGCGTTGTAAGGAAGTCCAGAAGGTGGCAAATTAAGTACTGCCGGTGCACCTACATAGTCCTCCTGAAAAAAAAGTCTCATAATTATGACCATCAAAGCTGGCTAATATATATATATATATATATTTCGAATGCAATGTTCCAAAAGCGATAATACCTCTGCGTCATACTTCCACACATAGAAATTTTGACCAACTATTAACCAAGCATAACCACAGCTAGACAATGAGCCTGAACATGAGCTGTTTGGTTCCTTTGCTAAAGAAAACATCATCATTACATTATTACTTGTCGAGAGATAAATTCTGTATAAATTTTAAGAAAATAAAAGGAAAGCCATGCAATAATATCACCATCTCATGTAACCATAAATAAAGGTATGAAATGTTGCACTCTATGCATTACACATAATAAAAAATATGCAACATGCCAGAGAGATATGAATATCCAAGAAACGAACCAGCAAGAGCTTCTCGTACTAAACCTGGATAATCATCTCCAACTGACTCCAGCACGAGCTCTACCGATTCCATTACTTCGCCGCCTAGAAATAGTTTTATCGCATCACGTACATGTACCCGCGAACGACAAGGTCGCTTTATGTTATATTAACAAATTTCATACTACAATTTCGTAGGAATTGTTTCAATAGCATGAGCCAACGCCACAAAGAGTATCGCATCTGATGGTACTATCGATCACCCCGTAATATTAGACACCATATCGCATAATCACCTTCTCTATTTGATACTGATAAACATACAACCCCTATCTTATTCAATTTTATTCAATTTTTCTCGAATCCACTTCATTTATTCTAGTATAGCACGGCCCACGGCTTATATCTGCGACAGTACATAATTTTCCCTCCCAACCAGTTTCAGCATGCTCGGATAATTTTATCAAACAATAGGATTTACTACAGCCGAGATACCATGTAGGTAGAGGATTATCATCACACTCTGTATCTTCCATAAGGAGCCTATCATCGCTTATAATGGCCTATCGTAGAATTATGGAAAAGGTAATAGAGCATTACAACAAAAGATAGGTTGGCAAACTTATTGTGCAAATCCTAGACAATAAGGTTTATGAATAAAATTTTATAAGACAAGTCATAGTAGAATATGATATAGAGAAATAAAGAAAATTTAATCAAAATAAAAGTTTCGAAAAAAACAGTGTGAATAAAAATTCTCGCATGAACAAGTTTCTGAACATAGCATATTGATATAATTTATAGAAACATACTTGCTATATACACAGTTAATAGCATCCGGAACATGATTCTCTAAACTAATGCGTACATTGAAGGAGATCTTAGAGTGAGTCTCAGTAAAAAAAGCCGTATTTGATGTAAGGTTTAGTTGAATATTGACTTTGAAAACTATTGAACATAATGTATCAAATATTTTTGTCGATCTCGAAATGATTTTCACCAGATATCAGGTCCAAAAGAATTTTTACCATGGATAATAAAACCGCTTGTCCATGTTTTGATTTCTGAAATCACTTTTGGGAGAAAATTGGATTGAATAAAGTTCAAACAAGGAACTATGAAAACAAAACACCTCGTCCTCATATGAGCAATTCAGCGTTCATAGCCACTAAGTTATTTTGAAATTCCTTTCAAAGCTTCTAGAAAGGCTAATAATTAGCCAAATAATCCTAAACTTCAGATTAAGCACTACTAATCAAGATGCATACTTCATATTATAGTAAAAGTTAGTAGGATATAAAAGAATTCTAGTTATATTTGCTAGCCGATAACTGTTTCATTGAAGTGTTGTATAAAAAAAAACTTATGAACAAATGCACTGACTTAATGAATTTCTACTGGCGTGACTCCTGCAACTGGTATGCCCGTTTATTTCTCTGTTCTTGAATATGTTCATTCATCGTAGGAACTGAATTATTTATTTTCATGCATTTGTATACTCACAAAATGTTCCACAATAAACAATCTTTACGAAAAACTTTTGGAATATAATTAATCGGTTTCAGTACTTTCGTTATAATTTTCAGATAATCAAATAATCATATAGTGACATTTTCTGTTTACGCTTGACCAATTTGCTGCAGGCAGGTTATTCTGCCCCACAACTGTATGTGGTTCAATGAATGATAGAACGCTTTGTTTGCAAACTGAGAAAGATTTTTTAATTCTGGGTTACTTGTTCCGTTCCTTCTCACCTATGAGCAGAAGAAATATATTTTAAAGAAACTTAAAGATTTCAGAAATTTTCGATACTAACTAGGAAAAAAAAAGATTTGCATATTTAAAAAACCCAGTTTCTTTTAAGGTTCCTGCACTCTTACACTCTATAGGCGATAATGGAAATTGAATTGAATAGAAAGGCTGAGATGTTTGATATGTTTAAACATTCCGCAAAGATATACTTTCAGAAATGGAAATATTCATTTTGTTTATTTTCTCATTATTAATGAACAATAGATTTTTTAATTCTGGAATAATTGTTCCATTTCTTCTCACCTATGAGCAGAAAAAATATTTTTTAAAAAACTTAAGGATTTCAGAAATTCTAGATTAACTAGGAAAAGAAAGATTTGCATGTTTTTAAAAACCAGTTTCTTTTTGGGTTCCCGCAGTGTTACGCTCTGAATTGAATAAACTTTAGTTTATTAGATGACAGTTATGCTTTTAATTACTAAAGAAACTCAAAATTCCTTGAAAAGGAAGTACTTTCTCAAATAAGTAGCAAAATTTAATGCTCTCTAGAAATACTTGCAGTATTAGCAGCTATTAATCTAACACAAAATTTTCAAAGATTTTAGAAAACATAGCTGTTTTTGGTGCTTTCAAAAAGCAGAGAAGTCGAAAAGTTAAAAAAGAATCAACTTTATTTTAGAAGATATTCGATACTATAATACACTCATAATGGAAGTTTACAATACAGGACTCCATTCAATACTTCTAGGAAATCTATTTATAAATTTTTATCACCTATCAGATACAGTAAAAAAAATGACTGCACGAATTAAAATTTACTACCGTTAGCAAAAAAGAAACCTGAGAAAGACTGAAATATTGCCGGTAGCTGCTATCCATTAATCCACGGAATGTTGATGCCCCATAAGTGCTGGCCGTCATTCCTTAGAAATAGAACTGATGTATTGTCCAAATAATTATAAAATAATATATTTACTATTCAGAAAAAATAAATTAAAAAACAAATAATAATAAATATTTACTATTCACGAAAAAAAAAACATTTATGCATTGATTGATTAATTTGTTTATTGAAAGCTTCAAGATAATTTAAGAAAAAATAACCTGTGTTAAAGGAGAATTGTTGAATATCGGTTCCAGGACTTCCAGAGGAATGTTCATCCATAAGTAATCTATTAAAGCTCTGATTTTGACAAGGACACTCATTTCTAAACCCACGATAATTTTCAGACGGGTGATAAGGTATGAATGATTGCTCAATCCGGGGTCCTATATAACTGCAACTCGCATGCTTAATTGATGGCGTAGACTCGCTTCCTAAAATTGATACAGCTTAAAGAATTTTGCTACTCTTCCATTGCAGAGGACAAAAATTGATGGGGTATGAGAGTAATAGTAGGCTCACAAACACTTCTTGCATCATCACTTATTGAAGAATAGTCTACATTCCATTACTAAAATGCTTTAATTTAGTCTTTCACTTAACTTATGGTATCTTTAGTACATTAATAGAACCAAAAAATTTGTAAAGATTTGTTAGTTTACCTGAAATATATAATTTCAGACATTATTGGAAAGCGTAATAAATTAACTTAGCTGCTCAATGTTATTAATCTACAAAGCTTATGATTTCATTGAAATAGGGAAGAGCAAAGCACTAACTACGCTACGTTCAGATATCATACGCATAGTTTTTGGAAATACACATAGAATGTAAAACACACCAAAATCATTCCTCCATGATGATTGCTCCAATGCAGAATAAAATCCATCAGCAGTGCATTCTGGATGATAATCATACAGAGTATTATAATTGAATTCATTCATCGCATCGTCAAGGCCTCAGAAATTTTGCTGATTGATTTTGATGTTCAAGGTCTAAACAATAGTTATCAATCAAAGTTCAGTGTAACTGGAATTGGTTAGCATTGTGAATGCATCCTTGGGCCAATGCACCAAATATATGCTGTCAAATTGGTTTTATATTTTAGATTTTAAACATGACTTCTAACAATCGACATTCACAATTTAAATACTTATAGAACAATCCAAAAGGAATTATATTCTCTAAACAAAGAAGCAGTGAACCATTTTCATTGTATGCGAAATTGTCACGAATAGAATGCAAAGGACGAACACTGTCCTCACGTCTCCAGCTAGGTGTTTTTATCGGATAGCATGAACCACGTGATGGAGATGATAAACCATGATAACAAATCCTGAAAACAAACTTCAATGCCATCGTACTTTGATTCTGTCGCCTATGCGCATCGTTTTTCTGGTAGCACACAGATTTTGCGAGTTTATTCGACTTCTTCAGATTCCGATAACACTTCTTTAAAACGATTTCAAAAAAGCAGCTGATGGCAATTCAAAGTTATACGTGATGAAAGACGATGTTTGCCAGTTTTCAGCTAATATTTGGTCATGAATTTCACGATCACTTTTTTCTGCAGCTTACAAACTGATAGAGGTCTTTTGGTATTGGCAATCGCATAAAAAACTTTTTATTAGGAAGAAATGGGTAAGCTTTTCTTCCCAATGTTTCATATTTGACAGGTTTTTATTTTCAAGTTTCTAATTTTAGAAATAAAATTTCCTCACCTTACAGGTTTTTTTTTTCTAATCTGATTTGACAGATTTCTATGATTGCTACTCCCAATAATCTATACTATAAACTTACGCTTATTCATAAGGTATTTGATTTACACGAACACTAGGCAATAGCACCAATAGACTAACTCAAATGAAGAAAGGTCTTACCCTCTACGTGGAATTTTGTTGCTCGGTTCAGTAAAAGTGCTTGTATGAGTCCGTCTTACAGCTTGCTTTTTTTGCATTTTGCATTTTTCCACATCCTTCAGCCTTCTCTCTGTCGTCATTCTTTCTTTAAATTTCCGTTCAGTTTTCTGTTCCTTTGTTTTAGCCTCAATTTGTTCTCTTTCAACATGTCGGGTAATATGTTTTTTAATTTGTTCTTCTATACACTTCTCTTTGTGGCACGAAAATGCATCTTTCTTTCCCATTTCAGCTGCTACCAACAAGTTTTCACCTTCATCCCACTTCGGAACTGCCGCTATAAACTATTCATAATCAGAGTCCTCATATAAAATTATTTCTCCAATATATAAGGTCACCTCAACCAAAATAAATCTTATATCCTATTCAATGAACAAAGTCCATGGATTTTTAAGTTATGAAATTGAAAAATTAAAACCGATGAACTAACCAGTTGGATATAAAATGGATGCAACATCACTATTTTCTTCAAATGTTACATAATTCGTTGTGCAATGAGCTGCGATCGCGAGCTGGGCGGATGGAAATGTGAGAATTGAACATTGCTGCCTTCAATATAAAAAACTGTATTGCGCAATAAGGAATAACAACAATTTTAATCACTTCATCTTCAGATACACTTGCCCATAAACGAAATTTCCTAATCAACGTGAAAAAACCAAAATTATTAAAAAAATTTTCAGTAGATTTCTTGAACTATGCAAAAAATTATTCATTTTTCCTTCTTGTTAATTCCTTCTCTTAATTCTACCATACATAAACATAGTGTTGATTTTCCCATCAAATAAATTTCATTGTCAGAGATCCCAACACTGTTTGACATGACTAGAGCTAACAAATTTAATAAAAACTTCAATGAGTCATGTTTAAACTCAAGTTTCGTAATTTCCCAATGAGGAAATACATCGTTACGGATCTGCTTTTCAGTAATCTCTTCCGGTATCGGCTTTATGAGCAGCTGACACATACCCGGTGTAGGCATATGCAAATGTCCCAACCTTTTCTTCAAACTTTTACGCAATTTCATGATAGACTTCGCTACAGTATTAACAATTATGACTTTTCTCTGAAATAATGCTCATTTTCCCCTTGGATGAAATCAAAAACATCCTTTACTTCAGATATAGCTCATTCACATTTTAATCGGCAATCAAGAATACATTTAAAATGCGCTTTATTAAGCGATATCAGAAAATTGCTATGCAGAAAATGAGATGTCGTTAATCCTATTCAGCAAGATTTTTCTCATTAAATCATATGTTAATGCAGTGTATAGGTTGAGGATGTTCCTCACTGTTAGCTGAAATATTAGAAACGTATCCATAATAGTTTTCAATTCAATCGAGGAAGAACATGACAGCGACTTTTATGGAAGATATAAGGTTTTCTATGATTTTTTCTTTTTTTTGAGAAAAATAGATCCATTCATCCAAATAACTCACTCTGTGGAAGAGAAATTTTACTTCTGCGACCTACTGCAGTTCTCCTGTAAACGAGATAGTTCAACGTATAGAAGGCAAGCGTATTGTCGTCTGGGAAATACAGGTTTATTTTTCTAAAAATTTTGTGAATTTTATAAACTTAAAGACTGTAAATGAGACTGGCCTTAATCGAAAGAGTAATAATTAATAATTAATTAATATGAATTCAAGGACAAACGTTACCCAAATGAGAAATTAGCTCTCTCGTTAAAAGGCAAGCTTAGGAAGTCGGCCTCCATATGAGATGCACTCAGCACTACTGGATATAACCATGGATTATGCACATCTGATGGCACTATATTTTCTATCTTCAACAATCTCTTCTCTTTTTCTTCATTGACAGCTACAAGAAAGATTAAAATTTTACAACTCCGTAAAATCTATATGATGCATTATGCGATGGTTCGACAAATCAGAATTTGACATATCTCATCCAATCTTTCACTTTGCCTTTAGCCTGATCTTTTGGCCCTTTATATTTTTTTAATGAGAATAAAAAGTACTAGAGAAATGTGAGTTTAGTGCACAGCTTCCAGAAGCTCACATAAGTTACTCACTTCTCCACTGGAACTCCGGAACACCATCCCAGTTAATTCGTAGTCTCAAGAAGTGCAAAAAGTTCGTGATGTACATCAATTGGTGATAACTGCAGCAGCTCCAGCATGTCATCTTCATTGAAGTATATGTTATCCTTTTCTGGGCTATCATTCATATCCGATAAACGCCGAGTTTCTCCTTCAAAATCTTGAAAGTTAATCAAATTTGAATAATATTAAGTTACACATACATCTACTTGCAAACAAATTAATTTCATACATAATCATAAAATGTTTGCAGTGAGCTAAATGATTACCTGAGTAGAATATTGCTGAAAAAAACTTCGAGATATTCATGTGATTTGGACTACTTACTCTTTTAGGCCTTTTTAACTACAAATATAAATAAATATATATAGATGTGTTGAGATATATCATTTCAGATTACGACAGAATAAATTAATCTTACTATTATACATTCATTAACAATATATACAGCTTTTACCAAATTTCCTATTCACATACTTCCTATTCAACTCGTTCAGCCATAATGGTTGAAAACAGTTCGACCATAATGGTACCAAACTGAAGCGGCATATTTCGCATTCTTCGCTCAACTTTTTTTCTCAGTAAGTATACATAAGGCACCTTCTGGAAGGACAGAAAGTTTGCCTATGGATGTAATGTCATCTTCAATTAAAACATCCTCTTCACCATTTGTTCGTATTTGTTTGAATGTGTTTCTTCAGAGAGCGTGATTTTTTCCACCGGATCGGTAACTGATTTCAATAAATTCACTGGCTGCTCTGCACGAACGCTTTTGATTGAACTTCCGCCATTGTTTACTTCCCTTACCTACAACTTACTCTTTAATTTAGTATCATCATCAAATATATTTTTATGTTCACTTGTAACCTCCACTTCATTTATTACTTGTTCACATGAAAATAAATATAACTCTCATAACTACCATTAACCCAATAGCCACGATGTAATAACTTATATTTCATTTTCAAACTATGGCAACTTCATAGGTACAATCTTGAAAAAATACGGGTGGAAAAAGCAGAACAAGAATTTAGAGAAACACATCTACCCGTACTACTCGCGTGACATCATCAAGTACGTGACACTGCCACGTACTGGTTATCATTTCAAAATAGCTACATATCAGCTATTGCAAATAGCCTATCTATTGTTAGGGAATTCAGCAATGAATTCAGCATTCGGAAATCAAAGAATATTTTCAAAAAAACTTGCTCGCATTTCATCATCTTTCGTCCACATGTCCGTAACTTTAGAGAGTTCCTCGTTACTCCGCGTGATGTCCCACGGAATCTTTGTTATTGATGAAATTGATGTCGGCGATTCCAGTTTTGACTTTTGAACAATAACGCTATGATAATCTAGTCTTGAACGGAACGATATCAAACATTTGCAACCAAATTCCTATTAATATAATAATCATTAAATCATATGCTTGGGAAAATTTCTGAATCAATAACCATGACCATGTGTTCACACACTAATGAATACTATTCCTCTCTGTTGTAAAAAAGGAGGACATTGGTCAAGATGTAAATTATTTAAGAAATTTGAAACTATCAGTCTTCGTATTTTGACGCTTAGCATTTTGTAAGCTGTCTCGATGCTGAGAGCTCAAATCTTGCTTTAACGAACGCATTTGACATACTTTGCTATGAGTACAAAGCAACGTATGCATTCTAGAAGCGAACGAAATATGAAAGCTAATATGGCACCCAAAACAACAGACCATTGTTCGTTAATTGCTGATCGACGTCGAGCTGCTTGAATAATCATGAAATCAGAGAAATATTTGAAATCTCATTCCAAACAGTGTGGTATTGAAATATTTCAAATAACATTAATCAGTTAGAATATTTTAGGTCCACCTTTCGGAATTTGCCATCGCTATTCGAGTTCATTATCATTGCTTTTTTTTATCTCCTACTTAGATAACATGGCAATCGACAATTTAACTACCTCCTGATCCTGACTTGCTTCCAATCTCGGTGATCTTATTAAGCGAATAACAGCATCTCGTCTAACATTAAACGTTGTTTCCAGTAACTCATATATTGTTTCTGCGAAATCATCCGCAGTGTCTCTGAGCAATGCTGACGGCAATCCAGATATGACCAGACTTCGTGAAATATCATTGTCACTCATCGTTTGTTTTAGCGAGCCTTTCAAAAATATGTGAACTTATAACGAATAAACATGGAAATTTATTTCTAAACAACATAATATCATATTCACATGTCCATCTTAGCTGGAAAATACACCTTGTTCCAAATAATATACCAGTTTTGATATACCAGTTTTAACTACCTTGTCAACAAAAAATTGTTCACTTCCCAAACTATAACACACTATTTCCAAATTGCTAAATAAGATAATTCTCCCTAAATATATGCCACTTTCACTCTACAATTAAAATTTTTATACTAAACGATGCTTAATAACAGTAGAACTATGTAAAACCATACAAATTACAGCATAGCTGTATACGATACGATAAAGATCTGCAAAAAATAACTGCACCAGGTGAATCCGACGTAATGCTTAATATTTTACTCATCAGAAACATGATCTTATATTCATGAAATATTTTAAGAGATATAATTTTATTCGCTTATCACAACATAAAAAAATATAAATTTAGCACAAAAATAGGACAAGCGATAGTTTTTTTGAGATGGGAAATTAAACAAAACGGACCGCATATATACTTGTTATTATTCATATCTCAACTGTAATAATTCAGCTAAAAATTAATTTTCAACAATATTTCCTAATCAACCTATGATGAGCAATGGAATAAACACTCCGAGATCATTCTAAATTATTAAAAGAGAAGAACAAGCAGCACGACAAACATGTCAATCGCTGGTCAAGAAATATATTCTCTAAACAATTTAAACTTAATTATTCCTTTTAAACTGATCAAAATCACTTGTGCTCATCGCGAACATTATGACTTTGCAATTTTTTAATTTCCTCACGTCTAATCTCTTCCCTTAACAATAATAACTCGCTTTCGTTCACCAATCCCTTCTGCAGTAGTTGTTCTGAGATCGACTCCATTCTTTCTGTATATAAACATAATTTTATCTATTGCTTTAAAATGTTTCTTATTTTGTTATATTAAATTCAATTCTATAAAGTATTACTTATGGTAATACTTTAAAGAATTGAATTTATTTTAGTAATAGATATTACTAACACGTTAGTGTATAATTAATTAATATAGTAAGTT